GGTGCTTTCATGAAAGACCACAAATAGCACTGGTGCTTTCATGAAAGACCACAAATAGCGCTGGTGCTTTAATGACATCCCAAATAGAGCAGGTGCTAAAAAGCAGCTTTAATGACATCCCAAATTGAGCAGATGCTTTCATGACATCCCAAATAGAGCAGATGATTTCATGACATCCCAAATAGAGCAGATGATTTCATGACATCCCAAATAGTGTAGCTGCTTTAATGACATCCCAAATAGGACAGGTGCTATCACGAGTGAATGAGTGAGTGAGTGAGTGAGTTTAACCCCGCTTTTAACAGTATTCCAGTTATATCGTTGTGTGTCAGCTTAATGTGGGAGGAAAGCCCGAAGTGATGCAGGTCTCAGACGTTTACCACTTGGGTGAAACCCACGAGCACGGGTATGGTGCTGACAAACCTAGAAACATAATCGGGGCGAACCGGGATTCGAATCCACAATCATAGGTTTCTGGCGTGCCCAAGGGACGCAACTCTGCACAGTGAATCACCTTAGACGACTGGGCCACCCATGCCCCCTGCTATCATGACGTCCCAAATAGGGCAGGGGCTTTCATGACATCCCAAAAAGGGCTGGGGACCACAAATAGCCAACGCTGATGTTAATTCAGGACATCCCAAAAAGTACCGAAGAGTAAGTGGCAAACTATCAGTAACAGGTAAAACAAAATGATAAGAAAGTTTAATCAAATTCCTAAAAAACAAAATGACTGACAAAAGCAAACTACATGTGCGAGCAGCTTGCTACCAGCTTCAACTTTCTCCACAATCCTGCAGCAGCAGCTGTTAATTGGATAGTACCAACTTCCTCCAGGTAGAATGGATGCTATTTTTCAGTGTGAGTGAGTGAGTGAGTGAGTGAGTGAGTGAGTGAGTGAGTTGGGTTTAACGCCGCTTTTAACAATATTCCAGTTATATCGCAGCGTGTCAGCTTAATGTGGGAGGAAAGCCCGAAGTGATGCAGGTCTCAGACATTTGCCACTTCGGTGAAGCCCACGAGCACGGGTATGGTGCTGACAAACCTAGAAACATAACTGGGGCGAACCAGGGTTCGAACCCACAATCATAGGTTTCCTATTTTTCAGTGACATTACAGTGTAAGCTAAATGCAGTGTGGAGCACAGCGTCACATTGCTGTGTGGCGCACATGTCCGTTCTACTCAAGAGAGACTTGTGTAATGACTTGCAAACAATGAGTGAGTGAGTGAGTATGGTTTTACGCCGCTTTTAGCAATATTCTAGCAATATCACCAGAAATGGGCATCACACATTGTACCCATGTGGGGAATCGAACCCGGGTCTTCAGGGTGACGAGCGAACGCTTTAACCACTAGGCTAACCAACCAACCCTGCAAAGAATGAACAACAAGGCAAAGAGTCATGAAATTGACAGACACTTGTGAAATAGAGAAAAAATTAAGAGAGTGAAAGGGGTTAACATCGATTTGAATCCGTCATATCGTGGCATGGCAGCTGGTGGGAAGGAAGCCCGAAGTGGTGCAGGTCAGACAACCCTCATCAAAGCAGAAAGACTTAAACCAGGCTGTTGCATTGTGGGTAATGGTCTCGGCAAGCATCAGTCTCCTCATACAAACATGACCATGATGACCTGTGTGTTCGGGATGGGGGGAACTCAACGAGGTTGGTTGGTTGGTTTGTTATTTAACGCCGCACTCAGCAATATTCCAGCTATATGACGGTGGTCTGTATAAATCGAGTCTGGACCAGACGATCCAGTGATTAATATCATGAGCATCGATCCACGCAATTTGGGATCAATGACATGCATCAACCAAGTCAGCGAGCCTGACCACCCGATCCTGTTAGTCGCCTTTTACGACAAGCATGGTCGCCTTTTACGGCAAGCATGGGTCAACGAGGGGCGTGTCATGAACAGTGCCATTACCATCGTTACTTGACAGCGGAGATGTCACAACATACAAAGGGAGATAACTTCAGTTAGTAGTGGTACCTTATCACAGGCATGAAAGATGGACAACCTCAACATACATGTCAAATCTTAGAGCTGAAGATATTTATAGTGTTTGAAGTCAGGGAGAGGGATTGTGTCATATTTCTTCAAACAATCTAGATGCAGACAACAATGAAAGAAATCGCTATTTCATTCTAATCGTGTGTGTTGATAGTAAATGAAGATTAACGAAACTGTCTGCAAGACTTTTTAAAGAATTTAACAACAGTACAAGCATTGGATATGATAGAACGTATCACCTAGACATAATGTACTCTGCTTGGCTCGTCACTGGTCCCTCAACACTTGGTTCATAACTGGTAGATATCTTCTTGAATACATCAATGATCTTTGGCTATCAAATAAGTGAGTGAGTGAGTTGGGTTTAACACCGCTTTTAACAATCTTCCAGTTATATCATGGCGTGTCAGCTTAATGTGGGAGGAAAGCCCGAAGTGATGCAGGTCTCAGACGTTTGCCACTTGGCTGAAACCCACGAGCACGGGTATGGTGCTGTCAAACCTAGAAACATAATCGGGGCGAACTGAGATTCGAACCCACCATCATGGGTGCCCAAGGGACGCAACTCTGCAAAGCGAATTGCGGCGCCTTAGACGACTGGGCCACCCGTGCCCCCGCTACACCAATGTAGAGAGGTGGAAACAAGAGAAAGACAGTCATCCCAGTTTCTTGTCTCATATTGTCAAATTTCACACTTAGCAAATAAACAAATTCTTGGTCCTAAAGTAGGAAAGGCCTTGTCTTAAACTGACATCATCCATGTTAGATGGTTTGGTTTGTTGTTTAACGCCGCACTCAGCAATATTCCAGCTATATGATGGCGGTCTGTAAATAATCGAGTCTGGACCAGACAATCCAGTGATTAATATCATAAGCATCGATCCACGCAATTGGGATCTTTGACATGCATCAACCAAGTCAGCGAGCCTGACCACCCGATCCCGTTAGTCGTCTCTTACGACAAGCATAGTCGCCTTTTTCGGCAAGCATGGGTTGCTGGAGATCTATTCTCCATGTTCGAAGGAGTAATCTGTTGTTTGTGTACAGTTTTCCATCTGGATACATCCACGATGCAGTGATACACAATGAATTGAGTTCTAGTCATGTTATTGTAAACATCCAAGTGCTGTGGGTGATGCTGTGGGTGATGCTGTGCTACCCGTCACCCCGGCTTCATACAACCAGGGGTGGCCTTGAGGAGGGGCGTGTCAGCAACAGTTCCAGTTACCATGGTTACTTGACAGCTGGGAAGATAGTCACAACATACAAGGGGAGATAAGTTTAGTTAGTAGTGCTATTACTTTATCACAGTCATGCAATATGGAGAACCTCAACATGGCCAACTCGTCCACAAGGAATCTAATAGATCTGAAGAGATCGATTGTGCTTGAACCAAATACAGGAATTTCTTCTGATATTTGTAAATTTGTTTGTTTCTCCAAATCTTCCCTCAGGGATAATCGGCCCCAAGTCTACATGTGAGCAAAAATTCCAAATTTGAAATTATAAATTTTCTGATTCATGTCAATATAATCATAAAAAATATATGGCTTTGTGAGTGAGTGAGTTGGGTTTAACGCCGCTTTTAACAGTATTCCAGTTATATCGCGGCGTGTCAGCTTAATGTTGGAGGAAAGCCGGAAGTGATGCAGGCCTCAGACGTTTACCACTTCGGTGAAACCCACGAGCACGGGTATGGTGCTGACAAACCTAGAAACATAATCGGGACGAACCGGGATTCGAACCCAAAATCATAGGTTTCTGGCGTGCCCAAGGGCGCAACTCTGCACAGCGAATCGCGGCGCCTTAGACGATTGGGCCACCCATGCCCCCTATGGCTTTGTGGAGTCAACATGAATATCACTGATCAAAGGACCAAGAAGAGAAGGGGCATTATTGTACTAAATACAACGTTAAAATACATCTATATTAAAGAAATAATAACATTAAAAATATCCCAATTTAGGTTTGTTTGTTTGTTTGTTGTTTTACACCTAACACAGCAATCTTCAAACTACATGACGGCGGTCTGTAAATAAGTCTGGACCAGACATTCCCGTGATTGATATCATGAGCATCGATCCACGCAATTGGGATCGATGACATACATCAACCAAGTCAGCGAGCCCGACCAACTGATCCCGTTAGTATGTATGGGTTGCTGAAGAAACAAATAACAAATTCCCTATTTATCTGCAATGGGAATTTAGTATGGAAAGCTAGATCAATCCCTATCACAATTTATATCAGGGGCGTCGGATGCATCGATGAATCACAAATTAATACTTGATGATACAATACATGATACGCCTACCCACGTATCAATAATGTAATAATTTTGTAATTATTTCAAAACGCAGTATTTATGAAGTTTTGCAATAACCCAGCCTGATAAGTACTCAGGCCAACGTTACCATGGTTACCTTCCCGCCTGTCACAAACAAAATTCTATATCTGACTGCACAACAGCATTAGAAACCAGGCAAGGTCAAAAAAGTTAAATACAATCTTGGTTGGTGTACGTGACACCTCCAATATGAATCCCGACCGTGCAGAATTTAATAAATATAAACTACCGTATTCGACGTAATAAGCGCCAAGGGCGCTTTCAAAATTAGATATAAGGGGCTCTTATTAGAATATTATTTTGGTGGAAAAAAAAGTTAAAAGATGTTAAATTTTGTGGTTTATGCTGACAGCCTGAAATGTTTACATATGACAGATATATTTTTCCAGAATTTAATTGCCAATAATATAACACATGAGTGCGTATCATACACGAATAAATAAGTCTTGTGTACATTGATCAATCGGAAGGGGTGCTAATCGTGATTGTTCACTAGACAATATATTAGCAAATATCGCAGTGGGTGCTTATTAGACCAGGGTGCTTATTATGTCGAGTACGGTATCTGTCAACAAATCACAATTCCTGATAGAGGACGCCGTAGTTGTATGGCTAATAATTATCTGTAAGAATGAGATGATAATCATTCTTTATTTAACAGACACAGTGTTACAGATTTGATATATAACATTGTTTCAAAGATGCTTACCTAATCATATACAACAACCTAAACATGTATAAGTTGCTTATACAACATAGTCAGATATCCCCAATAAAACAAATAGTGTCAGCATTTGATGAAGTTGAACATTTAACGTTCTTAATGACATGATATCCAGGTTTCTTTACCTCAAAGTCTTTGCTACCAGCCCTGAACATGTATAAACTTCATCAAATCCTGAGTTCATCATTGTAAACTTATTTATCTTTCTTTCCCTCAGTGTTTTCGTCTTCTGAATCGTCTTCATCATCAAAGTCATTATCTTCATCATCAATCTCGTCATCATTTTCCTCCTGAACTTCCTCATTTCCTGCAATTTCTTCTCCAGTAAGCTCATCCTTATCCACAAGTTCGAATTCCCCATTTTCACTTTTATCACTCCCAGAATTTTCATCCTTTTCAATTTCTTCCTTCTTTGCTTCTCCGGGTCCAACCTTTTCTTCTTTATCCTTCCCGGTCAGTTCCTTGTCCTGCTTCTCCTCCTCCTTGTCTGGGTTTGACTCCTTGCCGAAGTAATCGTGTTTATAAAGAGGTTTGAAGGAGTCAAAGAAACCAACATCTTCTGTCAAGTTTGGTAAGAACCAGAAGTGATGTTTTCCGAAAGATACAACCCACACCAGGCAGAATAATATAAGGCGAACTGGAAAACAAACACAGGTCATGTATGGATGACGTTGTAAACAGTATACCACATGGTCACTCACTGACCACTCATTTTATTGTATCACGAAAACATGACCGTTTTTTTTCAACATATGGGAACTTTAAAATTACATCCTCCCAAAAATTTCATTTTAAATCCTAACCTAGAAGGATATTGTGTTTTGGGATCTCAGCAACAGGTGAGTGAGTATGGTTTTATGCCACTTTCAGCAGTCTTCCAGCAATATCAGCAGGGGCACCAGAAATGTGCCACAAACATGGAGGTCACTGAACCCGGGTTTTCAGCACGATGCTTTAATCACTGCTTCATAGTATTTATTCACCTGATGAAGGAGCAAGCATATACATCGAAACGTTGTGATCCTCATAACAAACTTGACATCGATAATTTCTCTTAGGACAAATGATCTTGCCAGTTTTACTCACCAACAACAAGTGAGAGGATGAAGCCCACGAAGCCAGCAGCAGCCAGACTGAGATAGTAGACCCCGATCCGCACCTCCTCCGGCCACAGCGGGAACAGGCAGAGAGCCGTGGCACCAAACACTGCAACACAAGGAGGAACATCACACATCTTCACACATATACCACCACATGGTGACACCAGGGCAAGATGACCTGCAATTACTAAAGTCACCCTTGACAAGATGACCTGCAGTCAGTAAAGTCACCCTTGACAAGATGACCTGCAATCACTAAAGTCACCCTTGGCAAGATGACCTGCAATCACTAAAGTCACCCTTGACAAGATGACCTGCAATCACTAAAGTCACCCTTGACAAGATGACCTGCAATCACTAAAGTCACCCTTGACAAGATGACCTGCAATCACTAAAGGCACCATGGGCATGATGACCTGCAGTCAGTAAAGTCACCCTTGGCAAGATGACCTGCAATCAGTAAAGTCACCCTTTGCAAGATGACCTGCAGTCAGTAAAGTCACCCTTGGCAAGATGACCTGCAGTCCGTAAAGTCACCCTTGGCAAGATGACCTTCAATCAGTAAAGCCAACCTGGCAAGATGACCTGCAATAAGCAATGTCATCCTAGTCAAGATGACCTTCAATAAGCAATGTCACCCTGGTCATGATGACGACCTTCAATCAGTATAGCCATCCTGGCAAGATGACCTGCAATAAGCAATGTCATCCTGGTCGTGATGACCTTCATTCAGCAATGTCATCCTGGTCACGATGACCTTCAATCAGCAATGTCATCCTGGTCAAGATGACCTTCAATCAGCAATGTCATCCAGGGCAAGATGACCTGCAATCTGCAATGTCACCCTGGTCAAGATGACCTGCAATCAGCAATGTCATCCTGGGCAAGATGACCTTCAATCAGCAATGTCACCCTGGTCAAGATGACCTGCAATCAGCAATGTCATCCTGGGCAAGATGACCTTCAATCAGCAATGTCATCCTGGGCAAGATGACCTGCAATCAGCAATGTCACCCTGGTCAAGATGACCTGCAATCAGCAATGTCACCCTGGTCAAGATGACCTGTATCAGCAATGTCATCCTGGCAAGATGACCTGCAACCAGCAATGTCACCCTGGCAAGATGACCTGCAATCAGCAATGTCATCCTAGCAAGATGACCTGCAATCAGCAATGTCACCCTGGTCAAGATGACCTGCAATCAGCAATGTCATCCTGGCAAGATGACCTGCAATCAGCAATGTCACCCTGGTCAAGATGACCTTCAATCAGTAAAGTCACCCTGGTCAAGATGACCTGCAATCAGCTATGTCACCCTGGGCATGACCTGCAACCAGCAATGTCATCCTGACTAGATCCTCTTTAGTTGGCTCTGCGAATCTTTACAGAAAAATGCAGCAGTTTTTGTTTATAAGTCAAATGCCCCACCTAATGACATTTCAGCCATATACCAACGTAAACAATCGAGTCTGGACCAGAGAAACCAGGGAAACCAGTGTTGATATTATGAGAAATGTTAGGCGATGACACGCAATCAGCTAGGTCACCAACCCGCACTACGCAATCCATTTAGTCGTCTGTTACGACAAGCATAGGTTATGGGGACCTCTTCTGGCCAGGAATCCCAATAGGGATATGCACAGGGATTTATCTAGACCTACTCAGAGGACAGTATATGGCCCCATGTCCACAGTAAATGGCTGTAAAAATTCCCAAAATGGAATTACAAATTTCTCAAAACATGTTTCATAGTAATAACTGATGTTATGTCTTTGTGGAAATGACTTGTATTTCACTTGTTTGGAATCCTAATGCATCCTTGTTGCAGCAACGTAGACTAATAACTTAGTCCACAAGGTCTCCACAGCCTCCTTGCAGTCAAGGCAACAAATGTCACCCGATTTGTAAGTTTGGTAGCTACCTACCCATGAGAAGGCCGATGAGGAAGGTCTTGAGTGGGACGGGATCATATATCCACACATACACCTGGTGAAAGAAAGGTAATGTCAGTATAACAAACACTTCCTGGCTTGTCATTCAAAAATACACACACTCACACACTTATTTACAACCACAAAACAGATCTTAACTAGTAACAAAATAACAGACTACCACCTGGAATCTACACGGGGGCAACTCCTTTCTTTACATAGTAATGTCATGAGACAATATTTCAAAGTATCTGCACATAAGCAGTATGCAGTCACAGAGCTTGACGTGACAGCCACAGTCACATGGCCATCAGACTCGCAGTCACAGAGCTTGACGTGACAGCCACAGTCACATGACCATTAGACTCATAGTCACAGAGCTTGACGTGACAGGCACAGTCACATGACCTCAGGCCTCACAGTCACAGAGCTTGACGAGACAGCCACAGTCACATGACCATCAGACTCGCAGTCACAGAGCTTGATGTGACAGCCACAGTCACTTGACCATCAGACTCATAGTCACAGAGCTTGACGTGACAGGCACAGTCATATGTCCTCCGGCCTCACAGTCACAGAGCTTGACGTGACAGGCACAGTCACATGACCATCAGACTCGCAGTCACAGAGCTTGACGTGACAGCCACAGTCACATGACCTCCAGACAGTCACAGCGCTTGACGTGACAGGCACAGTCACATGACCATCAGACTCACAGTCACAGAGCTTGATGTGACAGCCACAGTCACATGACCATCAGACTCATAGTCACATAGCTTGACGTGACAGGCACAGTCATATGTCCTCCGGCCTCACAGTCACAGAGCTTGATGTGACAGCCAGTCACATGACCTCCAGAAAGTCATAGTGTTTGACATGACAACCACAGTCACATGACCTCCAGCCTCGAAGTCACAGAGCTTGACGTGCGGCCACAGTCACATGATCATCAGACTCGCAGTCAAAGAGCTTGATGTGACAGCCACAGTCACATGACCTCCAGACAGTCACAGCGCTTGACGTGACAGCCACAGTCACATGACCATCAGACTCGCAGTCACAGAGCTTGATGTGACAGCCACAGTCACATGACCATCAGACTCGCAGTCACAGAGCTTGCCGTGCGGCCACAGTCACATGATCATCAGACTCGCAGTCACAGAGCTTGATGTGACAGCCACAGTCACATGACCTCCAGACAGTCACAGCGCTTGACGTGACAGCCACAGTCACATGACCATCAGACTCATAGTCACAGAGCTTGACGTGACAGGCACAGTCATATGTCCTCCGGCCTCACAGTCACAGAGCTTGATGTGACAGCCACAGTCACATGACCATTAGACTCGCAGTCACAGAGCTTGATGTGACAGCCACAGTCACATGACCATCAGACAGTCACAGTGCTTGACGTGGCATGGACAGTCACATGATCTCCGGACTCAAAGTCATTGAGCTTGACGCGACAGCCACAGTCACATGACCTCAAGACTCACCTCGTCTCCATCCACGAACCGCTGGTCGTCATGCATGTTAAGCTTCAGTTTCCTCTCCTTCTTCTTCTTTTCTTCTTCCTGAAACAAGCCAATAAAACTATTTATGTTAAGTATGCAGCATAAAGCATGTAGCAAGGCTAGACTCATTCAATGTCTCTTATCAAATTATACATCACCAAGTGACAATGGTATCTTAACCTACTTTTATTTTGTTTATCATGTCATTTCTTTACAAATTATATCTATGTCACACAAAGGTTATTTCACAGTATACTGTAGATGTTTTTGTCATCTGTATTTCAATTGTTGTCCTTGACTGTTGTCATATCATGCCATACATAGTTACCTCCCTTTTCTCCATAAATACTTACCTCCCTTACATACAACATCACCAAATACTCAATAGTTGTGATTGATACTTATTTCAGTGAAGACATCAAATGACCAATGTTATTGTTTTATTCTCTTTACCTTCTCTGGTTTCTTCTCCTCCTTCTTGTCTCCTTCTTCCTTCTTTTCTACTTCTTCTTTCTTTTCTTCTTTCTCTGTGTCTCCATCTTTCTTTCCCTTCTTTTCCTTTTTCTTTCTCTCCTGAATTCCATAATTTCAAAACTCAACTTTTCAGATTAATCATCACCTCTCCTCATCAAACATTTTCGTAACATATTTCAGAAAGCATTTTCATATAATTCTCATTTTCCTACCTTGACAGTGACAATGAACCTGTCTGTGATAACCTCAGTTAACAAACTAAAGCACAGTTTGGTACAGCACAATCTCATTAAAATCGCTAAACAAAGATTTGAGGACATCCTATTACGGGTCACGTCAGAAAGACCTTTCATCCGACCAATCAAAACATCGCTTACCAGATCATGAAAGTGAGTCGGAATGTGCTTTCTAATCATGCAACCTCGAAAACATTAACGTGCTGTATTCGGCAGGAATCATGCACGTTGAGACGCCCAACGCTAAACACCGTATTCGTGCGTGTGTGATTCCCGTGCACCCTTTCGAGTTGAGTTGATTGGTTCAACTGTGTCATATGGCCCTGTGACGCAGGGGTAGCATTATGCAGATGGCTGTTTCAATGAATGCTCGTTCCACCCGTGACGAACAGGTCTGGTTGTTGATGAAATATAGTGATAGCTAAATAGACAGATTTTTTATTCATGCACCGATTGTCTTTAAATGTAATATCCAGTTATGTATGACTGTTTAATAATCTCATACCAACTTTGACTATAGAAGGTCCAATAGTTTTTCAGATATTGTAGTAAACGTCGTCACCTTAAATTAACTTCCAGACTATAGTCCTTTGGATATGCAAGGACTACAGGACTGGTGCCAATTTCTATAGCTGGCTGGCGCTGACCCAACCCAGTGAGCAGGGCATTACATACATTACATCCCGGTCCATTCTGTGCAGTAGCTGTCACGAGAGACCCCTTCCCCTGCCACTAGGCTTAACCTCCTCACCCGAACTGTCTCCTCATTGCTTTCTTCATCCTTCTCCCCTTCCTTGAGTTTCTTCTTCTTCTTGGTCTTGTCTCGGTCCTTGCTTCGCTGTACCTTCTCTGCTCGGTGGAAGAGCCCCTTCTGTAGCAGCCTGAAACACAGAGTCATTGTAGCAAACCAGTGTTGATGACATTCATGAACAAAGACGACCCCCATATCCATGATATCTGGAACACAATGCCAGACAACCACTCATTGCAACCATCTCATATAAGTGGACACTGACAACAATTACCATATCCCATGTACTTAGCATTCTGACTTCAAACACTGGAAATTGTTTTTGATAAAGTTACTAGGCAACATATATCTAGCCCTTTCACACTGCTATTTTCTGTATAAAATACTTCATATATTAGGACCCTGCCCACATCAATCTGGAAAATGCTACAGATCTCGAGATAAGCTGTGTATTTGCGTAAAATATGCATTAAATAAACTGAAATCAAATCCTAGTGTATCAAATACGCAACAAAAAATATAAATACGTTCTTGAAAAAAAAATAAAGCTTATATTACAAGTATCAAATAAACTGATTATGTATATTACAACTGTTTGATAAAATGATTCTGGATCAGCAGATGGTGAACAGCTACATTCGGAAAAGCTTGTGCGACAAAAATACTGAGAGATGCCAATTGATAAGCACATCGTGCCTAGTCAGTGTACAGGTTGTATCTTAATCATGTTAATAAGTCGCTGATTTGTGATTAAAAAAAAATAGTGTTAGGTTTTGCAAACAAAATGGCTTCCCAGAGAGGGAGCAGGAAGCAGATGCAGATGGGTATACTACTATTCACATAGTTTAAAATGATTTTCAGGGATTGTTACAAAACTGGTTTTAAGTTAAAATACCCAAATGTCAAGAAACAGGTGGGTTAAAAAATTGGAATACCCTCTAAAAATTGTGGATACTCAATCAAAAACAAACCCCTGGGTAAAATACCCAAACAACCAAAGGCTAATCTAGAGCTGTGTGCTAAAGGTATCCTTTGTGTGTGTATGTCTGATTCTGCTGGGGGGCCATGGGTGGCCCAGTCGTCGCGATTCGCTGCAGAGTTGCGTCCCTTGGGCATGCCAGAAACCTATGATTGTGGGTTTGAATCCCGGTTCGCCCCGATTATGTTTCTAGGTTTGTCAGCACCATACCCGAGCTCCTGGGTTTCACGGAAGTGGTAAACGTCTGAGACCTGCATCACTTCGGGCTTTCCTTCCACATTAAGCTGACACGCCGCGATATAACTGGAATACTGTTAAAAGCGGCGTTAAACCAAACTCACTCACTCACTCACTGATTCTGCTGACGCTACTGCGAGGGTGTTGAGTGAGGGTACCTGTTACAGAATGCCACACAGGATGACCGGTTGGTGAACAGAGGCTCCTTGGCCTGCTTCGACCACTTGGACTCCAGCAGAGCGTCCACCGCTTTATTGGCTGCAAGCAGAAGAAGCCTTGTTAGTTTGGGTTGTTTGTTTGTTTGTTTATTTGTTGTTTCACGCCGCACTCAGCAATATTCTAGCTATATGACGTCGGTCTGTAAATAATCGAGTCTGGACCAGACAATCCAGGGATTGACATCATGAGCATCGATCCACGCAATTGGGATACGATGACATGCAACCAAGTCAGCGAGCCTAACCACCCGATCCCGTTAGTTGCATCTTACGACAAGCATAGTCGCCTTTTACGGCAAGCATGGGTTGCTGAAGACCTATTCTACCCGGATCTGCACAGGTCTGTGTCCAACAAAGCCACATTAGCCAATAGTTCCAGAATATTTATCAAACAGTATGTATAAGCTAGCGTCTCCTCAGGGTATAACAGACTTTCAACACTCAAGGCGAAGAGGGTGGGGCTGAGTAACTAACTGACTTAGACCATATGGTTGGCCAAGAAGGCGTCACTCCCCTCTTGTCTGAATCAAATCATACGACCTTAGCACGCTGTTCGTGCTTGGGTCGTTACAAAGGATAGTGACCCGTCAAGACAATGGGCCCTAGTGATATAAGGTGACATAACACACTTGATAATCGAGGATGGCTTGATGGCAGTTGGCTGACCACATCCATCACTGGAACATGGTCAGAGTGAGTGAGTGAGTGAGTGAGTGAGTGAGTGAGTGAGTGAGTGAGTGAGTGAGTGAGTGAGTGAGTGAGTGAGTGAGTGAGTGAGTGGGGTTTTACGCTGCTTTTAGCAATATTCCAGCAATATCACGGCGGGGGAAACCAGAAATGGGCTTCACACATTGTACTCATGTCGGGAATCGAACCCGGGTCTTCGGCGTGACGAGTGAACGATTTAACCACTAGGCTACCCGACCACCCTCCAGTCCCTAGAAGCTTTCAACACACAATATATCGATGATGCTCATACATTTGCAGGAGCTTCGGATATACGTGGAAGGTGACTTTGTGAGTGGATATGGGCAGTAATCATGATAACACCTACCAAAGAAGCACTGTACTGTCATCCCCACCAGCCTCCCTTGTCTGGTCGGAACACCGAATCGGAGAAACTTGGCAACAGCATACTCCTCCTTCGAGGGCTTCTCCTGCACCTGTGACATAGTAACAATTATCACTGGGTGCTATATCCTAACCCACCTCCGTAGCATATATACATGACACAGTAACCATCATCATACAGTGTCTTGCAGGCATCACGACATGTCTACCACATGACGCTATATCCTAACCAACCTCCGTAGCATATATACATGACACTGTAACCATCATCAACAGGATCAATCAGTGTTTTCAAGGGGTAGACTAAACAAGAAATTTCTATGTAGCCAGCAGCGCTTGCTCCATTTAAAAGTTACTGGCCTTCTCTTAATGGAGGAGACAGCAAAGTTGTCGAACCTGTGGTCGTGTAGCCTACTACCGAAAATTTTTAAACTCCTCAACCCTGCAACGCCTTTTCCATTTGTTTTCTGCATTCTGAAGTTAAATCTTGGCTTCCATTTGCCTCATTTCGTGGTGGTTTATGGGCAAAATAAAGATGTTGTTGTACACAACATTACAAAATGGCAACCTGTTGGAATTCTACCAAGTTGATCAACATAAATCTTTGAGTTAACCATTCACATCACACACACCCTAAATATTTTCTCATCACAATAACACATTCACTATCCGTGTCCAATTAAAAAAAATTAACATTCACGGAGAAGGGGTGAAATTTTGACCAAATATGCAGGATATCTACTTTACATTACAGCAAGCCCTTTGTAATTTAAACTGGCCATGGGCCACTGGCCAGTAGTTAAATCAACCCCTGTCTACCTCAAGATGCAATACCATAACCCATCTCCGTACATATCAGCATATACATGACACAGTAACCATCATCAATCAGTGTCTTGCAGGGCATCGCGACATGTCTACAACATGATGCAACACCCTAACCGCTAACCCACCTCTGTACATATCAACATATATACATGACACAGTAACCATCATCACTAAGTACCTCGCAGGGCATCACGACATGTCTACCACATGATGCAATACGTTACGCTTGAGACGAGCTTGTTTATTGTACATGTAATCCCCTTCGATAAATATGGCGTCTGTGGAGGTCAGAGGTCAAAGTTGTGTAAGTATGGCCTGTCAACCAGCAAAACGTAAGCGACACGCAGTTACAGAACGCGAAAAAAGGGAAATTTGTCTGTTTAAAGAAAAACACCCGTCAGCAAGATTAGAAACCATCAGTAAGCATTATGGCACTGAATTTGGACATACCATAGGAAAATCGACAATTGGTGACAGTTCAAACTTCCATGACAGACTTTTTGAAACGTGTATGAATAAAGATTGAGTGGATGTATCTGTTTGCTCTGTCATCTGTCATGAGTTGCATAATTGAAGGGAAGTAACTCTTCCAGTAAGAAGCTGGTTTCAGTTATACGGCAATTCGTTTATACGGACGAATTGTGAAATGACGATACCTTTACTATTCTGCTATTGGGCACTTTGGTAAGGAATACAAGACTAGTGCCTATTTCTAACGCTGCCATCATCAATCAGTGTCTCGCAGGGCGTCACTGCATGTCTACCACATGATGCAACACCCAAACCCACCTCCGTACATATCAGCATATCGGAATCATCAATACTCATGAACACAGATATTAAGTCAGTTAAAAAAACAAATATCAACTGCACTCAGGATCAGTCCATCAAGACAACAGATTCATCAAATTCATAAAACTTCACCATGTACAGCAGCTTATGGCCATGCAGACATATTGCATTTAAACATGAGACATCAGACCTGTCTGATTCATGCTAAACAACTAGAGGTGTAACGATATGGGAGGGTCGCGATACGATAGGAATCGCGATACAGGGGTCGCGATACGATACGTATCACGATACAGTGTTTACTGGTACAAGTTAAGCCAAGTTGCTGTCTTTCTGCTCTCTAAAAGATGTGACAAGTACAGTTGAAGAAGATATAAAGTGTTTATTTACTGTTATAGCAAATTGTCAGCAATACAGTATGTTTTACTGAAACAACAAACTGGCTTTGAAACTGTTAAACATATTTCATGTAAGTAAAACTGTGTTATGAAAATATCGTATGGGTTGTGCTATATATTATCATTATAAGGACTAGTGGACAAAAACTGTTAGTTTCTATTACTGTTAGCCATAGTCATAATCGACCCGATTTTGCATGCATTAATTTTTTCTCTCTCTTTATCATACAGCACAAATTCATAGCAGCTGCCGCTTGGTAATTTTATGCCAAGCGTGCCTTTTTACTGCCAAGATAGTTCAGGTGTGATATCAGAGGCTGAAGCAATGTGATGCATTGACTACAATAAACGTCATTACTCTACGAACTGATACACATGTGTGTCCCACACTGACATGGAATATAGTTGGTTGGTTCGTCTGTTTGTTGTTTAACGCCGCACTCCGCAATATTACAGCTATATGACATCGGTCTGTAAACAAATGGTAAATAATCGAGTCTGGACCAGACAATCCAGTGATTAATATCATGAGCATCGATCCACGCAATTGGGATCAATGACATGCATCAACCAAGTCAGCGAGCCTGACCACCCTATCCTGTTAGTCGCCTTTTACGACAAGCATGGTCACCTTTTATGGCAAGCATGGGTTGCTGAAGACCTATTCTACCCCGGAATCTTCACGGGTTACATGGAATATGGACAGAGCAGGGATAGAAATGGGGTATTCTAATGTGTACCATGTGGCATTTACATTGATATTTAGCAGACTAAAGGCCATCATTAATAATACATGTATCTGTGTCTAGCAACCTGAGCCAGTAGTTTGAAGTGGGGTCGGTAGGTAGAGAATTTTAATAACTGTTCCACCATACCATTAAATGATTAAGGACAGACTTTATGACAAGGGATGTCATAGCATATTATGACATTGATGTATCAGGAATTTTTTAATGTCCATGCTGTATTGACATGAGCAATACAGATTTATGAATATCGATTCTAAACACACTAAACTCATAACTCACTGCCACAGAAAAGTGTAGTCTTATTAAGATCACCATGGTTGAACTTAAAGTGACAGTGACGGTTTTGTGTTTTAATATCATGACATCCCACCCTTAGTTCATGGCCAATTCAATTCTCAAACAAACACTAGAGCTCCGCACAGTGAAGCTGACATCGCAAGCCCTGCACAGAGTAGACAGGCTACAGTCATATTTTCTGTTAGATGCAAACTGAAGAGAAAACTTGTGTATTTTTCTCACGGATGAGTAAATTAGTACTAATTGCCAGCTTGATAAGCTTAGAAGCCTTGAGTGAGTGAGTGAGATTGGTTTTAAGCCGCTTTTAGCAATATTCCAGCAATATCACAGCGGGGGACACCAGAAATCGGCTTCACACATTGTACCCATGTCTGGAATCAAAACCGGGTCTTCGGCGTGACGAGCGAACGCTTTAACCACTAGGCTACCCGACCGCCCCTTAGAAGGTTTTTAATACATATTAATATGCCTCGGTCATTTTGGACGAGTCTGCACATTTCGATAAACATGTCATGAAATGTTTAACTTTCACTGAGGAAACATCCTATCTACATTATTATGCAAAACAATATGTACAGCGCATTGAAAGGCTTGCATTAGGCCCATGTTAGGCCCACCTGTGCTTATTTCAGAATTCAGTGTTTGTCACACACAAAAAACAGACACTTGAAAAGCCTACACCTGCAGTGTGGTCACTGAAGCAGAAACTTCTGTTGTGCAATGAGCTTGGAGGTTATCTTCTATTGTTTGCAAACCGGATAATGAGATAGCAGAAAATTAAAAAAATATTTAATGCAACAGCCTAGTTCATATTTAGCATGAAATGTATTTATTTCAGCTCCACAAAGGAACCATATATGGATTATCACGATACTTTTGAGCATGTTGATATCTCAATTACAAAATTTCCAATCAATATGACACCTCTAGTTTTGATGAAGAGAAGTCTGTGACCATAGCACTAGTTTGAAGTCTGAGTCAAGGGGAAAAGTTGGTCTGGAAAGCTCATAATAAAAGTCAACATGATAACACTAGCATGTATCGGTACAAAAACTGATGCTAAGAAACAAGGACTAGCACGGACAGTCAAGTCAACAGCTTTTGGCACAGGCTGCAAGCATCCCATGATTTTGCTGCAGACAAAACATTTTCAGGATTTAATGTTTGTAATATTTGTGTATTCTTCTCTTTCTATCATGTCCACAGCATTAGAAATTGGCACCAGTCCTATAGTCCTTGCCAAACTGCCCAATCATAAAGGTATCTAAGGACTAGTAGAAATTTGCCATTATTGAGGGTTTTGCTATGTGTTATCATTATAAGGACTACTGCTGTACTGGACTAAAACAGTTAGCTTCTATCGCTGCTGTCTATATTAGGACCAAATGTAAGAAAATAAAGACCTAGAGGACATTTTGGATGACAATCACCATGAATCAGTCAATGACCTAGCTAGAAAATGAACCAATCAAAAGCCTAGGGACCCCTTAATTTCATGTTTGATTACTGCATGAAACATGAAACATGAAACATGAAAGTTTTAGCACTGAGACCACTGTGGTAACAAGTGAGATTGGTTTTACGCTGCTTTCAGCAATACTCCAGCAACATCACGGCGGGGACACCAGAAATGGGCTTCACACATTGTACCCATGTCGGGAATCGAACCCGGGTCTTCAGCGTGACGAGCGAACGCTTTAACCACTAGGCTACCCGACCGCCCCTAAACTATAATAAATGCTAATATACCTTGTATATGACCTGATAAGCACAAAACTTGTAAACTAGAAGAAACGTTTACCCTGTCCTGCCAAGGCAAGCCTTCGTCATCTTCATCATAACAGGAGCTGGACATGCTAACACAATTCAGTTGCCACTAGTCTGTGCACTGAGCAGTCCCTTGTTGTTGGTACACAACTGGAATGCCAGTCAACACAAGGAAGAGTGTCCTACATCACTGTTATGTTTTGTCTCAGCTCCACTGGAGGTAAGTCAAATATGAGGATACACAGAAAAGGAAATAATTCAGAAAATTTTACACATAGTTAGTTTTTCAGATTTTGCAACATATGTCAGCATGGTAAAGTCATGGTAACTGTCTTCTGTCTCTTGTTTCACACTCTTAATTCAGACGATTTCCTTGCGTTGATCTCAGAGATGGAAAAGCATAACTGAGAAAAAAACTTTTTTTCTCAGACTCCAATAATGACAACACAGAGCTCCAGATAAGCAGCGTATTTGTGTAAAATACCCCCCCCCAAATATTCAAATCCCAATTACTTTCAATTAACTTGCGTACAGAAACACATGCATTACATGAAAAACTCAAATGTATAGAAACAGCACGCGTAAATACACAATGAAGCTTTTTCAGCATGCGTACAAAGAACCTAATTTCCAAAAAACAATTACAAACAGTTATATTTATCTAAACATTATTTCATTATTTTTAAACCTTAAAATGTTCACTAATTTTGGGAAAACCCAAAAGAGTGATGAACAGATGAGTGATAAAATATTGGTTACCCAATGAAAAATGTAATAACCCAATAAAAATAGAAACCCTAGAGTAAAAACTCAATTGCTCAAAATGTTATCTGGAGCTCTGTATTGCTTGGGGAAAATATGCAGAGGGGTTAATGCCAGGTAATTATGTTCTCCCAGTGGTGAGCGAATACAGCATTCGATGTAATAAGCGCCCACGGCGATATTTGCTAATATATTGGCTAGTGAACAATCCCAATTAGCACCCCTTCCGATTGATCAATGTACACAAGACCTATTTATTCGTGTATAATACGCAATCCTGTGTAATATGCACCCTCATTGTGGACAATTAAATTCTGGAAAAATATATCTGTCAAATATGAACATTTTAGGCTGTCAGCATAAACCACGAAATTTATCTTTCAACTCTCTTTTTTTCACCAAAATAATATTCTAATAAGAGCCCCCTATTTCATAATTTGAGAGCGCCCTGGGCGCTTATTACATCGAATACGGTATATTAACAGTCATCACCTCCTTCACAGCAGATGGTGGAGTAAACATGGTCCAGTTTAGAAATACTCCTCCATTATTGGAAATCTGGTGACATACTGTGAGTTTGTCAACAACATACAACCGTTACAAAAGTAGCTATTTGCACACACTGATGGCTCCACAAAGTGCCTTCATTAAAGCTGTGCTATTGTTGTGCTGAACTATAAAACTCAATAAATTGATTTCCACAAGGGCAACTCATACATATTGGAGTAGTTTCAAAATGTTTATAGATATACCATCATCGCTATATTAAGCTTCCTCCTCAACAAGCACGCCCTGACCCAACTCTAGACCAATATGTAAGTAGTCTTCATAAACGCCCCCTACTCAGACTAAAAACGTACAGTACAGAGCAATTTTCTTGTGAATATTATCATTAAAGAGAACTATAGCATAGAAGGGGTATAAAACTGACTATTATCAAAACCATTTTCGTTTCATCAACAGTTGAAATAAGCCTGTTCACTACCGCTCGATCTGAACAAACAAATTTAACTTGTCACGCTTATTGTGTGTGTTGTCATAAGCATTCCCATTTTCTTGGGCGCTTATTATGGTGAATATGGTATAAAGATTACCGTATTCGACGTAATAAGCGCCCCGCTCTAATTAGCGCCCACAGCGATATTTGCTGATATATTGGCTAGTGAACAAGCCCAATTTGCATCCCTTCCGATTGATCAATGTACAAAGGACTTATTTATTCGCGTATAATACGCAATCGTGTGTTATATACACCCTTAATTATTGGCAATTAAATTATGGAAAAATATATCTGTCGCATATAAACACTTCAGACTGTCAGCATAAACCACAAAATTTATCTTTCATCTGTTTTTTTTCACCAAAATAATATTCTAATAAGAGCCTCCTATTACTAATTTTGAGAGCGCCCCGGGCGCTTATTACGTCAAATACTGTATTCATATTAACATGGTTAACTGTCTTCTAAATAGGCCTGTGGGTCAGTGGTTCTTACATCATGCACATAAACATTAATATTATCACACATCGCTATATTTCATCAGGCATGAGAGAACAGTACTCTAGTTATATCACAGCGTGTCAGCTTAACGTGGGAGGAAAGCCCGAAGTAATGCAGGTCTCAGACATTTTACACTTGGGGAAACCCACAAGCATGGGTATGGTGCTGACAAACCTAGAAACATAATCAGGATGAACTGGGATTCGAACCCATAATCATAGCTTTCTGGCAAGCCCAAGGGATGCAACTCTGCAAAGTGAATTGCTGCGCCAAAGACCAGTGTACATGGTGTAGACGACTGGGCCACCTGTGCACCTTTTGACCCAAGCATCACAATACATTGCAATACAAAGGTCAACGTATGCTGTGTACATACAGTGAAACACCTTTAATCTGGACAGTGTTAAGTATGGAAACCACCGTTGACAGACTTTTCTGGTAGCAACAGATGAACACAAGGCAGTTCTCCACAACAATGCTTCATTAATCTGGAAATTTCTTAATCCAATTGATTTTTACTCTCTTTTTTCATTATGTCAATGAATTTGTCAGCAATTTTCAAACAATTTTTTCATTATGTCAATGAATTTGTCGACAATTTTCAAACAATTTTTATTTGTTCAAAGTTGGGACTGGTAATTTTTGACACGTGGGAAGTCAGTCTAGACCAAGCCTGTTAATATAAATCAGTATAGTTCCTTTTGATCAAAGGAGATGAGTGATGCTTGACACAGAAAATTAAAAATATTAGATGAAGGCCAAAGTATTTAAAAATGACCTCATCAATCACATTACTGTGTTTCTTGTTATTGTGTGTGAGTTAAAATTAGGTCACATCGGCAATATTTCAGCCATATTGTGACTAGACAAAGTAATGCATGTGCTTTCTGGAAATCATCAAAAGACAATAATATTAGTAGTGACGTATCAGAGATAGATATATTATCAACTAGCTTGAAAACAATACTGAGATCAGATTGTTAAATGACAACACAATATAAAACTAGATAGGCAGTAAGCAAGAGTAGACCATTGCGACCATTGCGACTTACAGTACTTCTGCTTCCTGCATGGTTGGCTAGCAGGGTGCATTTCTATAGAGTCCTAAATTATGTGTAACTTGATGTCAGACTGGGAGAGTGAAACAGTATAGGCAGAAAATGATACCGCAGAAAAAATTGAACAAGTCTGACCCCAGTAATCTGAAGTTTTTACTGTTTAGTTGTAGATGTTTTAACAATATCATGTGTATGGTATTGTATACATGGTATATGGTAAGGTATTTAAGTTTTTAACTAGATCTAGTCATGTTTAATCACTTGTCCCAAGACAGAGTTTAGTAAAATCTCTGACAAGAAATACTAGCTTGACAAGAAATACTAGCTTGACTAAAAATAGTCAGTACAAAACTTAAAAGGGAGACCATATGGTCTCTGACATAACATATGTTGAGTGAAAAATCTGCTGAAATGTGGGATGTATTTGAGCTATCAAATACGCACATATTTGTCAAAGACAGCTTAACCATGTTAACTATACAACTAGACTCCCACATTTACTGTAGTTTATTAAATCACAATCAATTTTAACCAAATTCAAGTGATATTTTTTGTGACAATACTTCCACTTCCCAAAGACCATTTTCCAAATGAAGTGTACAGCATATAAAATGGCCAGTGTTTTAGTTAGGCGACGACTGACACATTGTTTTTTTATGATTTTTGTGTCAGCATTGTATTGTATGATTATTATGTATGTACCAGATGTTTTTGTTTTTTTAATGATATCGACATTGTGACAGAACACGGTTGAAAATTGATCAGTTTTACTGCTATAATTACTGAAATAAACGCTCGCTACATAGGCCAGTTTAAATGTATGGACTGAGACAAGTAATTAATTATCATTAATGTTCTATGACGATGCATGGACCAATGTTTACAAAACCACGGGTTCCTAGTTTTGACATCTGCCAGGCGATTCCATGTTCAGTGGATGATTGTGACTGGCGTTCGTCCTTGATATCCGAAACAGCAGGATGTCTGGCATAAATAACAACTAAACGTGCATCAGAAACCATAAAGATCATCATATGTTCAGTCAGTGACCTACCTCGTCCATTTTGCGCCGACTCTTCGTCTTTCTTTCGACCGCCATTACGTGGCTTTGACCTCGCTTTGGTTCCTAAATGGGAAAACCCCCATGTGACCAAACAAGGGGGATAATAGAGAATTTCCTCACGACATATCCATTTGTATGAACTGTAATGGACGGTATAAGATGATTACACGTTCGATTCCCATCTGTGTATATGTTCTTACCGTTGTAGATTTTGGTTATGTACAACAGCACTATATCAACTTACATTAATATAGCTGTAATTTGAATGAAAGAAAAATATCCAAAGCAAATTACGAATAAAGTTAATTATGTCAAATCATACTGCATATTATTGCTAACATGGAATCGAAATAATTACTACCAAACAAAAATTAAATGGCAATACATATTATAATAAATGTTACGTCACGGGTGATAAAGTGCATGAAAACAATATATGCCTTAAGTTTAACCTGGTTTATACGGACCCTCAAGGTTCGGATACCTCTTGTGAGCATTCCCAAATAGAATCATATCGCCACTGTCGTAAAATGGATTTCTCATCATTCCAGAAAGTGTGTACTCCAGACAACTCCTCGGAATGATATGCAGTATGCATATAGGTACAGTGACCGAGTATACTTTCACGCCGCTCTTATTGAGTCATGGAAGGGGACTTCAGATTCAGATTCAGATACTAATAATAGTAATAGTAAAAGTAATAACAACAACAACAACAACAACCACCATAGTAACAACAATAATAATAAGATAACAATATAGTAATGATAACAATAACAACAAAAACATAAATAATAATAATAATGATAAAACAACAATAATACTAATACTAATAATAACAATAACAACAACAAAAACATGAATAATAATAATGATACTAATAACAACAACATACCTATCATCACTAGTACAATAATGTGAACACATATAACCTTAACGGATTCGTAAATTATTACTTTGATTAGTATAACACATGATAGCTTCAACATTATTTTAGTGAGTATGGTTTTACGCCGCTTTTAGCAATATTCAAGCAATATCACGGCGGGGGACATCAGAAATGGGTCTTCACATATTGTACCCATGTCGGGAATCGAACCCGGGTCTTCAGCGAACGCTTTAATCACTAGGCAACCCGACCGCCCCGACATTAAAACAATGTCCAGTCCGTGTGATATTTTGTATTATTGTAGTATAATTGTACTTGAAATTTTTAGAAATCAATCAAACGGTTAACATGCTTGAACTTTTAGGCTAACATTAGTCTATACAAAATTTCATTACATATTGAATTTCTCTGATTATTATTCATTTTTACTTATTAATGTTTATATATATATATATATATATATATATAATACAGCTAGCTAGAGAAACATGTTTATCATCTTGACGGTGAGGCCGTCAACTAAATGATATGCTGTTGGTTAGTTGGTTGGTCTGTTTGTTGTTTAACGCCGCACTCAGCAATATTCCAGCTATATGACGGCGGTCTGTAAATAATCGAGTCTGGACCAGACAATCCAGTGATTAATATCATGAGCATCGATCCACGCAATTGGGATACGATGACATGCATCAACCAAGTCAGCGAGCCTGACCACCCGATCCCGTTAGTCGCCTTTTACGACAATCATAGTCACCTTTTACGGCAAGCATGGGTTGCTGAAGACCAATTCGGGTGCAGGCTAAAACGGCCCCTCAGCAAAACGTCACCGATTTCTCTGGCGAAAACGGCACCGCATTTGGCGAAAACGGCTACTATGAGTCGGGCGAAAACGGCACCTCTATTTTTAATAACGATAACAACGATTTTTGTAGTAATATATAGGGTTTATTTACATAGTATTTGATTGGTGATTTACATTGTATTTCCTCTTTTCAGTAAATATGTTCATATATACATGTCCATCTTCATCATCATCATCATCATCATCATCATCATCATCATCATCCTCTTCACAAAATTGGTCCATGAACAACAGAACATTGTGAAAGTACTTGGTTCAGGGAGAGATCTCCATCCTTGTATCTTCGCCATACGTCGAAGATCTCCTCTTGAAGATCGGAGTCGGTGAGTAAATTGGAGTAGGGGGCTAATTTCTTATTTGTTTTATTTCACAATTAGTTGTGTTTGTAAGAGACGATGTGAGTTTAATTTCTATTATTTTTCTTCAAAGCATGTTATGTTTTCACAATAAGTTGAGTTGCGTATAAGCTAAGTTGGATTATAGTTGGAGTAGAGGCTAATATCTAATGTAAACTTGTTTTAACATCTCACAATTATTGGCGCTTGCAAGTTACAATGTAAGTTTAATATCATTTATTTGACCAAGGTAAAAAAAAAATAATAAGGTGCCGTTTTCGCTCGAGTCGAGGTGCCGTTTTTGCTCGAGTCGAGGTGCCGTTTTCGCCAATCGGTGCCGTTTTCGCCCGGTGACGTTTTGCTGAGGTGCCGTTTTCGCTATAACCCGACCAATTCTACCCCGGAATCTTCACGGGTCTCAATGATATGCAGATAGGTTCCACAAGCTTGATACAAGACGCGTATAAGTGACCATGTAGTGGATGTGGAACAGTCAAATCGGAGCGTCACATAATTTCGAATTCGCAGCGATGTATACTGACGCGTAAAGCCTTTTGTTGTATATCGAAAGTGGAAAACCCCGCGACGTAGGCTAAGTATAGAACGCAGTCACCTGCTTGAGCACTTCCTAGTCGGGTCTCACCGTCAAGGGAGCTCCGCGATAACCCCATCCCTGTATCTGCAGCGCACAGCGTGTCCCTCGAGTCAGTACCCGTGGTTACTGTGTGTTAGAGAGCGAGATACACAGAGAAGGTAGGTGCCACAGTTCCTAAAAGTATATACCTGGTACGTCACTCACACAACATCACCACTGTCATCAAGGACAACATACTATTAATCTTAATCAGTAAATACGTTCATGGAAATGCTACACATGAAAATATATCAATGGATATAATACTGGTCATTTTTGAAATCAGTAAATACTGTTTTTGAAAATACCAGTTTCTGTACATGACCTTGAGAAATACAACCAACAATCTTGGCGATATGCCAGCGTTGTCATGTATAAGGGTTATTGTGATCGGGTCTGTATGCTGAGAGCTGTCCTACATTTGAAGACGAGACTCGTCACAAACACTAACACGTTGTTGACATATAAACAATTTCGATTTTGTGTTTCAATATCGATCAAAAGTTGCTGGGTTTATATCTCCAAATCACTGGTTTCCCAGAGAGGCCGGGGCATGTGGCTGCCCATTCATGCGCGGATACAGTGTCAAAACAAGTGTATTGATTCCGTCAGAGGCACACAACCTCAATTATATCTAGCTCATAATAATCCACCTGTGAAGACCCGGGGTAGGATATGTGTTCAGCAACCCACGCTTGCCGTAAAAGACAACTATGCTTGTAAGAGGCGACTAACGGGATCGGGTGGTCAGGGTCGCTGACTTGGTTGATGCATGTCATCGTATCCCAATTGCAGGAGTCGATGCTCATGATGTCAATCCCCAGATTGTCTGGTCCAGACTCGATTATTTACAGACCGCCGTCATAGAGCTGGAACATTGCTGAGTGCGGCGTTAAACAACAAACCAAAGAAATGTTGTTGGGTTTATATCTCCAAATCACTGGTTTCCCGGGGCTACCCATTCATGCGCGGACGCAGTGTCAAAACAAGTGTATTGATTCCGTCAGAGGCACACATCCTCAATTATATCTAGCTCATAATAATCCACCTGTGAAGACCAGGGGTAGAATAGGTGTTCAGCAACCCATGCTTGCCGTAAAAGACAACTATGCTTGTAAGAGGCGATGCTCATGATGTCACTCACTGGATTATCTTGTCCAGACTCGATTATTTACAGATCATATAGCTGGAATATTGCTGAGGCAGCATTGAACAACAAACCCACATCAATATAAGCATAATAGCTCCATTCTATGATGGTGTGCCCTGGATCCCTCCTCCACCAAAGCACAATCACGTCTCCTATCAGAAACCGCGCACAGTTCTCTCGCAAATGGGGGGAACGGGTGGCCCAGTCATCTAAGGCGCCGCGATTCGCTGTGCAGAGTTGCGTCCCTTGGGCACGCCAGAAACCTATGATTGTGGGTTCGAATCCCGGTTCGCCCCGATTATGTTTCTAGGTTTGTCAGCACCATACCCGTGCTCGTGGGTTTCACCGAAGTGGTAAACGTCTGAGACCTGCATCACTCCGGGCTTTCCTCCTACATTAAGCTGACACGCCGCGATATAACTGGAATACTGTTAAAAGCGGCGTAAAACCCAACTCACTCACTCACTCTCTCGCAAATGGCTGTAATTGTGGTGCCTCCTTCGAATCGGAATCAATACGAAGCTGTGGAAGGGAATGGACCCAGGGTGTTTATCATAACAGAATGGAGATAATACCCTGGACAATCGAGGATGACTAACATGCTGACGAATGATCTTTAAATAATGAATTATTATTGATAATATGAACTGTTAAGTAAACTTATTCTTCCCCGCCCTTAAGGCGGGGAAGTATACGGGAGAGGTTAATTTTGGAGCATGTAAGTCGACATGTTGGTTTCTTTGAAATTTCAAGCCACACAGTTACCGAAACGAAACATACAAATCATGTGAAATGTGCGTGAAATGTTGATGTTTATCTTTTCCAGCAATAAGAGATACTTCAAAATCGTCTTGCTATTCTGAGACTTAGTCACTTTTCGTAATGCTGATAACCCATGAAATTTGTTCATTTTGTTTTTAAAAGAGCTAAAAATTATCCCATTTCGCTAAAGTTAACCGGTCTATATTTTGTAAGAATAAACTATTGCGCATTGAGCGATTATCTTCTTTAGCTATAGGCGTAGTATAGAAGTGATAAATTCACGCACTGACCTTGCATTGCTGTACATCATATCTTATTCAAGCTGTATCACTGAGAGTGAGTGATTATCTCCCTTACCCGAACAGTTCAATTGCGCACTACCTTTGCAATGTATCGCATGTTATTCAGGCAGCCATCGAGAAACGTTCCAGGAAGGAATTTAGGCCAAGCCTGTCACGCGCACTCAATTTTCACACTGCTATTGCAACATATTGTTCAACACGATTAAATAACAGGCTTCTATAAACTATGACTTTTTTCAATAAACAACACATGTAAAACAACGGGTTTGATATGAGAAATTTTTTATTAGTTGTCTTCATAATCACATGTATGGCGCTTGCTGTGCATAGTTGAGCACAGCATTGTTTTAAATACTTCAATGTATGTAATGTATGGTACATGCCGTTTCATGCGGCGGTTTACGTTTCTGCATGGTTTATTGCTTTGACAAAAAAAATTAACTTCCAGCAGAGATCATACACCCGTATATGTTCTTTGCTTCTGGATACATAGGAAATCAACAGGTTGGTCTGTAATTTGCAATTATTTTCCAAAAAGATAATACGGTTGTATGATATCTTCACGATGTTTGGGTTGAACATAGTAACATTCTTCTAAACAAATTTCAAATCTAAGCCGGAAGCAATCACAACACAAACCCAGTTAACCAAACGGAACCATACACAAGAGTGAGTGAGGTAGTTGGGTTTAACGCCGTCTTGAATAGTATTCTGTGTCAGCTTGAAGTGGGATGAAAGTCTGAAGTGATGCAGGTCTTAGACGTTCACCACTTTGGTGAAACCAACGAGCAAGGGTTTTGTGCTGACAACAAAATCGGGGCGAACCGAGATTCAAACACACTGTCATAGGTTTCTGGCGTGCCCAAGGGACACAACTCTGCATAGCGAATTGCAGCGCCTTCGGCGACTGGGCCAACCATGCCCCCGTAAACAACTGTGAGAAACTATTATACAACAAAGATGTTTTAGATGAGATATGTATTGCGGAACATTCCATGAAGAAACAGTGGCAATATTGCACAATCACAAACTACAAAAAACATGCACAATAAACGACAATTAAAAAACACAGGAACATTCAACATTCAAAAGAGGTAGAATTTAATTTCTAAAACAAGTGTTTTATAATGATATGGAAACAATATGAGAATTGAGCAAAACTCTGGAATGTAGTACATACATGTACAAGGTATTTGTTTGTAATTGTTGATATGTTAACAGATCTTGGAAGTTGTTTCTGGATAACTGTTGGTAAACTTATTAAGAATCTGCTCCTTTTAACAGAGTGTACCAAATTCTTTATCATGATTGGGGATTATTTGTGATTCTCTTTCTTGGTTGTATTATGTAAGACAGTGCGTAATGTTGTTCATCTTCTGAGACATCACATGTTTCACAGAGACGTTGTTCAAATGGGGTTGGTGTTTTTGTATATCTACAATTTTTTCAATTTTTAGTTTGTGATTACTTAAACGAAGTTTTGAGAAAAGTGACCTATGGCCTTTGTTTTTACAATATGTAATACATCAAGTTTTGCCTGACAGGCCCAGTTTTCTTGCCTGGGTTTTCTTTGTGCTGACCAATTAAAGACACGGTTTCTTTTATTGTGCTTTCCAAAGATAAGTACATTAATAACAACCAATTTGTACTTAACACAAATTCTCTCCTCCCATAGCTTACACTTCCTTCCTCTGCACATAACATTATATGGCGGGGAGCTATTGATGCTCTGCAGCAATCTCTACTTGTATACATTCACATACCGTTACATATTGAATCACGCGATAAGACCCCAGAATAATTCCAGTACAAATATGTATTCGAAGCGTAAGTTCATTACACAATTTCTTGCTTATTTTTTCACGGAATATCTTTATCATTCATATCAATATATGCAGCCTCATTATTTCCCTTATTTTCTATTTGAATAGACCCAAGCCCCCTAAATATAATCGTAGGGGTGACTTAATTTTTTCGAAGAGTCATACTCTATGACCTCGCTGATGGTGCGTCATCGTGACGACATGGGATATGTGGGCACAAGATTTCAATCACTGAGATGTCTGGTCCGGACCTCGATTATTTCAAGGCCGCTGTGGACCCGTGAAGATGCCTGGTAGAAGACGTCTTCAACAACCCATGCTTATCGTAAAAGGTGACTATGCTTATCGTAAGAGGCGACTAACGGGATCGGGTGGTCAGGCTCTGACTTGGTTGATGCATGTCGTCGTTCCCAACTGCTTAGACCGATGTTCATGATATTAATCACTGTATTGTCTGGCCCAGAATCGATTATTTACAGACCACCGTCATACAGCTAGAATATTGCTGAGTGCGGCGTTAAACAACCAACCAACCAACTGTAGGCCGCTGTGATGTAGATGAATATTTCTGGCTGCAGTGACTCCTTGACCCAGGATGATTTAGTAAAATATGCTTGTACTATTTTTATTACATACGACGAAAACAAGATAACTTTCATCCAGAGGATCAACATACTCTACACTGCCATTAAGCGCACACGTGTGACCCAGAAGATAAAACAAATTTTTATTTGCATGTGGTACCTTCAGAAACAGGAATGAGAATATGGCACATTTCAGTTTAAATATGTATGTAATGTAAAAGTAGAAAACAAACATATTGCAACCAGCAACCAGCTTTGGAAACAAAACCAGTAATATGTTTTCCCAACAATGACTTCCTGAAACATTTGTTATTGTTTTCAAGAAACCGGGGTATTAAAGGGGAAGTGTACACGCAAAAATCACTTTCTTACTTTTTCTAAACAAAACGCAATTTTAGATTTAGTTAGTATCTGTGTTTGAAAATATACACTCATTTTTTTCACAGTGAAAGTAGGAAGCTCACAATTGTGTGAAAATGATATGCCGTTATGAGGCCTTCGTTTTTCGAGCTAAACAGGCCTGAGTTATCCCCCTTAGATTATGACGTATTTGGTGCCAGTTCAACTGGGTCCCTGTCTATTCTGAACGCAAAAGATATCAAGTACCAGTTTTCGGTAAAACAACATGGCCTACGACACACTCCGGCGCAGTGGTGACTCAGCATTACACTATGCTGGCTGGCATCTGAGACGCTAGAATCACACACCTATACCTACACCACGTGAAGCGGCTCTAACAAAGCATGATGACGTCATAATGTTTATCAATTGGCACCAATGACGTCATATTGCAAGGGGCATAAGCCATGGTGTTTTTGTTATGGAAATAGAACACTTGGTAAATGTGAAAAATATAAATCGTTTTAATGCAAAACATATGTTAATTAATTGTGATATTTTTATATTTTTGTCTATGACACTTCTAGGTTAACACTTTTATTGTGGAAAAAGTACAAGAAAATTAGGTTCATTTCCGTGTGAACTTGCCCTTTAAGTTGACACAATAATTGTGATGTGAGGTGAAATTGAGTGGGGTATTCATGAAAAACTGCGGCATGGTATCTCAGTGTGCTAGCACTATAAATCGGCATCAGTCCGGACTAGTACAAGCAGCCACACAAACACACACACGTACATGCACGTCGCTATACAAGTGCAATCATCTTGGACGCGACGTTAAACCCCATTTCACCTCACCTCACCTCCAACGATTACTCATCCCCATGGCCCATGCCCCCGTGTAATTTTCTCAAACCTATAACAAACAAGGCACGACGCCTGGTGCCATGCAATCAACTTGGGTCAAAGACATGCTGATGTTCATTTATTAGAAAATACGCTTCCTGAAAACCACTGTTCATCTATAAGAACCTCTAAGAACAGCGCCGCGATTCGCTGTGCAGGGTTGCGTCCCTTGGGCACGCCAGAAACCTATGATTGTGGGTTCGAATCCCGGTTCGCCCTGATTATGTTCTAGGTTTGTCACCACCGCACCTGTGCTCGTGGGTTTCCCCGAAGTGGTAAACGTCTGAGACCTGCATCACTTCGGGCTTTCCTCCCACATTAAGCTGACACGCCGCGATATAACTGGAATACTGTTAAAAGCGGCGTTAAACCCAACTCACTCACTCTAAGATCAGCCTTCGTTGACACATTTTAATCTTTATACTGTGTACTAATATTTAGTGTTATGTTCAAAACCTTAAAACCTTAAAAATCAACACAGTCAAAGTCTCATAACAGTTCTTAATGTGTTAGGGGGCACGGGTGGCCCAGTCGTTCAAGGCGCCGCGATTCGCTGTGCAGAGTTGCGTCCCTTGGGCACGCCAGAAACCTATGATTGTGGGTTCGAATCCCGGTTCTCCCCGATTATGTTTCTAGGTTTGTCAGCACCATACCCGTGCCCGTGGGTTTCACCGAAGTGGTAAACGTCTGAGACCTGCATCACTTCGGGCTTTCCTCCCACATTTGGCTGATACTGTTTAAAGCGGCGTTAATCCCAACTCACTCACTCTAAATGTCTTAAGGTATGTTCAATCCAAGAGCCAAACAGGGTCCTTATTGTACCTTGTCTTTTGTATATTACAATGTAGAAATCTTGCTTACTGAGAATTATACCAACATATGTGGACTAAATGCCCCCCTCCCCAATATTACGCCTTGATATAGCGAGGGGAATCCGGAGGCCTGTTTAAATTAAATATCCTAATATTGTAGGCATCAAACACCAAACAACGCTATTTAGAATTCACATAATAATTCAGAAAACACAGAGTTGGTCAGATCTATCTTTGTGTTTAACTTAAGGAGATGCTAACTTGAAATGGGCGTGTCGTCTCAAAACGTTGTATTCCGGTATATATCGTTGTTGTTGTTGTTGTTGCTTTAAATCTTTAAGAATTCGCCTTCTGTCTTAGAAATTTCGGCTGACCTGTCCCTCTTTGGGACTCATGTGTGTGAATAAGATACACATATCGATTGCGAGTTTTGTTATTCATAGAATTTCTGTTTTTGTATTGATATGATTTCTGTTTTCGTAAATTGATATGATTTCATTTTTATCTTTGGCTGCTCTGCTTATTTGCGTTCGAGCAGCTGTCCATCTCTCAGAAATAGAGTTAGTTTGGCCTTCGCTATTGCATATCTTGGCTTTAGGAGATCTACGACAGATCTAACTGCAATTCTTGTTTTAACTGACCCAGGGCTGGGGCATGGTCTTGACAGTCTAGTAACACGTGAGCAATGGTTTCAACCTGATGGCAAGATGGACATACCTTGTCATAGTGTTTTTTGTGACCGGGTCTGAGGTGTGAGATGGCAATTTCAACTTTCCTTTCATTTGAGTATGAGTTTGGCTTTTAGTGGATCTTGGGTTGAATTTTGTATAGCCATCTGCCGATCTTACTTGCGTTCCACTGGGCTTGCGATCTTTTGGCTATGGAGACTTTGATTTTGCTTTTTATCTCACTAATGTTCACAAATGGGAATAGGCTGTATCCCCGCTTTGTCTCGACTAGCTTCGCTAGTGTGTCTGCTTTTCTATTTACATATATCGTATGTCAGTGTCTCTTTTCTATTCCTTCGCAGTACAGAGCGTGAACGATGTTTATTGGTCTAAGAGTTATCCGAGGCCCTGATTGGTCAAACAGCGAATGTGATGGAGGTGAAGGTCACGTTGGTACGGTCGCGACGATAGAGGGCCCTGGTGCTGTTGACGTCATCTGGGACAGTGGTCAGAGAAGCACGTGCAAGGCGGGCAAGGGTGGTCAACATGAACTGAGAGTATTTGACAGCGCACCTGTAGGTATGTGTGGCCATGGATATATATATATATATATATATATATATATATATATATATATATATATATATATATATTGTAAACAGTTGGAAGAATATTGAGGCCTAGTAGATTAACAAGAAATTAATTTTCAATAACGTCATACGTCATCATTTACAATGTTTATGGTTGTTAATACAGTGTCCAAGATATGTGCTATGACGCACCAATTATTTCCAGGCATACGTCACAAGGGTGTCACGTGCAGTGGGTGTGACACCAAGGACTTCTTCGGCACGAAATGGACGTGCAGTCAGTGCAAGGACGCCAACCTGTGCTTCCTCTGCTACTCCGCGGACAAGCATGCCCTGAGCCACGTGTTTGTGCGTCACGACTCCCCCGGGGATAAAGGGTAGGCCAAGAGAGATAACTCCACTGCCAGATGTCGCTGTTTGTTGACACTTGAACTTATTGTTATTTTAAAGCTTAAAGATGGTTAATGATACCACGAGTCAGCAATATGTACCGACACTTAGGCATTTTGAATTGTACAGGAAATCTCTTGAAAAAAAATGATTATGCTCCAGACTGATAAATAAAGGAACTTGTCGGTCACAAAAACTACACTTTTGCAAGGTCTTATCTCACTCACACACACCCCACACCCCCCACACCCCCACACCCCACACACCCCCACCCACCCTACCACCCCAACCCGAAACCTAATAGTAAGATTGTGGGTTCGAATCCCGGTTCTCCCCGATTATGTTTCTAGGTTTGTCAGCACCATACCCGTGCTCGTGGGCTTCACCGAAGTGGTAAACGTCTGAGACCTGCATCACTTCCGGCTTTCCTCCCACATTAAGCTGACACGCCGTGATATAACTGGAATAATGTTAAAAGCGGCGTTAAACTCACTCATTCATCTTTGACACTGTGATTTGAATGCTTTCCGCAGCTTTATTGGTGAGAGGACTCTCGGGTATGCAATCTACTCATGAGACGGTTAAAAATTTAGTTGAATGTCAAGGCCTCAATTAATCAGATCAGGCTAAAACTAAGGGTCAAGCTTAACACAGTTTCCTTTTAGTCGTCTTATCTGCTTTGTATGGAATGAGGTTACTCATCTCTCTGACATGACAGAGTATTTACTTGCGGTGTTAAGTGTTGAATTTATTCCAGAAGCATATTGTTAAATCATCTCATCCACTTGAAACACATATCTCTTGTTTAAGATCAGTTGATGTGTTGGCCGCAACTAGACCTCTATGGCCCCAAATCAAACGACACCCAACCAACCATCAGTTTGTTAACTATATTTGCATGTTGACAGAAAAGCACCTAAACCAATGTGTGTCAGGTCTGCCAGGCAGACTGTAAACCAAATATGTTAAATATAATATAACAACAGTGTTTAATCACTTCAGAACTGAAGTTAAGAAACGTTCCGGGTGTCTGAAGATCCGATCCCTTGGACTTTTCCCAGGAGCGCGGGTTGTCCGGGGTGAAGACTGGAAGTGGGAACAGCAGGATGGTAGGTCAAGGTCATATCATGGTCAAGGTTAAAGTGAAGGTCACTCAAAACAGACATTAACGTCAGAACCACGACGCATTCTTCACCAATCATTCTCTTTAAATATTCTAAAGTATTATTGATATATAGCAAGACGTTTCCATGAGTGAAATGAGTTTGACGCCGCTTTGAACAATATCTCAGTTATTTCACAACCATGACAGCTTGATGTGGAAGGAAAGCCCGAAGTTGTTTTAGACGTTAACACTTACTTGAAACGGGTGACCCAGAGTTGCGTCCCTTGGGCACGCCAGAAACTCATGATTGTGGGTTCGAATCCCGGCTCGCCCCGATTATGTTTCCTATGTTTGTCAGCACCATACCCGTGCTCGTGGGTTTCACCGAAGCGGTAAACGTCTGAGACCTGCAACACTTCGGGCTTTCCTCCCACATAAAGCTGACACGCCGCGATATAACTGGAATACTGTTCAAAGTGGCGTTAAAACCAACTCACTCACTCACTCACTACTTGACATTCACGAGCACGTGTATTGTGCTGGCAAACATAGACACCCGAAATCGAAATCTGCAAGTCGTTCGGGATGCAACTGTTCACAGCCAGTTACGGCGTTACAACGGGTCCTCCCTTATCCCCGTGATCCAAGATCTTATACCCCGTCTACTCAGAGCTCCAGATAAGCTGCGTATCTGCGTAAAACGCATCAGAAATGCAGAGATACCCAGTAAAATAAAATCCAAGCGTATCAAATACGCAACGAACATTACAGATGCGCTACAAAAATAAAACTTGTGCGTATCATCAAAATATTGTGAAGTAACCCTGCGTATTCGATTTGCAAATCAGCAACTTATTTTGAAATTATAAACGGCATTCCGTCAACCTTGCCAAACTCCACGATGACTGTAACATCATGATCATTTGCCATCTCACTTTCTTGTTGAAGTATCGTGGTATTTTTTAGTTCTTTTAAGCTCTCGAACCCACACGACACCAGTTTGCAGGGACTAGATGAATAGTCTTTTTAAAAATCTAACTTAAATACCCACATGTGTAAAAACTAGTGGGTTACAGAAATTTGAATACCCAGATACCCAATGACTCTAAAATGCATGGGTAAAATACCCACAACACCAAAAGCTTATCTGGAGCTCTGTCTACTGTAGGCGAAAAAGCAAGTGTTCAAGCTGTGTAGGACGTTCTATCCAAGGATCGAGTGTCAGTTTTCCTTCACTTCAGGCGGGTCAGGGAGTAAGGGGAAACTAACTGAGATCCCGACCGAGCACAACGTGACCACCATCAGGAACATCGCGCGGGTCAAGTGGGATAATGGCCGCTCCAACATCTACAGAGTCGGCCACGAGGGAAAAGTGGACGTCAAGTACACAGAGGAGGGGGTCGGACCGTCGTACTACAGGGAGAACATGCCGGTGCTGGGTACGTGTACGTCACACTGCCTCAAGTGTACCCGTCCAAACCAATCCGACTTTACGCACACACTCTACCATCCCGTCTCTATTCACATACTTTGTTAACCCTAACATACGTACATACTTTGTTAACCCGACCATACGTACACACTATGTTAACCCGACCATAGGTACACACCATGTTAGGCCGACCATACGTACACACTATGTTAACCCGAACGTACGTACATACTATGTTAACCCGACCATAGGTACACACCATGTTAGGCCGACCATACGTACACACTAAGTTAACCCGAACGTACGTACATACTATGTTAACCCGACCATAAGTACACATCATTTTAACCCGACCATACGTACACACCATGTTAGGCCGACAATACGTACATTCTATGTTAACCCGACCATACGTATATTCTGTGTTAACCCGACCATACGTACACACCATGTTAACCCGACCATACGTACATACTTTGTTAACCCGACCATTCGTACACACCATGTTAACCCGACCATACGTACATTCTTTGTTAACCCGACCATACGTATATTCTATGTTACCCGACCATACGTACACACCATGTTAACCCGACCATACGAACACATTATGTTAACCCGACCATACGTACACACCATGTTAGGCCGACCATACGTACACACTAAGTTAACCCAAACGTACGTACATACTATGTTAACCCGACCATACGTACACACCATGTTAGGCCGACCATACGTACACACTAAGTTAACCCGAACGTACGTACATACTATGTTAACCCGACCATAAGTACACATCATGTTAACCCGACCATACGTACACACCATGTTAGGCCGACAATACGTACATTCTATGTTAACCCGACCATACGTATATTCTGTGTTAACCCGACCATATGTACACACAATGTTAACCCGACCATACGTACATACTTTGTTAACCCGACCATTCGTACACACCATGTTAACCCGACCATACGTACATTCTATGTTAACCCGACCATACGTATATTCTATGTTAACCCGACCATACGTACACACCATGTTAACCCGACCATACGAACACATTATGTTAACCCGACCATACGTACACACCATGTTAAGCCGACCATACGTACACATGATGTTAACCCGACCATACGTACACACCATGTTAACCCGACCATGCGTACACATTATGTTAACCCGACCATGCGTACACATTATGTTAACCCGACCATTCGTACACATTATGTTAACCCGACCATACGTACACATTATGTTAACCCGACTATACGTACACACAATGTTAACCGACCATACGTACACATTATGTTAACCCGACCATACGTACACATTATGTTAACCCGACTATTCGTACACACAATGTTAACCAGATCATACGTACACACTTTTTCAAATTTACCCCCGTATACAGAATAGGAACCATTCGCTACCTACATTCTACCAACCCGACTATACGAACACTACGTCAATCCGATCGTATACGTACGTACGCACATCAATAAACCAATTGCATGGGATTCCGTGGCACCTGATTGGCTAAACAAGCATATTATGCGTTTATGTTTCCATAAACCGAAAACATAAGGCCACTGTCGCAAAATGCACGACTGTTTCCTGATAATATAATAGCTGATAATATTCTCAATTCCAAAAGAAATACATATCCTAAAGTATTAGATGTCCGACAACTGAAAGTTACCATAATTACATTTTCGGACATTTCATACTTTAGGGTGTTCGTTTCTTATGGAGTTTCTTCTGGGGTTTATGTTGCATTGTTGCGCTGAATGAATGAGTGAGTTTGGTTTTATGCCGCTTTTAGCAATATTCCAGCAATATCACGGCGGGGACACCAGAAATGGGCTTCACACGTTGTACCCATGTCGGGAATCGAACCCGGGTCTTCGGTGTGACGAGCGAACGCTTTAACCACTAGGCTACCCGACCGCCCCGCGCTGAATGATGTTGCTGATTTCGCACTGTTGTCTACAGGTGTTTGTGTGTTAATGATTAAATAATTAGTCTGTAATCTTATTGTTGACGTATTCATTTATAAGGTTTGACTTCTATATGTGTTTTCGTTTATACCTCCATAAAGGCAAAACAAATATTGAAGTCACTTGCTCATCAACCTGACCCCACGTAAAAGCTATTAAACTCTTCCCTATTGATATGCTACATCAACTGACCTCACGTACACACCATGTCAATCAGACCTCACGTACACACTATGTTAATCTGACCTCACGTACACACTATGTCAATCTGACCTCACGCACACACTATGTCAATCTGACCTCACGTACACACTATGTCAATCTGACCTCACGTACACACTATGTCAATCTGACCTCATGTACACACTCTGTCAATCTGACCTCACGCACACACTATTTCAATCTGACCTCACGTACACACCATGTCAATCTGACATCACGTAGACATTATGTCAATCTGACCTCACGCACACACTATGTCAATCCGACCTCACGCACACACTCTGTCAATCTGACCTCACGCACACACTATGTCAATCCGACCTCACGTACACACTCTGTCAATCCGACCTCACGTACACACTATCAATCTGACAGTACACGTTTACATGCTGTGACCACGACCCCAAGTACAAACTATTCAGATCGACCTTACATATCTCTGACTTTCTACGCAGCTGATATCACATTAAAAAAAAACAATAGGCTACTCTGTACAGATCCTACAATACAAATAATTACTTGTGTGGCACTATAGGCCCTTGGCTTTCTCAGAAGTTGAAAATAAAGATTGATTGATTGACTCTCGTGAAGGAGCTAAGAAGTCAGTCCTTTGTGAAGACATTTCAAAATGACAACACTTAGCAATGGTAACTGCGGAGGATCTGTTCGTCCTTGATGTAAGGTTGCATTTCACAAAACTAGGGCGTCATCCACCAAACTAATTTCAAAAAGGATATGGAAAATATTATGATGAAATCCTGACTTCTAAAAAATGACACATAAATTGAAACCGCCCGTGAAGATCCGGGGTAGAATAGGTCTTCAGCAATCCATGCTTGCAGTAAAAGGCGACATTGCTTGTCGTAAAAGGCGACTAACGGGATCGGGTGGTCAGACTCGCTGACTTGGTTGATGCATGTCATCGATCCCAATTGCGTGGATCGATTCTCATGTTGTCAATCACTGGATTGTCTGGTCCAGACTCGATTACTTACAGACCCTCGTCATATAGCTGGAATATTGCTGAGTGCGGCGCTAGACAACAAACAAACAAACATAAATTAAAACCAGCAATACATCAACACCTCACACCTCTTTTTCAGACGTGAGTAGCGCACGGAGGGACAGTGTGGGCGGCACGAAGCTAGAGCCCGGATGTAAAGTGTGTGTCCAGGTGGACAAGGATGAACTGAAGCAGATCCAGGCGACAAAGGGAGGATGGTCGGCCGGTATGTCACAGGTACGACCTACAGCACTACAGGACCTTACAGTCTGCTCGGGTAGATCACGCCTGTCATCCCACCCGACCGCCTCCGTGGTGTAGTGGATAACGTGTCTGCCTGAGGCCGGAAGGTCGGCGGTTCGAATCCCGGCCGCGTCAAACAAGAAGGCATAAAAAATGGTACTTGTTGTTACCCTGCTTGGCGCTTGTCATTGTGGATATACAACAAGAACTATTCGGCTACGAAACACTATGCCATGCCTCAGAGGAGTATCCTTGTTAAACTGGTATCTTGACCAGCACGATAAAATTGTCATTTGCCCGGGCATCGCTATACAAGTGCAAAAATCTTGAACGCGACGTTAAGACCATTTCAACAGGTAAGTTCCATCTTTTGGTATAACACGGCCGGGGATCGAATTGCCGATCTTCCGCTCTCTGGGCGGATGTCCAGAACAATTTAGAAGGACCCCATGGGGATTCCGGGTTAGAACAGTCTCTAGCAATCTCTGATCGTCGTAAGAGGCGACTAAATGGATCGGGTGGTCAGACTCGGAGACCCGGGTTTGTTTACAGTGTGTCATCTTCCCGATGGAAGCGTTGGTCGTTGTTCATAAATATAGGGGCGGTCGGGTAGCCTAATGGCTAAGGCGTCCGCTAGTCACGCCGAAGACCCGGGTTCGATTCCCGACATGGGTACAATGTATGAGCCCATTTCTGGTGTCCCCCGCCGTGATATTGCAGGAATATTCCTAAAAGCGGCGTAAAACCATTCTCACTCACTCACTCAAAAGTATAAATCACTGGATTATCTGGTCAGGCTCGCTTAAACGAAGAAAACATGGTTTGCATATTTGTTTCAGTGTATTGGGAAAGTCGGCGTCATCAAGCAGATTCCCAGTGAGGGTGTGGCTAGTGTGGAGTTCGGGAGGAGTCAGTACAGGATAGCGACACAGGCACTCTTAAAGGTACTGAGAACAGTAACCGGTATATCTGTTCATACAAAATATCTTGTGAAACTGGGGACGGTCGGGTAGCCTAGTGGTTAAAGCGTTCGCTCGTCACGCCGAAGACCCGGGTTCGATTTCCGACATGGGTACAATGTGTGAAGCCCATTTCTGGTGTCCCCCGCTGTGATATTGCTGGAATATTGCTAAAAGCGGCGTAAAACCATACTCACTCACTCACTCAATCACTCTTTTGAAACTGAATCTGTGTATATAATCTGTATCTGTGACAGTGTTCGTCGATGCAATTCCCAGTCGTGAAGTTTATCTATACATTTGTATTTGAAACTATTGACTGCCGGGGGAAGGTCGGGTAGCCTTGTGGTTTAGGCGTTCGCTCGTCACGCCGAAGACCCGGGTTCGATTCCCGACATGGGTACAATGTTTGAAGCCCATTTCTGGTGTCCCTCGCCGTGATATTGCAGGAATATTGCTAAAAGCGGCGTAAAACCATACTCACTCACTCACTTGACTACCGGGGAAAATGAAGTATACACCATTGTTTGGAGAAATGGTTATTCGATGTTGTTGTATTTGATCACGGGAATCATAACTGTGTTTTTGAACTTAAGTTTGCAGTGTTTCGGCGACTGGGTTTTGTCTAGTAACGTTTTGATAACTTTTATGATATTTTTATTTCCAATTTTCAAATGTATACTTTGTTTTGCCTGGCAGAGTATATATATCGTATGATGGCAAATGACAGTCGTATTTCATCTTTAATAATTGTAAAAAATGTTAACGTATCAGCGTCGCAATAAAATGATTGGTAATGCCGTGCGTGTAAATATAACGCCGACAATATAACAACAGGCAGCTTATACAAACATGACAAAATTAGTCAATTTGTGTTAAAATGTACTGCAATGGGTCGGTGGTGTAGCCTACCGGTTAATGCGTTCGCCCGTCAGGCCGAAGGCCCGGGTTCGATTCCACACATGGGTAAAATGCTTGATAGCGCCATTTCTAGTGTACCCGCTGTGATATTGCTATGATGAGCTACAATGTGGAGTAACACAATACTAACTGACGACAGAGGTACTAAAGTACTCACGGAAATGAAAAAAACCTGTTTTTTCGACCTCAGATCTTAAATAAATGCAGTTAATATACAAAATATGTAAATATTCAAACAACTAAATTAGTACTAATTGGGCCGTGGCACAAATACAGCGTATCAAATGTTTTTATGCCTTTTTACACGTAAAAGTGTGTAAAAATGTGAATAAAACAGACTATTGTGAAACAGGGCATAACCAGGTGTAAGTAGATCAAGGTGACCTATGACACCTTGACGACAGGTGAGAACAGGTGCATAATGCCTATAGCCTAAAGTCTGTTTCTGTCAATTTGGACTTAGTTTTATTTTTGAATGTTGAAAGTGCCGACAAATTACCTCCTGTAAAGTACATTTTGTATTGTTCACTGAGATCAAACTAGCAAATCCAGACTAGTACTTTTCGAATTGTTTTGTTATTTCGTATTTAAAGCTACGTAACACTTTGTGTCGATTTTTAAATTGAGAAAAACAGGGTTTTTTCATTTCCGTGAGTTCTTTAGCTGTGTTATGGCTCAACTGCAGGTGCACGACCACATGCTGAACACCGTGGTGAGGGTGCTGGCGGACAGGAAGAAGGTGCAACAGCTCCAGGAGGGGCACGGGGAGTGGAACTCCAAGATGGAGAAGGTAAGGCTCCACATTACTTCAACCACTGTGTTCCGGCATGCAACAGTCAGTACCGTCATGCAACAGTCAGTACCGTTATGCCACAGTCAGTACCGTCATGCCACAGTCAGTACCATTATGCAACAGTCAGTACCGTTATGCAACAGTCAGTACCGTCATGCCACAGTCAGTACCGTCATGCCACAGTCAGTACCGTTATGCCACAGTCAGTACCGTCATGCCACAGTCAGTACCGTAATGCCACAGTCAGTACCGTCATGCCACAGTCAGTACCGTTATGCCACAGTCAGTACCGTTATGCCACAGTCAGTACCGTTATGCAACAGTCAGTACCGTTATGCCACAGTCAGTACCGTTATGCCACAGTCAGTACCGTCGGTGTCACCTGGCTTTGGTTCCAGGGATGCTGATATCCTGAACTGGATTATGAAATGATTCGCCATTCATAAAAATATGTTTTGTCAGATCACTAGATTAGACAAGAAAATACAAATTTTTGATTTATTATATACATTATCAGTGATCTTCATGATCTTACTGACCGGGGTAGAATAGGTCTTCAGCAACCCATGCTTGCAGTAAAAGGCGACTATGCTTGTCGTAAGATGCGACTAACGGGATCGTGTGGTCAGGCTCGCTGACTTGGTTGATGCATGTCATCGTAACCCAATTGCGTGGATCGATTCTCATGAAGTCAATCATTGAATTGTCTGGTCCAGATTATTTACAGACCGCTGTCATATAGCTGGAATATTGCTGAGTGCGGCGTTGGACAACAAACAAACAAACAAATCACGATCTTACTCTGAAAACCTTATGACATTGTGGCAAAGGCCAGTAGTGCGGCATAAAATGTTATTTCACTCAAGTGAAATCTCAGTCATATATCTAATTTCCGTATTTCAAGAAATGAAAGTTGTTAAAAGCTCAACAAAGGGACTTTTTCCCCAAGGCGAAAAAAACAGTCGTAGGTCCGTGTTGAGCTCTGGTGGTATTAGCCCCAAGATGGCACTATTGCTGAGTGCGGCGTTAAATAACAAACCAACCATCTTTGTGTTCCCAGGCGCTTGGCAAGGTGGGTCGCGTGGTGAGAGTGGATAGTGACGGTGACATCGTGGTGTCCTTTGGCTCCTCCAAGTGGATCTTCAACCCTGCGTGCTGTGTCCCCGCCCCCGGGGAGAGGGTGGACGACGTGGAAGCGGGGGGAGGGGAAACTGCTGGGCTCGGAGGTGGGTGGAACCTCATATATACAAACGATAAATAACACTCCATTGTCTTTTTTAATGTCGCTTGCTTGAGAAAGGTGCTAGCATCTTTACAGGTTACACACAACCAAATGTTTTCCCATAGACTTCTATAGTAACGTTATAAAAAATTTTTAAATAACTAAGCATTCAACAGCTATTACCTGTACGTGTGTGCACAGTTTGGCCTTAGAGCAGCAATAAAAAAATAAAAAATGACTAGCTTAGCCAGCTCCTTTTCCGAGTACAGGAAGCTAAACACACCACCCCCAGTTTCGCACCAAATGTCACCTACTTGAAAATAGCTGTGGTCACATTCAGCATAAGTCATCATGTTGAAAAAGACAGTACTAAATATAGAAAAACATGGTCAGTTTAAATAACTGGAAGGATGTACATTTGAAAGACATAAAAATCTTACAGAATATCCTCCAATCACAGCCTGCAGATATCTCTCGATCTGCACTGAAGGCTCCTACGAAAACCGCACTGTCCAAACTGGTTCTGATTTGGTATAGTAGAACCTACAGAAACGTCACGTTGAGAGAATACGCGATAGTTGAAATCCAGAAGTAATTTCTGCCTTCATGGACGAACAAAGCGTCTGTAAAATACATTACTATTTTTTCTCTGTTTAAAAAAAAATAAATCTGATGCTGATATCATATGTGGAATATAGAATGTTAGACGTGTATATATTTATGATACAGACTTGTTCTGATTCTATTAAATGAAGATATTCTGCAGTCATGGTACGGGCCATCTATATAAGAGGGCACAATTCACTATGGTAATATTAGAAATAGCAAACATTATTTAGCAACAACAGCGAAATTTGACTTCACATAGAGGGATTCGTCATGAGTTGTTGGAGTGAAAACTTCCTCAACCCAACTGCACTTAATCAATACAATGATCACATCCTAAGGACAAGGTTCATTATTTCAGTGTCGTATATGGTCTGCTTTGACTTCCATACATTCGAGCCTAGCTTATCGTTATAACCATGAACTCTCACTGAGCATCTCTAAATTGTTGTGTGAAGGTCTAGCGGGTCCCCTGATGCAGCTCATGGCCGGACTGCTGGACAAACAGGTGCTGGAGATGGTGGCGGGCATGGCTGCACGTGCTGCTGCACCAGGGGCGAGCTCGGGGGACCTCTTCAAGGCCATCCTGACGGGGGACAAAGAGGCGGTCAAAGCCATTGTCAAAGCCAACCCCCAAAAGGTACATTATAGGGGGAGGGGGGTACATGTGTGTACATGGTGGTGTTTGGGTAGGTTGGTTGGTTGGTTTGTTGTTTAACGCCGCACTCAACAATATTCCAGCTGTATGACGGCGGTCTGTAAATAATCGAGTCTGGACCAGACAATCCAGTGATTGATATCATGAGCATTGATCCATGCAATGTGGGATTGATGACACGTATCAACCAAGTCAGCGAGCCTGACCACCCGATCCCGTTAGTCGCCTTTTACGACAAGCATAGTCGCCTTTTACAGCAAGCATGGGTTGCTGATGACCTATTCTACCCCGGATCTTCACAGGGTCTTACATTATGGGGGGGGGGGGGGGGGGGGGGGGGGGGCTATTTAATATTTGCGTGTGTGCATGTGTGTGCATGGTGGTGTTGAGGTTGGAAAGAGGTACACGTGCTGACTGAAAATTGTCTAAATTGTCTCAAACAAAAATCCAGTGCCACCCTTGCGAATTTTAAATGGTCCTCATTTGGAGGTGGAGCTTCCAGTTATTAAAGCGTTTGCTCATCTCGCCGAAGGCTCTGTTCTATTTTACGCATGGGTACATTGTATGCAGCCATTTCTCTTGCTGGAATATTGCTAAAGGAGGCTAAAACCCAACTCACTCATAACCTCTCGTGGGGGCACGGGTGTCCCAGTCGTCCCAGTCGCTGCGATTCGCTGTGCAGAATTGCCTCCCTTGGGCACGCCAGAAACCTATGATTGTGGGTTCGAATCCCGGTTCGCCCCGATTATGTTTCTAGGTTTGTCAGCACCATACCCGTGCTCGTGGGTTTCACCGAAGTGGTAAATGTCTGAGACCTGCATCACTTCACTCACTCACTCACTCACTCACTCACTCACTCACTCACTCACTCACTCACTCACTCACTCACTCACTCACTCACTCACTCACTCACTCACTCACTCACTCACTCACTCACTCACTCACTCACTCACTCACTCACTCACTCACTCACTCACTCACTCACTCACTCACTCACTCACTCACTCACTCACTCACTCACTCACTCACTCACTCACTCACTCACTCACTCACTCACTCACTCACTCACTCACTCACTCACTCACTCACTCACTCACTCACTCACTCACTCACTCACTCACTCACTCACTCACTCACTCACTCACTCACTCACTCACTCACTCACTCACTCACTCACTCACTCACTCACTCACTCACTCACTCACTCACTCACTCACTCACTCACTCACTCACTCACTCACTCACTCACTCACTCACTCACTCACTCACTCACTCACTCACTCACTCACTCACTCACTCACTCACTCACTCACTCACTCACTCACTCACTCACTCACTCACTCACTCACTCACTCACTCACTCACTCACTCACTCACTCACTCACTCACTCACTCACTCACTCACTCACTCACTCACTCACTCACTCACTCACTCACTCACTCACTCACTCACTCACTCACTCACTCACTCACTCACTCACTCACTCACTCACTCACTCACTCACTCACTCACTCACTCACTCACTCACTCACTCACTCACTCACTCACTCACTCACTCACTCACTCACTCACTCACTCACTCACTCACTCACTCACTCACTCACTCACTCACTCACTCACTCACTCACTCACTCACTCACTCACTCACTCACTCACTCACTCACTCACTCACTCACTCACTCACTCACTCACTCACTCACTCACTCACTCACTCACTCACTCACTCACTCACTCACTCACTCACTCACTCACTCACTCACTCACTCACTCACTCACTCACTCACTCACTCACTCACTCACTCACTCACTCACTCACTCACTCACTCACTCACTCACTCACTCACTCACTCACTCACTCACTCACTCACTCACTCACTCACTCACTCACTCACTCACTCACTCACTCACTCACTCACTCACTCACTCACTCACTCACTCACTCACTCACTCACTCACTCACTCACTCACTCACTCACTCACTCACTGTTTGATGTAGGCTACAGAACTGATCAAAGAACTGACTCCGCTGATGATCGCAGCTCATGAAGGGCAGGTGGACATTGTTCGAGTTCTCCTGGACAGCGGGGTTGACATGGAGGTCAAAGGTAAAAAGGGTGTCACAGCCATCGCAACAGCAATAATAGGGTAAGTCAAGGACTCGTTGCTATGTTGTTACAACTTCATCCTCCATCATCCAATTTCTTTATATTAGAGGCGGTCGGGTAGCCTGGTGGTTAAAGCGTTCGCTCGTCACGCCGAAGACCCGGGTCCGATTCCCGACATTGGTACAATATGTGAAGCTGATTTCTGGTGTCCTCCGCCGTGATATTGCTGGCATGGGATATTGCTAAAAGCGGCGAAAAACCATACTCACTAACTCACTCACTCTTTATATCAATTCTATTGTGAGAAATACCATGGACCTATTCGCTTCTATTCATTTGCGGGACGGCCGGGTAGCCTAGTGATCAAAGCGTTCGCTCGTCACACCGAAAACTCGGGTTCGATTCCCGACATGTGTACAATGTGTGAAGCCCATTTCTGGTGTCCCCCGCCGTGGTATTGCTGGGATATTATTAATAACGGCGTAAAACCATACTCACACACTCATTCACTATTCATTTGGAACCGGAGGCAGTGGGGGCCAAGTCGTCTAAGGCGCCGCGATTCGCTGTGCAGAGTTGCGTCCCTTGCGCACGCCAGAAACCTTTGATTGTGGGTTCGAATCCCGGTTCGCCCCGATTATGTTTCTAGGTTTGTCAGCACCATACCCGTGCTCGTGGGTTTCACCGAAGTGGTAAATGTCCTGCATCACTTCGGGTTTTCCTCCAACATTATGCTGACACGCCGCGATATAACTGGAATAATGTTAAAAGCGGCGTTAAACCAATCTCACTCACTCACTCATTTGGAACCCAAGTGGAATGGTACGACGCCAGAAATACCGTCCAATCAAAAAACTCTCATGAGCGACAGAAATTATGTGCTTTGTTAGTGACACTTACGTCACTGCCGAAACGAAACTGTGATGGCGAGTGGGTTTAGGGTAATTATAATAATAGGATTATAATAATAGAAAAATGCCTGGATAGTCGATTATGTCAGAGTTTATAGGTGCGTAACGAACCTCTGGTTCCTGAATTATTTAGAGTTGCAGATGTGTTTACACTATTTCACTAAATAATCAATATTCCCTATCAGTGGCAAGGAATTGGTGGCTCAGTTGCTGATTGAAAGGGGTGCCAACATTCACGTGACCTTGAACGATGGACAGACAACCCTTCACTTGGCGGTGCACAAGAATCTGTCCCGTACTCTCAAGCTTCTGATCCAGAAGGGCGTGGACGTCAATTCTGTGGTGAAGCGCATTACAATTCTTGTTTTATATATATAATACGCAGTATTGGGATCTTAGTAAATGGGGATGCTGTGCAGAGTTGCCCCCCTTCGGCGTACCAGAATCCGATGGTCATAGGTTCGATTGTCATATTCGCCCTGATTACGATTTCAGGTTTGTCAACAACCGACCGGTGCTCGTGGGTTTCACCGAAGTGGTAAACGTAGACCTCACTTCGGGTTTTCCTCCCTCAATAAGTCGACACGCCGTGATATAACATAATACTGTTAAAAAAGGGCGTTAAGTCGAACTCACTATTTTCAGACTAATAATCTATTTCATCAGTATTAGTTTAAATTGCTGCTAGGATACACTCAATATGTCGCAGGACATTTGAAAATTGGCAATTGGCAATTAATCATTATGTACTTACAGAGTTATGTCTAAGGTTATGTCTGACAGTTAAAAGCTCAAGGAATCTATTTTTATAACAGCCCGGGTCTTACTAGCCGGGTCGGGTAGTCTTGTGGTTAAGGCGTTCGCTCGTCACTGCGAAGACCCGGGTTCGATTCCCGACATGGGTACAATGTGTGAAGCCCATTTCTAGTGACCCCCACCGTTATATGGCTGTAATATATTGCCAAAAAAGCGGGGTAAAACCAAACTCACTCTCCACTCTAACTAGCCATCTAAACTTAAATGTTCTATTTGTACAGGATGGGTCGATGGACACGCCCCTGCATGACGCTATCGAGGTAAAGAGCAATGACTGTATAGAGGTTCTCCTGGGCAGCCGGAACATCGACCTGAGACTGTGCAACAAACGGAACTTCAACCACCTTCATCTGGCCTGCCTCAGAGGGAATGTCTTGTAAGAATTCCCTTTTAGTAACCAATAGACCCGTGAAGATCCGGGGTAGAATAGGTCTTCAGCAAACCATGCTTGCCGTAAAAGGCGACTATGCTTGTCGTAAAAGGCTACTAACGGGATCGGGTGGTCAGGGTCGCTGACTTGGTTGATCCATGTCATCGATCCCAATTGCGTGGATCGATGCTCATGATATCAATCAATGGATTGCAAGCCTATACTCGATTATTTACAGACCGCCGACATATAGCTGGAATATTGCTGAGTGCGGCGTTAAACAACAAACCAACCAACCAACCAAGTAACCAATCTTTCCTTTAACACGCGCTGATGACAAACCTAGATGAATTCCTTTTATTGCCGAGATTAGGGGCCACGGGTGGCCCAGTCTTCTAGGGCGCCGCGATTCGTTGTGCAGAGTTGCGTCCCTTGGGCACGCCAGAAACCTATGGTTTGGGGTTCGAATCCTGATTCGCCCCGATTATGTTTCTAGGTTTGTCAGCACCATACCCGTGCTTGTGGGTTTCACCGAAGTGGTAAACGTCTGAGACCTGCATCACTTCTGGCTTTTCTCCCACATTAAGCTGACACACCGCGATATAACTGGAATACTGTTAAAAGCGGCGTTAAACCCAACCCACTCACTCACTAATGCCGAGATTGAACAGTTATAGGCCTTTTGAGATAACGTTCCTTTTTTAGAGGTTTGTTTATATTTATAGTGCTGTAGAGAAGCTCCTGGAACGAGACAGATCCCTGGTGGACCTACTGATGGCCGGGGATAGCTTCTGTGCCTTACACATCACTGCAGCCAACGACCACGTCGAGTGTGCCAGGCTACTCCTGGACAAAGTGAGTTTGATACATCCGAACTTCAGATAAAGAAGTGTTGTCTTCTGAGAAAACAAAGAGATTGTGTGAGCTGGATTTAACGCCGCTTTGAACAGTATTTCGGTTATATCACGGCGTGTCTGCTTCATGTAAAACAAAGTCCAAGTTATGCGGGTGTTGTTGACAAAGCCAGAAACATTATCAAGGAGCATTTTAGATTCGAACTTTCGATCATGGGATGCTGGCGCACCTAAGGCACGCAACTCTGCACAGAGAGATGCATTGCCGGGACCGGTCATTTATTAAGTTGGTTCGGGGGTGGAAGGTCAGAGGGAATAAGGTCACCCAAAATTATGTAGATGAGGGTATGGTGCTGACAAACCTGGAAACATAATAAGGGAGATCCGCCCGGAGAGCGGAAGGTCCGGGGTTCAATCCCCGACCGCGTCATACCAAAAGACGTTAAAAGATGGTACTTGTTGTTACCATGTCTGGCGCTCGGCATTAAGGGGCTAAAACAAGGACTGGTCGGCTCGGAGTCAGTATACTGTGTCTGAGTGGGGTATTCATGTTAAAACTGCGGCATGGTATCTCAGTGAGCTAGCACTATAAATCGGCATCAGTCCGGACTAGTACAAGCAGCCACACACACACATACACGTGCATGCACGTCGCTATATAAGTGCAATAATCTTGGACGCGACGTTAAACCCAATTTCACCTCACCTAATAAGGGAGAATCGGAATTCGAATTCACGATCATCGCATTCTGGCATAAAAATGAAGTGGGGTCGTCACTGACATAGGCGCTCGTACATTGGGAATCGGGAAAATGAAACGAATTGTGTGCCAGATCGTTCCTTTTGATTCTGATCCGTGACAAAAACGTGCAATGTAAATCTTTTTTAAATACAATACTTAAGCAATTATATACATGAATGGACGCTTTGTGCTTTCATCAGTAAATGTTTTATTCACCGTGGATTCACCGTCATGTATGAGAGAAAAATATTTGATGTATAAATAACTGCCATATTTCTAACCGTACCTAAGGGCACGGGTGGCCCTGTCGCCTAAGGCGCCGCGATTCGCTGTGCAGAGTTGCGTCCCTTGGACAAACCAGAAACCTATGATTGTGGCTTCGAATCCCGATTCGCCCCGATTATTTTTCTAGGTTTGTCAGCACCATACCGGTGTTCGTGGGTTTCACCAACGTGGTAAGACTTGCATCACTTCGGGCTTTTCTCTCATATTAAGCTGACACGCCTGACATAACTGGAATACTGTTGAAAGCGGCGTTAAACCCAACTCATTCATTCACTCACTCACTCTAACCGCACCCCCAGGGCAAGGCCGATGTCAATAGGAAGGGACACAAAGGCGTTACGCCACTACACACGGCAGTCAGCACACCCAACTATCGTGTAGTGGAACTACTGTTGGAAAAAGGTCAGTTGCATCTTTGCTTGTTGTTTAACGCCGCACTCAGCTATATTCCGGCCATTTTACAGCGACCTGTAATATTACAACAATCGTCGGGGTACGATGAGACGCTATGAACCAAGTCACCGAGCCTGACACTTCTTATGACCAGCATTGTACGCTGTTGGTCCTTTTGAAATAGATAGTACTGTTGGGTTTTTCTTGTTCAATCTATGAAATTCTGGTTTTCAAACAAACTAACAAACAATCAAACAAACAAAATATTGAATAGGGCGTGAATTATTTTCAACTCATTGATTGATGAGGACCCATGTGTTTGGCCTACTCCGTTTTTACATGTTTTGTTTGTTTATTTGTTTGTTGTTTAACGCCGTACTCAGCAATATTCTAGCTATATGACGGCGGTCTGTAAATAATCGAGTCTGGACCAGACAATTCACCGATTGATATCATGAGCATCGACCCACGAAATTCGGATACGATGACATGCATCAACCAAGTCAGCGAGTCTGACCACCCGATCCCGTTGGTTGCTTCTTACGACAAGCATTCTCGCCTTTTACGACAAGCATTCTCGCCTTTTACGACAAGCATTCTCGCCTTTTACGGCAAGCATGTGTTGCTGAAGACCAGTTCTAACCCGGAACTTCACGGACCTTTTTACATAGCTGTATTTTCAAATCCGAATTTCCTACTGTTGTTTGTTAAATGGTGATGTATATTGGTTCTACTTGTTCCAGGTGCTGATGTGAATAGTACTAACGACACAGGCGACACGCCCCTCCACACGCTCTTTATTTTCAGTTCAAAGAAGAAGAAGGAAGCAGTGAGCTCTTTGATATTTTAGGTCATGTATAGGCCTAGCCATAGTTAAAGTTATATGATATAAGATAGCTACGTGATAAATCGCAAACAACAATGAAGAACGAAACGCGGTTTATTTCACGATAAAACATCGTTCTATCATGATGTCATTTCTGGAGATTCGAAGATGCGTTGGCAACTTGATGACGTCGTAAATAGGACGACGTTATTGCTGAGAGGGATGCAGCTGAACAGAGGGAGAAATATGGGAGAAAAGGTGCAGATAATTGATGTGAAAATTGTGAGAATATCATTCTTAACCCCCTGTACATAAAATGGAGTTGTCCGACACTGCCGAGGTCGGATTGTATTCGGGGAGTCATCGTTATTTAATGCGGGTAAATGTTTTCAAAGCTTGTACAATTTATTGACATCCTTAAAAAGATATCTCATATGAGTAAGTAACGCCTCGTGGTTGTTGTTTATCGTACAATAAAACACTGCAGGGAGAATAAACCAGTGCAGTGTTTTATTGTACGATAAACAACTCCCACTCATCGTTTATTTCTTAAATAAGAGTCGTTGATTGCTGTTCATCTTAAACTAGCTTAAGTGACCCTATGGTTGCTTAATAAAGTATGACACCCTGTCGAATTTACTTTAGTGGTACAGTGCGAACATGATGTGTGAAAAACAGTGGGTTCGTCTTATGATGAGTATTAATGATAGGAATGTGAAGAGTAACTAAGACAAAATTGTTATGGATGAGCAACTTCTCTAATTATTACAACTGGGCGACGTTTCGGTGTAGATTCTAACACCGTTATCAAGCAAATGATGTACAAACTAACTTACTTACTTACTTACTTTGGAGATTTAACGTGCGCTTTCCGACTGATGCGTATTTCGCACACGGGCCCGGCCAGGCCATTTAATGTGTTTCCGAAAGGGGCGAAGGTGGTCTGTGCAACCCAAGAGGGGGCTTTAGGGGTTGCTTATATAGAATTTGGGAATTTTGAGATTTGGAATAGATGCCGATGGGATTGGGGAGGAGAACTAAGGGAGCTGGGTATGGTGGATGTTTGTTTGTTTATGTGATTTTGATTTGGTAGGTTATTGTGTTTTTAGATGCGTTTTATTAGTTCCGTTTTTATTAAGAATACGCCTAAGGCCTTGACGTTTTTTAGTTTATTTTGTGGGTTTAGTATTGCTTCTAGAGTTAGAGCCTTGTTTAGATTGAGGGTGGTTTGTAATGCGGTTCGATGTGTTAGGTAGTGTGTGCAGTGGATGAGTGCGTGTTCTGGGGTTTCTGGTTGTTTGCAGTGTGGGCAGTTACCTGTAGTGTGTTTTTTAAATCTTTTTAGGTGGTTATTTAGGTTGGTGTGTCCTGTTTGGAGTTTAGTGATTACTCTGTCGATTTTTTTTGATGGATGGAGAATTTTTGGTTTGGTTAGTGGTTTGCTGAGCACTTTTTTGATTTGGCTATTTGAGTTTAGATATAGGTGATGCCATTTTTGTGTGATTTTTTGCTTGTTTACACTTTTAATTTCTGATTTTGAGATGGGTAAGTTTAAGCTTATTTCTGGGATTTTGAGGGATAGTTTAGCTGCTTTATCGGCGTTTTCATTACCGTATATTCCTACGTGGGCGGGTATCCACAAGAAGGTTATTTGTTTGCCTGCCTTAGTTAGGTCGTTGGAGCTTTTAAGTATTTGATTTATTAATTTAGGTCGGTTTTTGGTATTTTTGTTTTGGAGGGCTTGCAGTCCACTTAGGGAGTCGGTAAGTATTAGGATTTTTTGTGTTTTTTGGATTGGACAAACTAGGTATGAGCATGATATATATACATAACAATAGATAGATGTTTATATAACAGATAAGGTTGATGTACACTGATTGATTAGGTAGTTATGATAAGACAAGTTTATAGAAGAGATAGGGTTGATGTACAGTGATTGATGGGTATGGGATTAACACAAGGATTACTAAGAAGGAATGTATGGGAAGCAAGTGGGAGATAATAGTTCAGTGTTGTTTTGGCAAACTGATGAGATCATGGTAAGCTGGAGGGATGTAGTATCCTTGATCACTTGAAACGTCGCCCAATTGTAATAAAGAAGCTGCTCATCCATAACAATTTTGTCTTAGTTACCATTCCAACTTCTAAATGCCACTCAAAGAAGGAATGTGAAGAGATTTGACATGCCATCTTCTAGAGTGTGATCATGAAATGTTTAGATCGGGCGGCCTCTGTATAAGATGTACGGAGATTAAATGGAACACGACGAAATCCCCAGGACATTTCGGTTCAAATCTTGATAGAAGCTTGCTTCAAACAGTGAAAAATTATATTTTTAATGATTACACCAATATTTATCTTGATTATGTAAAACGCGAAGGCCATTTTTATGGTCATACTTTCTTGGGATTACTGTCAACAGTTTCATTCAGAACATTTTGACAGTTTGGTATACAAACAATGTGAAGCTCATCTTCCTAAGGCACGAGAGTTAACTGACTATAAAAGTCCAGTTTCCACCCTTGCCGAACTAGGCTGGTATCATGGTGTTACATTTTGGCTGGACTAACGAGTCTATTCATAGTCCAATCAAAATCGCGCACCGAAATCGAAATCCGGTTCGTAAACTGTCGCGCAGATATCGGTCGTTTGCAAAACATGTGCACCGCCGTTGTCAGCAGATATTTTCCAAATCTTTTCATGTTTTTAATCAAGGTGCTCACGTGATTTGATGCACTTCGCGATGTAAGACCCGTTTTATCACAATATAGATCTTGATTATCGATCAGATCGTCAAGTGATACGAGAGGCGGAATCTGATTGGTCCATAGGAGAGGCCTAGAAGGGACATAACTGGTAATAGCCTCTGGTGGCGCTACGATCGAGCCCAGTAATTCCAGCCTTGTTCGACAAGGGTGGAAACTGGACTTTTAAAGTCAGTTAACTCTCTTGCCTCGGGAAGATGTGTGCAGCTAGAAATGGTTTCGCAAGCGGCTGGCGTAGAATGAAGGTAAATAAGCTTCCCAAACCTTTTTATCATGCCAAACCTGAATCTTCTCAGTGAACATTTGATCACACATTTTGACGTCCAATGTCAAGGCCACCGGAGATAATATTGGAAAATTTCAAATATCACAAAGTAGACACCATTTATGGATAACAACTTATACTTGCTTGACAACGGTATAAGGATCTAACCGAAATGTCGCCTTTAAAGTTGTTAAAGAAGTTGTTTTCCATAATTTGTGTCTACTTTGTCATCCGTCAAATTTAAATAACGCCTATCAAACATTTCATTTCTATTATTGTTATGAATTCTTCTTCAATACCTGCCTTGTGTCAAGGCCATGTCAGATGTCAGGGCAATTGGCTATTTGAAAGAATATTTGCACCATGGTTAAGAGATTTCTCATTTGTAGGACAATCTGCTGCTGAAATAGGGACATTTTCTGACAATTTACGGCCGATGATGAAGGCAAAGGTCGTTAGTGCGGAAATATGTTTTACTATTTTCCTATTAAGGCGTGTGGACTTCAAATGTCGCACTGATACTTTTCAAGTGAAAACAATTCAATCTTTGGATTTCTGTTTACTTTATTCTGTTTCATGAGTGTTGCATGAGTATTTCATGTCAATTCATGTCATTTCATCTCATTTCATGTCATTTCATCTCATTTCATGTCATTTCATTTCATGTCATTTCATGTCATTTCATTTCATTTCATTTCATTTCATTTCACTTCTATTCATGTCATTTCATTTCATTTCATTTCATTTCACTTCATTTCTATTCATGTCATGTCATTTCATTTCACTTCATTTCTATTCATGTCATGTCATTTCATGATTGACTGCAAACAAAGCAAAAATACCATTACTCTAGATTGTAAATACAAATAAACTTTACTCAAAAACATTTCTTTGCAAAAGAACATTGACTTTAGGACACATTAGGAAATTTATGGTAATTACAAAATGTTATTTACTAGAAGCAATGTAATTAATTCAAATACATAATATCACAATTATACATCTAAAACTAAAGATATTAGTAAAAATGCTGTTGTATTTACCTAGTTGTTGACCACTTTTATCAACTCATGTGGCTACCTAGCCAGCTGCCATGTGGTTCTGTGCATGCCTTACATGCCTTGATTAAATGCATCTATAAATAGACTAGTGTACAGCGCACCCTATTGGGCTTAAGAAAATGAAAATGGTCTACCTTGATACCCAACTGAAGCATCATAAAATGAAAACATCTTTTAAGTGTATGACCATTACAAGGCGGTTAGTTTGAAGTGACTTGAAGTGACATTTGACTATCCATAAATAATCCAAAGTTTTACCTTAAGAGCACAGGTCAACCACCGCCTCGGTTTGCGGAAGTCAAAATTGTTCATCTGTTTAGGTTGATATGTTTCAAGTTCGAGTGAATTCGGGAACAGGTTGTCATGTGGCTGCTTTATAAGAGTTATGCAAATATATTTTACTCTCAATCTGTCGTATTTGTAAAGTTAAGTTTTATTACAGAATGATCTCAACCTTAAACGTAAGAATGGAATTGATTCCATCATTCCTGATGTAATTAGACCGCTTCGTTTGTTGCATTGTGTTTGTTGTCTCCAGGGAGAGGCGTCGCTGTCTCCGCATGATGTTGAGAAGTTTGTAAAGGTGGCGGAACTGCTGCTGAAGCACAAGGCTCCGTACAACCAGAAGAACGACATGGGCGCTGTCCCGCTGCAGCTGTGCCTCAGTGAGAGGATAAAGCTCATCATCAAGAACTTCATTCAGAAAAAGTAAACTTAAATAAATATAAGCATCGAAACCTTCTTCATGAAATTATAATATTGACTTTTAGAACGGTCTCGATTTACCTGCCTTATTTTCCACCACTGCTAACATAATTTAACATAACATTGTGGCCAAGTTGTTCAGTGAGTGAGTGAGTGGGGTTTAACCCCGCTTTTAACAGTATTCCAGTTATATCGCGCCGTGTCAGCTCAATGTGGGAGGAAAGCCCGAAGTGATGCAGGTCTTAGACGGTTACCACTTTGATGAAACCCACGAGCATGGGTATAGTGCTGACAAACCTAGAAACATGATCGGGGCGAGCCGGGATTCGAAACAACAATCATAGGTTTCTGGCGTGCCCAAGGGACGCAACTCTGCACGCGCTGGGCCACCCGTTATCCATTTTTGATGTTGGGCTGAAATATTTATCCTTTGTGATTAAAAAATCAGCAGTGAAACTTGACTGTGATTCTCTCATCACAAAAGCAGCTTTTGCTGCAACGTCAGCCATTTTTACCACTGATTCCAACATGGCTAGGTACCCAACAAAAGCGAATGTTGTTTTGGCCTGAAGCAAGATCAAGTTTCGGGCGTGCCCAAGGGACGCAACTCTGCACAGCGATTCGCGGCGCCAAAGACGACTGGGCCACCTGTGCCCCCGGGTAGACAATAAATGTTCCATAGAGGAAGAGGAAGATTTATTTCCACGACAGCCATTGTTACCAATTATTCCAAAGCGAATGACCAGTAGCAAGATCATTATATAAGTCAACAATTTCAAGGTGGATGTTCATGATAATTATTCCCGATAGCCTGAAGGCATGAACGCATGAAGGCATGAAAGAGAATCTGAAAATATTATAAACTTCTTATATATACACTGAATATTGATAGACCGCCTCCGTGGTTTAGAGGTAGAGCGTTCGCCCGGATAGCGGAAGGTCCGGGGTTCGATCCCCGGCCGCGTCATACCAAAAGACGTTTAAAGATGGTACTTGTTGTTACCCTGTCTGGCGCTCGGCATTAAGGGGCTAAAACAAGGACTGGTCGGCTCGGAGTCAGTATACTGTGTCTGAGTGGGGTATTCATGTTAAACTGCGACATGGTATCTCAGTGAGCTAGCACTATAAATCGGCATCTGTCCGGACTAGTACAAACAGCCACATACACACACGCTATATAAGTGCAAAAATCTTGGATGCGACGTTAAACCTAATTTCACCTCACCTGAATATTGATATATTCAATAGTTGTTAAAATGGCATTTGCTTCTGCCGTGAAAATGGAACAGCTGTCAGGTAGTCTGGATGACACAGTGCTGGATCCAATGACAGTGGCGCTCGCAACTGTGTGACTTTTCTGGGATCCATCTGTGTTTATAGATTTGTATGCATTGTATAAGCTTATTAACTGCTCACATTCTTGTTGATAAATTCGTTGAATTGTTTCTGAATTTCTTAGTTAAATTACTGTTAGAACCACCCCTGACTATACCTACTGCCATGGTGGAGAAGACGAAATTTGAGTGGTGCCTATGTTTTCAAGATTTATTTTTCCGCAGAAATATCAGATTGTATTCTTCAAAATGGTGGAATAAGAAATGCTTTCTCATAAAGAGAAGAATGTCCCACAGAATGTTGATAAAATGACTTGTCCTATTGCCATTCGCCTCCAGAAACATCACTCTGCATGAATAAACAATATCAATATTTGGTACAAGACAGATTGCGTGTTTCAGTCAAGGGTCTCTCAACTCCGGCCCGGGATCTGCAAGCTCCCCACAGCGACCGAAAGGGAAGGCAGACGGTCTGAACACGTTGTCTACCCTGACCATGGCCCTGCCCTGCTGTAGATGCTTCAACGCCGTCTCGGACATCACCTTCAGGCCGTGCAACCACAAAGTCATGTGTCGGTCCTGCTGTACCAAAACCAACAAGTGTCCCATGTGCAACGTCACCATTCAACAGAGAGAGGGTAGGACCCAGCATTCTTATCATCTGAGCGTGTGTGTGTGTGTGTGTGTGTGTGTGTTTCTGTTTGTGTGTTTCTCTGTCTGTGTTTCTCCGCGAGTGTGTGTGTGTGTGTGTTTCTGTGTGTGCGTGTTTCTGTGTCTGTGTGTGTATTTCTTTGTGTGTATGTGTCTGTGTGTTTCTCAGCGAGTGTGTGTGTGTTTCTGTGTGTGTGGTGTGTCGTTTTTGTGTTTGTTTGTGTTTTTCTGTGTGTCTGTTTCTCTGTTTCTGTTTGTGTGTGTTTCTCTGTCTGAGTTTCTCAGCGAGTGTGTGTGTGTGTTTGTGTGTGAGCGTGTTTCTGTGTCTCTATGTGTATTTCTCTGTGTGTATGTGTCTGTGTGTTTCTCAGCGAGTGTGTGTGTGTTACTGTGTGTGTGTGTTTTAGTGATTGTGTGTGTGTGCGTGTGTTTTAGTGGTTCTCTGTGTGTGTGGTTCTCTGTGTTTCTGTGTGTGTTTATCTGTGTGTGTATATATGTGTGTGTGTGTGTGTGTGTGTGTGTGTGTGTGATGCTTCATTCTCCTTTATATATCCTCAGTATTAGCTTACAATTTTAGTAAAACTTTCAATAAATGTTTCATGGTTATGTCGAGTGCGTTTCTAAAATGACGCATCAGTGAAAAAATGATGTTCGAAGTAATTCCCTATTTTGACTTGTACCATGTGATCCCGTGTTTGATTTGCCCTTGCATGTGTTTGGGGCGGTGGGGAAGGATACGCTCACCTGGTACCAATACTATTTAATAGTGTTTCATAAACACATGCTCACGATACAATCGGAATCGTAGAGACGTCTTAAGAAATTTATTTTTATGTCATTTTAGACAACCAAACCATGGTTGTGCCAATACACATCTACCCAGCCACCCCGCATATACCCATACAGTTAAAACGTTTCTGCTGTTTCAAAACAGGTCTGATTATAATTATCACCAAGAGAGATATGCTTGCTGTACACAGAATAAGGAAATTATGAAAAACTACGTTAATAACAAACATGCTTATAACGAACTGACCGATTTAACGAACTTATTTCTTAGTGCCGGCCATTTGTTGTATGTATGATATATATATATATATATATATGTGTGTGTGTGTGTGTGTGTGTGTGTGTGTGTGTGTGTGTGTGTGTGTGTGTGCTTATAACGTACTACGGTTATTACGAACTAAAAGTAGTGGTCCCTTTGAGTTCGTTATAACCGTAGTTTACTGTATATTCATTTGCTGCATATTGGTTACCCGGATCAATATCGACAGTTTCTTATTTTCCAGTACTCGCCTCAGCAAAGAGCAATTTCTACCGGTAACTGTCACTTGTATGCCCTCCCCCGACCCAACTCCCAACCGAAAACCCCCACCCACACGAGACAACACCTCACAAATACCCATCCCAAACACCGCACGTTGCTTACTTAGATGTTAAACAAGTATCGCTTAAAGACAACCATCATACGGTTTTGTAAGGAGTCATTGATAGGCATTTAGAGTGAGTGAGTGAGTTGGGTTTAACGTCGCTTTTAACAGTATTCCAGTTATATCGCGGCGTGTCAGCTTAATGTGGGAGGAAAGCCCCAAGTGATGCAGGTCTCAGACGTTTACCACTTCGGTGAAACCAACGAGCACGGTATGGTGCTGACAAACCTAGAAACAAAATCGGGGCGAACCGGGATTCGAACCACTATCATAGGTTTCTGGCGTGCCCAAGGGACACAACTCTGCACAGCGAATCGCGGCGCCTTAGACGACAGGGCCACCCGTGTCCCCGATAGGCATTTAAAAGTTGGAAGAACATGAATACATGACGTTTGTCTATGGATAACAACTTCTATCTTCATTGTTACGACTTGTCAGGGCTTCTTCTTGTCCCTTCATCAGATGAATACTGATCATGTCAGGAGTTACATGATCAACCATATAAATAATGTTGTATTCTTCTACTTCCCATGGCCCCAGATAGAGTCAGGAAGTACAAGCTGGTCCAACACAACGTGTTGTCAGTTAAATGAGCATCGCTTTCAGCTTGTTCCCCGGCCATCACATCACCGCGTGTCAGCTTAATGTGGAAAGAAAGCCCGAAGTGATGCAGGTCTCAGACGTTTACCACTTCGGTGAAACCCACGAGCACGGGTATGGTGCTGACAAAACATAATCGGGTCGAACCGGGATTCGAACCCACAGTCATAGGTTTCTTGCGTGCCCAAGGACAGCGAATTGCGGTGCCTCAGACGACTGGACCACACGAATTTTCATGTATTATCGCTGTGTTTGACGATAGTTTCGTTTTACCTAACTTTTACATTTACAACGAACCATTCCGAACTTGTCCCCGTGTGTGATATGTAATTCTATCATAATCGATGTAACTGTCATCAACCAATGTTTTAAGCCAACTCATTGCTGAGTATTTTTCAATATTTGCTAGTATTGTGCACAACCACCAGTGACTAAAGTGATGACGTAAATCCTGCTGGGGTATCATGCAGGAAGCCGAGATACTGTAAGTCCCCATGAACCCCAGCGAGGTGGCCTAGCTTTGGTTACTGGTGACCTATGTCCCGTGATTTAAAACTGTATGCATGATACTGTTATGTTCAAATATGTTTCATATTTTTTTAAAATATAACTTTGCATAAATGACTCAATTGTGAATATATTAACTTGGTCTCGTCGCTATGTGGCTGAAATAATGCCGATGCGACATCAACATTTTAACTCACTCACTTTCCGAACGTCATCATGTTGTTTTCATTTCAGCTGAGTTTGACCCTGCTGACCTGTGTAAAGTGCAGTGATGACGTCACAGGGCTTGACCATATAGAAGATGAAGAGGGTTTCTTTTGTTTGGGACGTATAATTGTGTATCAGTATATGTTATTTATCATCTCTAGATACATAATATTTATATATATTCTGCAAAAAGAACTGTTGTTTCAATTGATTATGCAATTGACTATTTCTATCGTGAGCATTGTCGGTGATACTTGACGTGGCCAGTCTAAGACATGACAACCCAACAGAACATGTCACCTAACTAACATTGCCGATACTCGTATATGACTGAATAATTTTTAAAAAAACCAAAAAAACCAAAAAAAACAAAAAAACATCGCCGATACTTCACGAGTTTGTATACTCTTTGTTTCTCCATCCCCCATGAACCCACGAATCAAGCCCCGGCCTGGTTTCAGCGATTGCTCAGACACATGAGCGTTCTGAGTACATCACGCAATCGACAATATTTCTCGTGCAACATGATCACTACACACTGCTTATTAATGTGTTTATATCTATAGAACAGTATTATATCTACCTAAATACCATTTTCATGTCAGACATATTGGTATTTAACGCAAACACGTCGCTCAATGTGAAGCTACTGTGCCTCTTTTGTGAACCAACTGTCAGAAGTGTGTTTCTCATCTTCCCGAGGCAAGAGAGTTAACTGAGTATAAAAGTCAAGTTTCCATTCTTGCCGAACTAGGCTGGTATAATGGTGTTACAGTTTGGCTGGACTAACGAGTCTATGCATAGTCCAATTAAAATCGCGCAACGAAATCGAAATCCGGTTCGTAAACTTTCGGTCGATTGCAGGATTTGCAAAGCATGTGCACCGCCAACTCGTTGTCAACAGATATTTTCCAAATCTTTTCATGTTTTTAATCAATGTGCTCGCGTGATTTGATGCACTTCGCGATGTAAGATCCGTTTTATCACAATATAGATCTTGATTATCGATCAGATCGTCTTGACTGGGTGCCGCCATTTTGTTTGAAACAAGTGATACGAGGGGTGAAATATGATTGGTCCATAAGAGATGCTTAGAAGGGACATAACTCGCAATAACCACTGGTGGCGCTACGATTGAGCCCATGAATTCCAGCCTAGTTCGGCAAGGGTGGAAACTGGGTTCTTAAAGTCAGTTAACTTTCTTGTCTCGGGAAGATGTGTCGTCTGTGTTCGGTCCGATATTAGTAAAAGCAGAGACTTTAACAAACTCTTTTTACTATCAACATAACGACTGCTGACAGTGTTTTGTCCGACCTGATGCACAAGACACCTTCAACGTCGTTTAAATATTTCTTCGTTCAGTCCACTTTATGTCATACATGTCTCTATTTGATGTGTTAACTGGATGGCACAGTGAAATGTCATTGTATTGAATCTATATCGTCTAACGTATCTTCATGAATAAGACTATAATAGATATATATATAGCGTGGCTACATTTGGACATTTACATGACATGTGACTTGAGGAAAAGTATAATGTTAAACAACGTTTGTTTGTTAACATGGGTCTGGTTGGTGGTTTGTTGTTTAACGCCGCACTCAGCAATATTCAGCTATCTGTAAATAATCGAGTCTGGACAAGACAATCCAGTGATTGATATCATGAGCATCGATCCACGCAATTGGGATCGATGACATGCATCAACCAAGTCAGCGAGCCTGACCACCCGATCCCGTTAGTCGCCTCTTACGACAAGCATAGTAGGCTTTTACGGCAAGCATGGGTTGCTGAAGACCTATTCTTCCCCAGACCTTCACGGGTCGTTAACATGTGGGTGGGTGTTGAGACGTGTGTTATTATAAAAGAGAGAGATCGATATTAATTTGTCTGTTTACCGATCTCTTTATGTAATTTATTGTTCATTAATAAAGTATTGTCATCAAAACGTGTGTGACGTTGAATACTTAAGCATACTTAAGTATGTAGAAGTTCATCTCGGTAGACAATGAGTGAGTGAGTGAGTTGGGTTTAACGCCGTTTTTAACAGTATCCCTGTTATCTCACGGCGTGTCAGCTGAATGTGGGAGGAAAGCCCCAAGTGATGCAGATCTCAGACGTTTACCACTTCGGTGAAACCCATAAGCACGGGTATGGTGCTGACAAACCTAGAAACATAATCGGGGCGAACCGGGATTCGAACCCACAATCATAGGTTTCTGGCGTGCCCAAGGGACGCATCTCTGCACAGCGAATCGCGGCGACATAGACGACTGGGCCACCCGTGGCCCTGGTAGAATGTTCCATAGAAGAAGGAGATGATATTTTATTCAACAAAATGTCACACATTGTAAAATGCAAGGATGACTATAAATATATTCATAAAAAATATTAAATATCGGGCCATATGGCCTGTAAGACACAGAATACAGCTCATACATACAAATATGCCAATATATTAAAATTTAGATTCTCGTGGAGAACATTAATGTCACTTACTTTACCTCATTAAAAGTACGGTCTTGTCGACAGAAAGATAGTTTATCAAAGTCTCACCTCAACAAATGACACTAACAAATATACAAGATAAAATACATTTAATTTAGAATATTGACCTTTTCCATGCGCATGAAAAGAAAATGAAATGAAGTTGAATTAAAACACTTAAATAAGTACAGTTAGGTATTTACAAATTGACATTACAAATTGACAAAGTAAACTTATCTTCCTCAACATCATTAAACGACAGGAAACCGTTAGAAAACAAAGTTGGCGTATTTGTAAGAAAGGAGGTTTCTTTCATCGGTGTATAAAGAAGACATTAGCAAGAATGTTGGGATGCTATTTCCATAGGTCGTACCTCAGCTCTGAGTAGAAACTATAATCAACTAGAAAATGTACTTCGTCTTCCACTACGTTACGGTTACAAGGTTACATATTCTTTTGCATTACTTCACGGATGTAAGATCTAATCACATGCATGGGATCAGTGTATAGGATCAGAAGTGGCGTCACGCATTTGTTGAGTGCTGCTTTGGCGGCAGCATCAGCCATTGTGTCACCAGTTATTCCAAGATGGCTGGGTAACCAACAAAAGACGATGTCGTACTGGCCAGTAGCAAGATTGTTATGAAGATCCATGATGTCACGTAGAAGTGTATGTTGACAGGAAATATTCTTAATGACTTGAAGACAGGAAAGGGAAATAGAAAATATAATCAACTGAGTATGCTTAGATTGAGTATTAATATATTTGAGAGCTGTTAAGATTGCATGTGATTCTGCTGTAAAAATCGAACTGTCATTTGGTAATCTGGATGATATGGTTCTGGATCCAATGACAGTGGTGCTAGCAACTGCGTCGCCAGACTTGGATCCATCTGAAAAGATAGAGTTGTATGTATGATAATTGTTTCTTAATTGATGATATTCTTGCTGGTACATTATTTCATTGGTGTCTGATTTCTTTAGTTTAGTGAACGAGAGATCTTCCTGTGGCTTTACCAAGAGACGACAGAATTTGGGTGGGAGATATGCTATTGAGTTGTATGTTGGCAGCAGAAAGGTCAGGTTTGATTCTTAATCCAAGGGGATTGTATTTTATAATAAAGATCCCCATACAGAGGATTAAAAACGGACTCATAAGATGGATTTGAGTGATTAGAAAAAAAAAGTTTTGTAACGTATTGTAATGAGGTTTTTTTGCGGCGTTGTTTGAGGGATGGTTCATTAGCCTCAACTTACAGACTATTAATGGGTGAAGTTCTGAAAGCACCAAAGCAAAGCGTGTCCTTGATGATGAATTGTATCTAATAATTTTAAATTACTTTTACAGGCTCCACCATAGTCGATGGAGCCATAATCAAGTTTTAATCGGATCAGTGTTCTGTAAAGTTGAAGGAGGGTTTTCTGACCCCCTCCCCACATGGAATTAGAGACAACGTTTAACAGATCTAGGGCCTTCAAGCATTTATTCTTTAAGTATTTAATGTGGGGCAGAAAGGTCAAATGATGATCGAAAATTAGACCAAGAATTTGGCTTCCTTTACAACTTTAATGGGAGTGTTATCTAAAAGTAATTCTGGATCTTTGTGGGGTTTAAATTTTGTACAAAAAGGTATAGTTTGTTTTAGATTTTGAACATTTAAAACCATTTTCTAAAGATCATTTCTGCACTTTTTTTAAACATAGCTGCAGTTGCCTTTCAATAGTATGCATGTTTTTGCCACGACAGGAAATATTAAAATCATCCACAAAGAGCGATCCATCAATCGAATCATTTAAAACTTTGGATATTTATCTTAATACTAAACAATGTGACAGACGAGATACTGCCTTGTGGGACACCCTGATCCTGATTATAATGATCAGACAGGGTAGAACCACGCGGACTCGAAATTGTCTGTCAGTTAAACATTTGGATAAAAATTGAGGCAAACGGCCTCTTAATCCAAAATCATGTAAATTCCATGTTTCCATTTAGTGTCATATGCTTTTTCCAGATCGAAAAAGATAGGTTCAAATTGATTTTGAACCTTCACAGTTATGGACTGAGAAGAAGGCAACTCCAGGTGATGGAGGGCCCTGGCCGGTTTTTTCAGTTTCTTTTTCTCCTTATTCGTCAAATGTAAGTCTCGAATTGTTGATGTTTCTGGTTCCAATGTTTCATTTGAAGGTTGTGGTGATTGTACAGCCTCACTCTGTGAAGCTGATGTTGCTTTTAAGGTATCATCTGGAGATGTTTGAGGTGTGATGTCTAGTATGATCTGCTGATCACTAACCCAAGAGATGTTTGTTTGGCATCCGGTAGATGCTGGAGCAACTTTGACAATCGGAGTGGAAGTTACTGCTGCCGAGTAGGATTTAGTAGAAGTATTTGGGTATTGAGATTGACTACTTTTTTAGATTCATGGAAAGAGACATTGTTAGTGTGTTTTATTTTTAGAATTTTTGATTGGATGAGGCCAAGTGGTCCCTATCGCAATTTGCGCATTTAATGGCATCTGTGCACTCAGTGCTCTCATGTGAGCCACTGCAGCGCACACAGACAGTGCTGAGGGTGCAGGTCTTGGCACCGTGTCCGAAATTCTGACATTTGTAACATCAGAGTGGTACATAAACTTCCACTCCGATATTAAAATACCCAGCTTTAATATATTCAGGAATTTGAGAAAGTGATGCCTCAATGACAATAAATCGAGCCCAGGAATTCAATCTGATATCAGTTTCTTCATCTAATGAGCTAGCATCTACGTGTTTTCTCTTTGAACCAGAGTGTTTGTGAGACAGTGTTTCTGCACCCCTGCTCCCCACACACCACCGAGTATCAATAAGGACGGTGTGTTATTGCATTGGATATCCAAAATGCAAAACACCAGGGCTACAGGGGTGTTATATTCCAGCAAATATGACATGAATAGCTATATTTGTCAACTAAATTTACTGCAAAGCTGGTTCTGCCCATAACAAAAAATTAGAGACATACAAAATTCAGCGGTCAACATTACCAGATTGGCCCATGAGCCACCGCCTTCTGGCATATGACTACCACCCGTCTAGGCGAAGTAAGGGTCAAAGTGATGTGTTGGGCAAAAGGAACACCTGTTCCTGGCTCCAATACCCTCAACCACCAGAATCCCGTCCTCCGACGACACAGGGGCGCAACCCACGGCAAACGGGTTGCCCAATTTGATCGCCTTTTACCACCAGCAATGGGGTGCTGAGGACACATTTTTGTTTATCTTCCCCGGGTCCCCACGTGGGGGCGCCATACTGCTGGAACACTGCTGAGTGCAGCATTAAACATCAAACATTCCGTTGTTTCCAGGACCCTGTTCCACAAGGCAATCAAAGTGCTAAGATGATCGTAACTCCCATACTTTAACATAGACCTACGACACTCATAGCCCCACGATCGCTTTTTGGAACACGGCTGTGGTGTGTGAGAGAGAGAGAGATGTCACCAACACTGTCTTCTATGTATATTTATGACATGGCCATGGATATTAATAGCTTAAAATGTGATGAACCTGTTGATGAATACACAGTATCTATTTTGTTATATGCACTTTTGGGTCCTGAGGCAGAACTCCGTATGCAGAAATCTTACCCAACCACGCAGTCTGAAAGTTTGTGAAACAGGTTTAGCATTAACATTGTCCGCAAGAATTTCCGATTCCTTTCTTGGAAACATGACAACCTCGCACTCAATAATATTTCCGATGATATAACACAAACTTCAATGGATCTTATACAAAGTTATGACTCAGGTAGTCAAGATAAACAAAAATGAACGCAGAGTTCACGAATGCAGAATTGTACAGATCCCAGGAGGCGGCCAGTACTTAGAATATTTTCTTTGTGGGCATGACATTATATGAAGCATAACTAGTTTCACCGAGATGGGTTTATGAACCAAAGATTGTTTAGTAAAACCTGATTTAGTAGATAAGGAAGACTTGGATACATTATCAATCAAAACATGAATGCTGTTAAAAACACGTGGAATCTATATAAACTAACCGGGAAATTGAGGAATAGTAAACCAGTTTGGTACCAAATGGAATGGACACGCCCCCTGGACCTAAAGCCATGAACATGAATTGATTGGAACTCTGCATTGAGGACAGGCGCTCTTGTATTTGTCAGGTCAAGAATAATGCCAGCTTCATAGTGCTAGCCCACTGAGATACCATCGCAGTTCAGTTTAACATTGATAGCCCATTCAGACAAAGTATACAGACTTTGGTCTGGTGGACCAGTCCTTGTCTTATCTCTTTAATTGTGAGCGCCAGACAGGGTTACAACAAGTACCATCTTGTAACATCTTTTGGTATGAGCCGCCTACGTGGTCTAGTGGTAGAGCGTCCGCCCGGGGTTCGATCCCAGGCCGCGTCATACAAAAGACGATAAAAGATGGTACTTTTTGTTACCATGTCTGGCACTCGGCATTAAGGTGCTAAAACAAGGACTGGTCGGCTCCGAGTCAGTATACTGTGTCTAAGTGGGGTATTAATGTTAAACTGCGGCATGGTATCTCAGTGAGCTAGCACTATAAATCGGCAGTAGTCCGGACAAGTACAGGCAGCCACACATCGCAATATAAGTGCAATAATCTTGGACGCGATGTAAAAAACCCCATTTCACCTAACCTGACCTCTTATGGTATGACGCGGCCAGGGGATCGAACCATTGACTTTTTGCTCCCTTGGCAGACGCTCTATCCACTACACCACAGGAGTTTCACACAGCTGGGGACAAGAATGTGTTTCACCCATTGTACCCAGGTGGAGAATGGAACACAGGTCTTGGGCACAACCAGTTGAACACTAGGTTACACCACACGTAGGTTTCAGCTGATAAGATGCCGTTAAATGAGTGAGATGGTTTAACCCTGTATGAAACTGTGGTTCTCCTGGAAGTCCAAAGTGATGATGGCAGAAGTTGACTGGGTGAAACCCAAGAGTGAGCGAGTGAGTTTGGTTTAACGCCGCTTTTAACAAACAGTATTCCAGTTATATCGCGGCGTGTCAGCTTAATGTGGGAGGAAAGCCCAAAGTGATGCAGGTCTCAGACGTTTACCACTTCGGTGAAACCCACGAGCACGGGTATGGTGCTGACAAACCTAGAAACATAATCGGGGCGAACCGGGATTCGAATCCACAATCATAGGTTTCTGGCGTGCCCAAGGGACGCAACTCTGCACAGGGAATCGCGGCGCCTGAGACTGGGCCACCCGTGCCCCCTGAAACCCAAGAGTATAGAATTCAAACCCATATTCTTTAGTAATGACAAAGGGACACGACTGTGCACAGATGGTTCATGCACAGGTAGTCAACCTTTCGGTACTACGAGGGTTAGCTAAGGGAACACGAGGTTGGGAATCGATCCCTGTGTGATGAGAGAATACTTTAACCACAAGGTTACCCTTCTTCTCTTAAAGCTTAAACGCCCAAATTCCAAATTAACTTACCAGTGAAGAAAGAAAATGTCAGGAGGACATGGACTGCAGTGTGTTAATGGTTTATACCAAATTCCAGCAGAATCCATCATCTGTGTATGGTTTCTACACCCAGCAAAAGTGGAGAAAACTTAACAGGTGCGTGGAACCAAGCTTCAACTACCAACTCTTTAAAGTATTTCATGAGCTGTCAGTTAGAAAACCATTGTGGTTTCAATCTCCAAAGAGCTATCATTTATATCACTAATGTGTTCTTCAAACAATACTCTTTTGTGAAAATGTAGGCTCATGTTTTTCTAATTTTATTTTGGATGTTGGTTATAGTGTGGTAAATCATCGGTTACTGCACAAATATAAGGCCTACTGATTGTACTCTGTGTGTGTAGTCACTGTGTGTACCATAGCTGTAGTACTCGGGTTCTAGATGAGTGTCACTGACTACAGTTACCTCTCTACAACAAAACAAAACACAAAATTCAGTTTTTGAGGCAAAAATTAATGTTCTTTTTTGACATTTTCAGTTTCTTCTGAAGATTCCAGACATGTCAATAGGTACAAGTCAGTATCATATATTTTGCAGCAAATACATTTTTTCACAAAATACAAAATCTATTCACTTTTCATGTTCACATTCACACATAATTTTGAATACAAATATCTATTTGACAAATCAGTAGGTGTTTGTTTGTTTATTTATTTGTTGTTTAACCCCACACTCAGCAATATTCCAGCTATATGAGGCGGTCTCTAAATAATCATATCTGAACCAGACAATCCACTGATTGACATCATGAGCATCTATCCATGCAATTGGGATACGATAACATGCATCAACCAAGTTAGGAAGTCTGACCACCCGTTCCCTTTAGTTGTCTCTTACGACAAGCATAGTCGCCTTTTACGGCAAGCATGGGTTGCTGAAGACCTATTCTACCCAGGATCTTCACGGGTCAAATCAGTTAGGGAGGCATACAGATGTTTGGCAGAAGGTTGAACATCAGGTTGAAACATATGGTACTATATATGATCGCATGGAATAAATTGTCAGTTCATTTCACATGGTTTTCTTAGGGGTTCGTGAAATTTCATATATTTTTCTTCACGATATTTAGGCATCTCACATGGCTGGTGTTTCTATCTACGGTGGGTTTTAACATCATCCCTTATCCCATCCATGCCCCAGGTTGATTATTTCTACATCATCATGACCATGTACATGGTCTTTCATGAATTATGATCAAATCAAGTGAGTGAGTGAGTGAGTGAGTGAGTGAGTGAGTTGGGTTTAACACTGCTTTTAACAGTATTCCAGTTATATCATGGCATGTCAGCTTAATGTGGGAGGAAAGTCCAAAGTGATGCCGGTCTAAGACATTTACCACTTCGGTGAAACCCACGAGCACAGGTATGGTGCTGACAAACCTAGAAACATAATCAGGGCGAACCGAGATTCGAGTGAGTGAGTGAGTGAGTTGGGTTTAACACCGCTTTTAACAGTATTCCAGTTATATCACAGCGTGTCAGCTTAATGTGGGAAGAAAGCCACAAGTGATGCAGGTCTCAGACGTTTACCACTTCGGTGAAACCCACAAGCACGGGTATGGTGCTGACAAACCTAGAAACATAATCAGGGCGAACCGAGATTCGAACCCACAACCATAGGTTTCTGGCATGCCCAAGAGACGCAACTCTGCACAGCGAATCGCGGCGCCTTAGACGCCTGGGCCACCCGTGCCCCCTGATCAAATCAAATTATAAAACAAATATCTGGATTCTTGAATATAATGATATGGATGTATGACACAGACATAGTTCATCTTCTAGATGTATTTTCAAGATTATGATTTGAAATGAAAAAATGAAATACAAAATAATGATTGGAATGTATACAAAACATTTTTATCATCCAAAACTGGCTCCCACAGGAGATATCGCTTGGATGAGATCACTACATCGTAGATATCGCTGCAATGACATTACATCACAATGCTTTGCAGACCATTGTGACGTCACTGGTTACCATGACGTCACAATCAAATGACATCACTAATGGCTCTACTACTGAAGCTGTTAGCAGTACTTTTTACACTTAAGACACTGCTTATTACTGTCTACAAATTGAAAAAGTTGGAAGAATGATATTGGATGATAAATAAAATCTCACCCTTGTGTCTTTTGATATCAAATATATCAACACTCGTTGATAAAAGTGGCAAAAATCCTCAGCAAGCCTCAGAATTTGTCCACTTTTATCAACTTGTGTTGATATATTTGATATCAAAAGACACTCGGGTGAGATTCTCTATATCTACAAATGATCAATGTCTACAAGTATATGTTCATGTATACTGGACAAGAAGTCCCATAATCATTAACACAAACTCGTATCACAAGTACAATAACAGTGTAGTCCAACTCTGCTTTGAGTGAGTGGGTTTTATTTATTCCATTTTAAACGGTGTTTCATTTATACCACAGCATGGCAGCTAAATCAGTGTTCCAAATTGAGGGGGGCCCTGGTGCCCTGGAGGTCTTCAAATGATCTTTTAACATCAGGGCTCTAGCAGGGACATTTTGACTTTTAAACACTGTTAGTTCATGAGATTAATTTGAGTTGGTTGGCTGGTTGGTTGGTTTGATGTTTTACGCAGCACTCAGCTATATTCCAGCTATATGATGGCTGTCTGTAAATAATTGAGTCTGGACCAGACAATCCAGTGATTGACATCATGAACATCGATCCATGCAACTGGGATACGATGACATGCATTAACCAAGTCAGAGAGCCTGAACACCCGATCCCGTTAGTCACCTCTTACGAAAAGCATATACGCCTTTATATCGTGGCTACTTTTCTGTAAATAAAAAGACTTTGCCAATGCGGAATAGAACAAGAAAAAAATATTGATCTACAACAGAAAAAAGTTTGTTCAAACGTTGATGAAAACTAAAATACCCTTATATACCCTTCTACATCATGTACATTATTGTTTCACTGGTGGCAAAAATTGGAGACGGGTGCTTATCATGATGAGTGAGTGAGTATGGTTTTTATGCCGCATTTAGCAATATTCCACCAATATCACGGCTGAGGACACCAGAAATGGGCTTCACACATTGTTCCCATGTCGGGAATCGAACCAGGGTCTTTGGCGCAACGCGCACACGCTTACCCTCTAGGCTACCCGACCACACCACTTGACATGATGAAGACAGTATCTATTTTTCAAAAGTATATTCTTGATGTGACAGTGTTTGGCCTGCAACTACTATTTGTTATGAGTGAGTGAGTACGGTTTTACGCCATTTTCGGAATATTCCAAAAATATCACGGTGGTGTACACCAGAAATGGGCATCACACACGAATACTTGTTATAAATAAAGTGATATATTGCTGATATCATGATTATGAATAAATCAAACGTGAGCTGTTAGATATGATTGTGTGAGTGAGTGAGTGAGTATGGTTTTACGCCGTTTTTAGCAATATTCCAGCAACATCACGGCGGGGGACACCAGAAATGGGCTTCACACATTGTACCCATGTCGGGATTCGAACCGGGTCTTCGGCGTGACGAGCGAACGCTTTAAACACTAGGCTACCCGACCGCCCCTATACTGAATCAAACGTGAGCTGTTAAATATGAAGGGAACATTGACACAAACCAGTATTGGTATGACAAAAAAAAGCCCCTCAACATCATGAACATGTCATTGATGAACTTGCCACCTGAAACTGATAAATACACTCCTTTCTTCTGGCAAAATTATAATCACATATCACAAAGAGCACAGTTCTTCATTCCTAAATTACTCCAGGAAATCACCAAGAGAGGGTAAATCTGGCTGCCGGCAGTCCTTTCTCTTGAACAGTGTCGGTTTTGTTTTTCTCACAGCAAACTTGGGTTTCCCACCTAGCCCCTGAGTAAACGTTGTATGGCCACCAAGTCCATCATAGCCCTTCCTTGACACAGAGGGGTAACATGGGCCTTGCTTCTTCTTGAAGATGTTCAAGGACCCCAAAGCCGTTAAATGATTAGGATCACTTGATTCGTTTCTAGGTCGTTTGGCAGGGTTCTGTGTTGAGGCAGTGCTTATTTTCACAAATTTCATATTATTTTCAACACAATGCTTCTTGGCCTCCGTTGTGGGTGTGTCCTTGAACAAATCAGGTGTCAAGGCCAGTTTGGGGTCAGGGGTATTCTCAAGGTCAATGACACCGTCTTTGTTCCCCGGACGACCCAGTTTCACAGGTGTGATAAATGCAGGGCTGTCTTCAGTCAGTGTTGCAACAAAGCTGGAACTAGCACAACCTGGGCTTTTTATTGCTCGTTTTAGATGATGGATTTTTTTCTTCATCATTTCTTTATCCTTCTCTGCATGTTTGAGATCTTCCTCCGACTGGCTGAAGTGGTCTCTCAAGGATTTGAGCTCCTTGCTTAATTCTGACAGAAGGCGACTTTTGGTGCACAATTCACGTCTCACTTTATCAAGCTGGTCTTTCAATAGTTTTTTATCAGTTTTGGCTTGTTCATACTCTCGTTTCATGATTGAACAGAAATGTGCCAGCTGCCTCGATGCTGCCTTTCCTTCTCCGTACTGTACCAAGATGGACTCGGCATCACTTTCACATCCTGTAGAGATGTAATGTACATGGCTAAAGGAAATGACAACTATAAATCTGATACATTGCTTGTGTAAAATTTGTTTGTTGTTTAACGCCGCACTGAGCAATGTTCCAGCTACATGATGGCGGTCTGTAAGTAATTGAGTCTGGACCAGACAATCCAGTGATTGACATCATGAGCATCTATCTCAGCTGGAATATTGCTGAGTGCAGCGTTAAAACAACAAACCAACAAATCATTCAGGCTGATTTAAAGTGTTCTTTAAGATGGGCAGTTATGAAAAGCTAGCCTGACTTGCAAAACTTTGTAAATATAACTTTTGGAAAATCAATAAAACATGTATCGATACTTGGGTTGGGACATTGTGTATTGTGATGCAGGTTTAAATGTGTGTTCCACTGATACATGGGTGATTGTGACCCTAGAAGTATAACCCACCTGACAGTAGCGCCTCCACATGCTGCATCGCTGACAGCTTGGCTTGTGCTTGTTTGTACGACTCTCTTTCAGTCTTCAGTGCCTTCTGTTGTGACTCAAAGTACGCCAACTGCTTCCGTAACGATGAACTAGTACCTTCTTCCTGTTTCAACAACTTCTGTATTGCAGACTTGCTCTCCTCAATATCGCGTACATTCTTTCGCAACGAGTCTTTTGATGATTCTAATTCTGCTTTCTCTCGATCTCGTTGTTTCAATTTGGTTCTCAAAGTCAACAACTCATTTTGGAGTTTATCAGGGTCTTTCTCATGCTCATCTGGTTCGTCTCCGGCATCGAAATAGAGTTTGCGAATGACCTGCTTCTTGTTTACATATTTGCGACACTGAGGGCAGGAGTTGGACGTCTCCACCCACTTCATGACACACTCCTCGTGAAACGTATGTCCGCAGGGAACTGCTGCAATGTTGACATTGTCATCATTTTCAAACAGGTCTGCACATATACAACACTGCGCTCTCATGGTGATGCTGTCTACAAACCTCTACATCTGAAAGGAAAAAGAAAACTGCAAAATGCAATCCTGAAACATATTTGAGCTATATTTTCAAAAATGCATAACCTGTATATATCGCGAAATCTGTAGTACATACATACAGCGTTCCCGTTTACCGGTAATTACCAGTTTTTTACCGGTAAAATTAGGTTTGAACCGGTAATTCATGTGACTGCCAGTCCCTGTGGACCGGCAAATAAAGTACCTTATAAATCTTTGTTGTTGAACAAAACATTGGTGATATTCAAGTCGGCTTGTCTGTTACCATCAGGGTTTCCCCGTGTCTATTTCTAGGTTAAATATCCATTTGTAGTGACTAGTCTCGAAATATATAACAAAAGAAGAGAAAATTGTGACTGAAGTTTGTGTGGATGGCGTATAGATCTAACTAAGTTACTTCAGCGGTTACTACAAAATTCAATTGATGTGTGACAATACACTTCGTGCAGAAAACACAATAGAAATCTACAATGTAAATGTAATTAAAGTTTTAGGGACAACAGAGAGATTGGAATTTGGCACTTTTCTGTATACGACTGTGATGTCATATCTTTTGCGTCACAATGAGTGATAATGATGTCATAATGGTGACGTGCGGTGTAGAACGAAAGCTTTGCAAAGCTTGATTAGTTTTCTTTAAGGGGTGCCCAGCTCATGTTAGCTTTCCAAGTTGCTGTCAATGCCAGTCATATGTTGAGTGAAGTATTATGGTGTAAACAAAATGCCTGAGCATATACAGCTCCATATTTTGTTTAAGGCTGTTGTCAGTGAATCCGTAATTCACATCGACAACCCACTCAAAACAAACACTGGACTCAACCCATGCCACTTTGTTCAATATATTTCAGTTCACATTATATTTAGTCATGGTAGAATAGAGATCAACATACTGTGTTTTCAATGTAGAGCTAGGTTACCTGTAGATTTAACTGCATTAAATTTAACATTTGAAACCTCATGCTGCGTGTTCTGTTCCAAATTTTATTTAGCGTGGTTAAATCTCCAGGTAACCTAGCTCCACAGTAATTGAAAACACAGTTTGTTTATCTCCTAATCGTAGTGTTACAACAGAAATCAACTGAATCCTATTCCACGGACAGAAACAAGCGCATTTGCTCATTGTTTCACAAAAATTAAAGTTATTGGTACAGTCAACTTTGTACACAGAATATGTCAGAAACAAGATGATAAAAATGGTGATAACTGTAGGGCTGGGACAAGTTTATATTTACTACCCAGGTACCCATCCCCCTATTACCCGACCCAACTGGGGTACCCACTGTTGGTCTCAGGGGATGTCTCAAAATGTCTGATTGGGAACATTTTTAGCATAGCCCTAGCAAAACGCAATTCAACCATATGAAAAATCAGAAGGAATGGTGCATTGTCAGAAAGAAATGTAGTGTAACCATAGCGTTCTAGACAATTTTTGTCATTAAACAATATATCATGTGACTAACCACGGGTCCGGGTAGTCCTGTGGGTACCCGCGTCCTACTTAGTACCCACCCGACCCAGGTATCCGAGTTGCCCGTCCCAGCCCTAAATAACTGGTTGATGACCAGCAAACTTGTGTACCATTGGTTGTCCCTATTGACAATTGGGCAGGATCGTCTTATTTGACAGGAGTCAGCAATTGGCTGAAATTGGCTGAAGTCATTGTTTTGAAAAAGACACATCTACGGCCGCAATCTATGACCCAGTATGATCAATAACGCATTATACCTAGGCTATTTTATCACCAGATTTGAATATTCCACTAGGCCCCATCCTTACTTCAGAAGCCAGATCGACATTTAATAAACACATAAAAAATATAACGCTGGTTTAGGAGTGTATCTGTGATCTATGAACAGATACCTAAAATAGGGACAATCCCAGCACTGTTTATCCTGATCGCAGAGTGACTTAATTCCACATTTCGTCATTTGTCCTTCCCGCCGATTGATTACACTTCCGGGGAGAAGTTATGTATGTAAATATTTCTCTCCCGTTGATTCCTAATGAATATGAACAACTATCCATATTTTCTTACTTGAAAAAATTGTGTAGCATCAATTTATTAAAATGGACGTAGAACATGTCTAGATAATGTCACGTACGTTATTATTATACGTACTATTTAATGATATAATAATGTCTCCCTCAAGGTGAAGTGCAGGGAGTTTCATGGCCGACAACAAACACGATGTCGCATTTATTGCGATTGAAAAGATCGCTCGTTTTTCTTATTGACATTAACAGAAGAGCGTCCTTGAATGAAATTTTGTTAAGAGAAAGGGGGGACATTACCACATGCCCCAAACATACATCACTTCAATGTGTGTCAGGTAAGCAGTGACAAATCAGACGTAGTAGTGTAGTGATAATAAACAAATGTCATACACGTGCAATGACCGTGTTAATGATTTTGACATATAATTTTAATTTGGCACAATATGTAGCTTTATTGGTATTGATTGTCAATTCGCAATTGCCTTGACGTGGCGTAGACAGGTGACAATACCAGTTATGAATCTGATTATGCAAGACATCATCCAAGCTTACGTAAATTCTCTACTGGTCTTAGGTTAGTTGTTGAGTTGTTTGGGAGTTTGTCTTGCGCTGAAATCCACACTGGAGAGTATTGCACTTTACCGATCCCTCTTTGGGAGATTTCAATTAGCATGTTTACCACTGGCACTGTCAGAAATAATTAGTGTTTGTTTACTCAGTGTTTACTGGTAATGACCAGTTTTTTACCAGTAAAATTCGGCTTGGACTGGTTATTCATGTGACATCCAGTCCCTGTTGACCAGTAAATAAAGTACTGTACCTTAAAAATTGTTGTTGAACAAAACATCAGCGATATTCATATACCGTATTCGGCGTAATAAGCGCCCCGCTCTAATAAGCGCCCACGGTGATATTTGCTAATATATTGGCCAGTGAACAATCCCAATTAGCACCACTTCCAATTGATCAGTGTACACAAGACTTATTTATTCGCATATAATACGCACTCATTTGATATGCACACTTAATAATGGGCAATTAAATTCTTGAAAAATATATCTGTCGTACATAAACATTTCAGGCTGTTAGCATGGTTAGAACAAATCACGATATTTATCTTTCAACTCTGTTTTTTTCACTAAAATAATATTCCAATAAGAGCCCCCTATTTCTTATTTTGAGAGCGCCCTGGGCGCTTATTACGTCAAATATGGTAAGCATTTTTATCGAAGTAAGACAGCTTGTATGTTATGATCAAGCAGGCTTTCCCCTTGTCTGTTTTTGTGCAAGGAAATAATATTTTGCTGTACTTCGAGGTTAAATGTATATTTGTAGCGACTTTCTCTCGAAATATTATGAGCAACAGTTGCGCTGTTGACACATACAAAATTACAGACAGTGTTCCCGTTTGCTGGTAATCACCAGTTATTTTACCGGTAAAATTAGATTGAACCGGTAATTCATGTGACTACGAATCTCTGTGGAAAATAAGGTGTCTTGTAAATCTTTGTTGTTGAACAAAGCATCGTCGATAGTCAAAAACTATACTTTTCAAATAAAGTCAGCTTGACTGTTATCATCAGGTTTTCCCATTTACCATTTTGCTATTTAACCTTTGCTTTGAGGTTAGATATCTGTTTGTAGTGACTTAGTGTTGAATCAAAGTGAAATGTTCAGAAAAAAGAGAGTGAGTGAGTGAGTATGGTTTTACGCCGATTTTAGCAATATTCCAGCAATATCCAGGCGGGGGACACCAGAAATGGGCTTCACACATTGTACCCATGTCGGGAATCGAAACGGGTCTTCGGCGTGACGAGCGAACGCTTTAACCACAAGGCTACCTGACTGCCCCCAGAAAAAAGAGAGAAAATTGTGATTGAACTTTGTGTGAATGACGTGAAGATCTAAACATGCTAAATAAGTTACTTCAGAAATGTTGTCGCTGAATTTGTCATGCCAAAAACCTGGGTTGATTCCCCACAAGGGTACAACATGAAGGCTATTTTTGGTGTCCCCTGCCTGAAGTTGCTGGATTATTGCTAACAGCGGCGTAAAACAATACTCACTCACTAACTTTTTCTTCTTCCCAGGTAAGTGCTACAGTGGCACGCCAACTTTACTCTCCAATGGGTCTGCGAGGGTCAAGTTTACTGCTACTCGTGCAGGTCGACCAAAGTGGAAGAAGAGGAAATCTGCCATTTCGAAAGTCAAGGTGGAAAGAGATCTTTTCAGTGGTATGTATAACACTGTTTTGTCTATTGTGACACGACAAGCAAGGGATGTGACATCAACCAGTATATTGTTATGATTTCTGTGCAGGCCAGCCAGATTGTATGGGTTGTTACCAATCTCATAAAAATCAGATCTTAGTTCTCGCTACCGCTAAACAAAGATCTGAGGACATCCCATTAGGGGTCACGTCAGAACGACCTTTCATCCGCCCAATCAGAGCGTCGCTTACCAGATCATGAAAGTGACAGTCGGAATGTGATTTCTAATCATGCAACCTCGAAAACTTTAAAAAAGGGTATTCCGAACGATAGTTACAGGCTTAACGACTGAATCCATACAATCTAGACCATATATTAGCCATTCGAGAATAATCTTTTGTTCAGGTTTCAAATTTCTAAGCGAGAATTTGTCAAAATATGTTTCGAAGCGTAGTCGCCAATTTGAAATTAGTGCCGTAAACCACGAGAAAGCTGCCTTCTGATTGGTTAATATCAACTTCTTGTCAGTAATTCCATTGGTCGGTCAGATTTTGCGAAAGGTCGGTCTGACGTGACCCGTAATGGGATGTCCTCAGATCTTTGTTTAGCGGCAGCGAGAACTAAGATCTGATTTTTATGAGATTGGGGTTGTTACAAGACTGCGGTGACTGGCCAGTCAGTTAGCTAGATCTGTAAGGAGGAATGGTGAGGATGTTAACAGGTTGAAGTGACATATCTGTTACAAGTTTCACAAAATGACTGATCGCCAAGGATTAGTCAACACTGCAGTCTCAACTCAATGCAGTTATTCTGCAACCATAACATCAACAGAAAAACCAGAAGGCCTGGTTCAACCAAAAGTTGGAATAAACAAAAGCGAACTCGGATGTGTGTAGTGGCAGATAGTTATTGTATATTCCTGGGGTTTGGTACACAGTGTTTCAGGTTTTGAGATGTAACCACAGCTTTTAATATGTCTGAATTATTCAAGTCAGTGACATATCAGTTAGGGAGCTAAGCATCCTGAAGAAGTTTTCAAATATTATGATGTATGATTTATAGTGGTGGGACGATACATTGATGCTTCAGTGGATCGCGATTTTTTAATAACTGTTCCACTAAACACAAATCAGTGGTGCAAGTTAATAGTGAAAACATATATATTTTCATCCATTGTGCCATACTTGACACTGCCAACTGTAAATCATCAGTGTGCCAGGTATATTTGGCCATATTTTTCATATGGGATGATCTTTCCCTGTAAGGAGCTTGACAGCGATGTACAGTTTGAGTAGGGTACATAGAAATTTGTCGAAACGTCAGTGAACAATAAAATTCAAGTATTTTACATGTAAGGTAAGTGAGTGAGTTGTGTTTAACTCCGCTTTCAACAGTATTCCAGTTATATCACGGCATGTCAGCTTAATGTGGGAGGAAAGCCCCAAGTGATGCAGATCTTAGACATTTACCACTTCGGTGAAACCCACGAACACGGGTATGGTGCTGACAAACCTAGAAACATAATCGGGGAGAACCGGAATTTGAACCCACAACCATAGGTTTCTGGCACAACTCTGCACATTGAATTGCGGTGCCTTAGACGACTGGGCCACCCATGGCCCCTGTAAGGTAAGATAATTCAATTTGTACCCCACTATATAATATGCATATAGACCTGACATGTACTATTTCCCTTCCACAGTTCTCAACATGCGCACCACCCAGCTAGCCCTGGGAGCCATGATGCAAGAAGAAGGGGAAACAACCAAGGACTCGCCAGATGCCATTTTGGTAGTGCCAAGATCCTTAAAGTTCTTGCGAGAGACACAAAACCTAGAGCTTTCAAAACCATTTCCATATCGAAAAAAACAAAGTAAGAAATTCCATGGTGATAGGACAGGAGTCTCTCACAGGGAGCGTTCTCCTGATGTGGACAGGGAATATCAGGGGGAAGAACATTGGCGTTCTTCTTTTGAGGTGTTCCAAAATCAGTTTTTCATGAAAAGGAAGGAACAGGATGTTTCTCAGTCATTGAGTGAGGATAGGTCGGAAGCGTTTTTGCACTCCAGGGACAGAAAACACAAAGACCCCCACAAACCCCCTCACCCAGGGCCACCTATATTGCAGGAATATGGTTCTGAGAAGACGGATAAAAAACACCATGAGCGTGGTGCTTCTGAGTTGGACTCCTTCAGGTCTAGTCTTTCAGGTACAGAGGATGCCGAATCTTTTGCCAAATATACTGATTTTGTTGATGAGGATGGGATGATGTTCCGAGGATCCCATGTTCGGGACGAACTTGAATCGTTTCCCGATATTCCTGAGGAAATACTTGATGCTGTGATAGCCAGGCACATATCTGAACATGAGTATGACGAGCACAGCGAGGCGCAGGACATAAAACGCGTGACGGGCGCTGAGAAGTTACACAAACAGTTATTGGGTGAAAGAGATCCCACAGTGACTAAACATTCCGCTGCAAGCAGTGCCCCCAAGACAGGCAAGAAGCTGGAGTATGGCAGCCCCTTTGCTAATGTTTCAGCTCTCAGGACTAAGTCTTTAAACCCGGATGTCAAACATTACATGGAGGCGTGTTTTGCTGCGGGAATGGTGAGTGAGGAAGGGGATAGTGGGTAGTGTTGTATTGAAGGTAGTGTTGTATTGTGGGTAGTGTTGTATTGTGGGTAGTGTTGTATTGAAGGTAGTGTTGTATTGTGGGTAGTGTTGTATTGTGGGTAGTGTTGTATTGTGGATAGTGTTGTATTGTGGGTAGTGTTTGATGATAGGTAGCATTGTATTGTGGGTAGTGTTGTATGATAGGTAGCGTTGTATTGTGGGTAGTGTTGTATGATAGGTAGCGTTGTATTGTGGGTAGTGTTGTATTGTGGGTAGTGTTGTATTGAAGGTAGTGTCGTATTGTGGGTAGTGTTGTATTGTGGGTAGTGTTGTATTGTGGGTAGTGTTGTATTGTGGATAGTGTCGTATTGTGGGTAGTGTTGTATTGTGGGTAGTGTTTTATGATAGGTAGCATTGTATTGTGGGTAGTGTTGTATGATAGGTAGCGTTGTATTGTGGGTAGTGTTGTATGATAGGTAGCGTTGTATTGTTGGTAGTGTTGTATTGTTGGTAGTGTTGTATTGTGGGTAGTGTTGCATGTTGGGAAGTGTTGTATTGTGGGTCAGAACTGCAGATAAGCTGCCTATTTGCGTAAAATACCCCAAAAATGTATTCAAAACCCAATTACTTTAACTTGCATACAGAAGTGTGTGCATTAAATGAAAAACTCAAATGTATAAAAACAGCACGAGTAAATACCAATGAAGCTTTCGGGATGCTACAACAGAGCTTATTTACAGAACCCTATTACAAGCAAATATCCTTTCTGACTCAAGCCTATATTTAGAACTGTTATATACTCTTCTAGAGTATGCTACACAATACCTCAACATTAATACAGCATTTTTATCCTCCAATATACAGGGTACTGGCCTACTTGATGTACTGAAATACAGTTGAAGGAGGCCTTCTTCTGAAACAAAAACATTATTACATTTTTTTGAAATCTTAAACATGTTAAAATGTTCACTCATTTTGGTAAAACCCAATAGAGTGATCAATAGAGTGAAACAAATATTGGGGTTACCCAATGAAAAATGCTGTAACCCAATTAAAATAGAAACCTTTCGAGTAAAATCTCAATAGTTAAAAAAGTTATCTGGAGCTCTGGTGGGTAGTGGTGTATTGTGGGTAGTGTAGTATTGTGGGTAGTGTAGTATTGTGGGTAGTGTAGTATTGTGGGTAGTGCCGATCGTGGGTAGTGTAGTATTGTGTGTAGCGTTGTATCGTGGGTAGTGTAGTATTGTGGGTAGTGTAGTATTGTGGGTAGTGTAGTATTGTGTGTAGTGCCGATCGTGGGTAGTGTAGTATTGTGTGTAGCGTTGTATCGTGGGTAGTGTAGTATTGTGGGTAGTGTAGTATTGTGGGTAGTGTAGTATTGTGTGTAGTGCCGATCGTGGGTAGTGTAGCATTGTGTGTAGTGTTGTATCGTGGGTATTGTAGTATTGTTGGTAGTGTAGTATTGTGTGTAGTGTAGTATTGTGTGTAGTGTAGTATTGTGTGTAGTGTTGTATTGTGGGTAGTGTTGTATTGTTGGTAGTGTTGTATTGTGTGTAGTGTAGTATTGGGGGTAGTGTTGTATTGTGTGTAGTGTAGTATTGTGGGTAGTGTAGTATTGTGGGTAGTGTTGTATCGTGGGTAGTGTAGTATTGGGGGTAGTGTTGTATTGTGTGTAGTGTAGTATTGTGGGTAGTGTAGTATTGTGTGTAGTGTTGTATCGTGGGTAGTGTAGTATTGTGTGTAGTGTAGTATTGTGTGTAGTGTAGTATTGTGTGTAGTGTAGTATTGTGTGTAGTGTTGTATTGTGTGTAGTGTAGTATTGTGGGTAGTGTTGTATTGTGGGTAGTGTAGTATTGTGGGTAGTGTTGTATTGTGTGTAGTGTTGTATTGTGTGTAGTGTAGTATTGTGTGTAGTGTAGTATTGTGTGTAGTGTTGTATTGTGTGTAGTGTAGTATTGTGTGTAGTGTTGTATTGTGTGTAGTGTTGTATTGTGGGTAGTGTTGTATCGTGTGTAGTGTTGTATTGTGGGTAGTGTTGTATTGTGGGTAGTGTAGTATTGTGTGTAGTGTTGTATTGTGTGTAGTGTTGTATTGTGGGTAGTGTTGTATTGTGGGTAGTGTTGTATTGTGTGTAGTGTAGTATTGTGTGTAGTGATGACTGTCAGTAGTGATGTAGTTGGCTAGTTACCTGTAGTCGCCGCCGCTGCTGTGATGGGTGTTGGTGCTGTTGCAGCTGGACCAGGCACACTCGGCCATCTTGTATTACCAGTTCATGATGAAGTCCAACCCTACCAACCCTGCCATGCAGCACATCCTGGACATTGACACCTACAACTTGATGATCAGCGCTTGGGCCAAACAGGTCAGACAGCAAGCAATGGAGTCACAGACACTCTCGGGTCTTGTCTTCAGATGTTGTGTTTGTATAGGGCCCCGTTTCACAAAGCGATTGCAGAGCTAAGACGATCGTATCTCCCATACTTTGACATAGTCTTATGGCAGTCTAAGCGCTAAGATGATCATATCTTCCATACTTTAACATAGACTTACGACAGTAATAGCGCTAAGACGAGCATATCCCACATACTTTAACATAGACTTACGACAGTACAGCCGTAGCGCTAAGATGATTGTATCTTCCATACTTTGGAGCAACACTCAAATGGCGTAAAACCTTACTGACTGACTGACTGACTGACTGACTGACTGACTGACTGACTGACTGACTATTTAGACACACATATAAAATGATCTGGTCCTGAACACACTGAAGTTGACTGAAGCTTTATCTTTTGTTAAACATATAAAAGTCTGAAGGAATGCATGCATACTCAAAATACGAACATCAGTGACTTGTTGTATAACCATGGAGTTACAGTGAATTTTGTTATTTAACAATACAGAATGTGACTATCCACAGGTCTAGATAGTCCCGTGAATACCCAGGTTCTTCTCAGGAACCACCCAACCCGAGTACGGTACCCGAGTTACCCATCCCAGCCCAACTGGGCACCAATCCATGACTCTCCACTGGGTATATAAACTTTGCCTACATGAAGACCTGTCTAGCAGCAGTTTTATGCTTGTTTCCAGGGCAACATGGCTAAGATCAAGGACCTGTTCGCCTTCATAAAGAAGGACGGCCTGGAGCCGACCCTGCAGACCTACGTGGCGTGCCTGGAGTGTCTGTATCACCAGAAGGACCTGGACATGGCTCTGTGTAGAAGTATTATTGACGACCTGGAGACACAGGTAAACTGTCACAGGATTCCTAACACTTGTAGTCTAGAGATTCAGCTTAAAGACATAGTCAGTACTTTGTTTACCTTGTACCCTTGTATACGTATGACCACTAGGCTGTGGAGTTGTAGTATATTTAACCTTTGAATTAAGCAGGGCTTCTTGTGAGATGAGACCCGTGGAGATTCGGGGTAGAATAGGTCTTCAGCAACCCATGCTTGCCGTGAAAGGCGATTATGCTTGTCGTACGAGGCGACTAACAGGATCTTGTGGGTCAGGCTCGCTGACTTGGTTGATGCATGTCATCGATCCCAATTGCGTGGATTGATGCTCATGATATCAATCTCTGGATTGTCTGGTTGGACTCAATTATTATTATTATTTCAATGTAATATTGCTGAGTGCAGGGTTAAACAACAAACAGTCAATCTTGTGAGATGAGAGTGAAGCCAGCGACTGCTATGACCAGTCAGCGCTCAGATTGCATCAAACAATCAGCAATGTTTCGTGCTTGACATCTTGTGCAACATGCGCCATGGCTGTCTCTGATTGCTATATGCTTCAGTGTCAGACAACGGTAGAGTTGGCACTTAATTCATGCACAGGGTCGGCCTCCTCTCCATTTCATCAGCGGACTATATACTCTTAGTTGTGGTGTCTTTAGTTGCCGTATTCAGTGACATATAAGCTGACTAACGGGATCGGGTGGTCAGGCTCGCTGACTTGGTTGATGCATGTCATCGATCCTAACTGGAACGATGCTCATGATGTCAATCACTGGATTGTCTGGTCCAGACTCGATTATTTTACAGACCGCCGTCATATAGCTGGAATACTGCTGAGTGCGGCGTTAAAGAACAAACAAACAAACATATTAGCTGAAATGACACCGTATAACAAATTTATTGTTCCGAAAAGAGTACACTATCTAGTATCTTTGTCGCACGTGTCATGTCAAAATGAAAACTTACGCTTCCAACCAGTCTAAATGACAGGACCAGTATTTTAGAAAAAATGAATAGAATTATCATAAAAATGCTGCATGTTATCAGAAATCTGAAGGCCACTGTAACTTGACGGGCTCCTATCTATTCTATTGCTGTGTGACGTCATTGGCGTTGTCATTGGCGTTGTCATTGGCGTCACATTTCTTGTTTGTGACGTCATCCTATATTATGTTCTATGACGTTGCTAATTGTTAATCAGTGACCTCCAATGTAAGCTTATTTTCCCCTATTATCCATATTAATATAGTCACGAACGTGGTTTCTTTAAAATTTCTTCACAATTAATTATATAAAAACACAAGACAGTGTCGTATAATGAATTCAACTACCAGAGGTTTCATTTGAAATATGTGATGTGGGTGTTTAAAAAATCAAAATTGGCTGTTACTGACGATGTTCGGTCTCATATCAGGTCAGTAACAACCATCTTGGATTTCTACTGTTGGTATATTGGCTTATATGGGGTTAGTAGTTCTGCTCTTAGATTGGTCAATCTGACTTTCAGGCTTCATAAAGGCTTACCTTCTGATCGCTTCACACACGATTTCGCTGAAATTAATTGAAATAATATTAAAAGGAATTTTGAATAAAATTATTGAAATAAGCTACAAACAAAAGTCCAGACAAGTCCAGATAGTCAATGAACACTTTTTATAGCCAGACAGCGTAATTACATGATTAATTTGCATACTACAGTATGGATTTGTTGACATGGTATTTCCGGTGTTACGTGCTCACAGTAATGTCTTTGCATTGGGGGAAAAAAACATCAAAACTCATTATGGCGTGTATAATGCGCACCCCCTTCAACACAGCTGTGTTTTTTTGGAAAAAAAGTGTGCACTATACTCAAGAAAATACGGTATATTTGGTTTGTAGTTCTGCTCCCTGATTGGTCAATTTCACTTTGAGGCTTCATAAAGACATATGTCAGAGCACACTGCACAGAGATGGTGTATGAACAGGTGACGGAGGAAGGATGTATATACAAAGTGTTGACAATAAAACAAGGGAAATAACTTTGATTTCAGGGCCTAGAGCTGGAGAACATCCTCAACGAGTGCAAGCTGAAGAAGGAGGAGTTTGATGCAGTCATGCAGGTACAGTGGGTGGCTGTGTGAGTGTACGGAGCGATCGGTGAGGAAATGGGTGGTCGGTCAGATCGATTGGTGATCGAGAGTGGGTGGCTGTGTGAGTGTACGGAGCGATCGGTGAGAAAATGGGTGGTCGGTCAGAACGATTGGTGATCGAGAGTGGGTGGCTATGTGAGTGTACGGAGCGATCGGTGAGAAAATGGATGGGTGGTCAGAGCGATTAGTGATGGAGAGTGGGTGGCTGTGTAAGTGTACGGAGCGATCGGTGAGAAAATGGGTGGTCGGTCAGAACGATTGGTGATCGAGAGTGGGTGGCTGTGTGAGTGTACGGAGCGATCGGTGAAAAAATGGGTGGTCGGTCAGAGCGATTGGTGATCGAGAGTGGGTGGCTGTGTGAGTGTACGGAGCCATCGGTGAGAAAATGGATGGGTGGTCAGAGCGATTGGTGATCGAGAGTGGGTGGCTGTGTGAGTGTACGGAGCGATCGGTGAGAAAATGGATGGGTGGTCAGAGCGATTAGTGATCGAGAGTGGGTGCCTGTGTGAGTGTACGGAGCGATCGGTGAGAAAATGGGTGGTCGGTCAGATCGATTGGTGATCGAGAGTGGGTGGCTGTGTGAGTGTACGGAGCGATCGGTGAGAAAATGGATGGGTGGTCAGAGCGATTGGTGATCGAGAGTGGGTGCCTGTGTGAGTGTACGGAGCGATCGGTGAGAAAATGGATGGGTGGTCAGAGTGATTAGTGATCGAGAGTGGGTGGCTGTGTGAGTGTACGGTGCGATCGGTGAGAAAATGGGTGGTCGGTCAGAGCGATTGTTGATCGAGAGTGGGTGGCTGTGTGAGTGTACGGAGCAATCGGTGAGAAAATGGATGGGTGGTCAGAGCGATTAGTGATCGAGAGTGGGTTGGAGTTTTGAGTGAGTGAATGAGTTGGGTTTTAAGGTTGCTTTTAACATATTTCCTTAATCTGAGAAAATGCCTAAGTTTATACAGACTGCAGATGTTTCTTGTTCGGTGGATACCAGCGGGGACGTGTTTCCGTGTGTAGGGTACAGACAAAGGGGATCAATATCATAATTATGTGTATCTTGGATTAAATTCCAAGGTGTAACTCTACAAAGGATATTTGTGGTGCCTAAGGTGTATGACGAGAAATAACCACAATGTACGCAGAGACTAGAGCTTATAGTGAGGAGGAGAAAACTATGCTTTAACACGTCGGCTACCCCACCGCACTCTTGTGTTATGAGGGGCGGTCGGGTAGCCTGGTGGTTAAAGCGTTGGCTCATCGTGCCGAAGACCTGGGTTTGATTCCCGACATGGGTGCAATGTGTCAAGCCCATTTCTGGTGTCCCCTGCCTTGATTTTGCTGGAATATTGCTAAAAGCGGCGTGAAACCTCACTCACTTTTGTGTTATGAAACAAATTGATGTTCAAACTCGATGACAATGATGTCATGTCCAATACTCCCTACAGGTGGTTCTCCAGGTGAGACAGGGGTTCACGCCCCGGCCCCGGCCAGACTTTGAGCCGTACAACGGACCCCTCTTGGAGCCCCTCAACCAACCCAGTGATCAGGTAAGTTGGATACCCTGGAACTGAATACATCCTCTCAAGTATGTTGGTTGTTGGTTTGTTGTTTATCGCCGCACACAGCAATATTCCAGCTATATGACGGCAGTCTGTAAATAATCAAGTCTGGACCAGACAATCCAGTGATTGATATCACGAGCATCGATCCACGCAATTGGGATCGATGACATGCATCAAACAAGTCAGCGAGCCTGACCACCCGATCCCGTTAGTCGCCTTTTACGACAAGCATAGTCGCCTTTTACGGCAAGCATGGGTTGCTGAAGATCTATTCTACCCCGGTCTTACAAGCAGGAGGCGGGTTAGATAAATGTGACCAACCATGACATAAGGGACCTTATGGGTGAAAAGTCATATTTTGACTTTTCATTATATTTCAAAACTACAGCATTTTTGGAACACAAATATACAATTCACAAGCTTCAATTCCTATTTATTACAGAGATACATGACATCACACATGGCAATCTTCACAGCAGTAGGTTGACCTCACTTGTCTTTATGATGTCATAGCACAATTGTATCCCAGGACCCTCCAAGTACATTACATGGCACGACCCGAGAAGATCCGGGGTAGAATAGGTTGTATGCTTGCCGTAAGATGCTTGTTGTAAGAGGCGACTAACGGGATCGGGTGGTCAGACTTGCTGACTTTGTTAATGCATGTCATCGTATTCCAATTGCGTGGATCGATGCTCATGATGATTTTTTACAGACCGCCGTCATATAGCCGGAATATTGCGAAGTGCGGCGTTAAACAACAAACAAACAAACAAACAAAGAAACATTACATAGCACATGCCTCCAAATACGCCCTGAGTATTTAACCTTGCACATGGCTCCACCCTCTATGACACCATGATGTGCGTGTGCAGGTGGTGGAACAACAAACAAACAAACATAACAGAGCACATGCCTCCAAATACGCCCTGAGTATTTAACCTTGCACATGGCTCCACCCTCTATGACACCATGATGTGCGTGTGCAGGTGGTGGAACAACAAACAAACAAACATTACATAGCACATGCCTCCAAATACGCCCTGAGTATTTAACCTTGCACATGGCTCCACCCTCTATGACACCATGATGTGCGTGTGCAGGTGGTGGAACAACAAACAAACAAACATTACATAGCACATGCCTCCAAATACTCCTTGAGTATTTAACCTTGCACATGCCTCCACCCTCTATGACACCATGATGTACGTGTGCAGGTGGTGGAACAACAAACAAACAAACATTACATAGCACATGCCTCCAAATACGCCCTGAGTATTTAACCTTGCACATGGCTCCACCCTCTATGACACCATGATGTGCGTGTGCAGGTGGTGGAACACAACCCCTATGCCGGAGTTGTGTCCCCTGACAGGTTCTCCCGGCAGATCGGGGCCCAGCTGGAGCGTGAGCTGAAGGGCACAGTCACTGTCAAGTCCATCGCCTCCCGACCCAACGTGACCAAGAAGATGAAGGACTATGTGAGTTATCTGCCCTGATGTGACCGTTTATATGATCTCTAAGGCCAGACTTTTTTTATTTTTAGGATTACGGATTTTTCAGCCCTAAGTCCAGGGTTGGAAGAGGGGGAAAAAAAGAAAAAAAGAAAAGCCAGATGCTTTTTTTTTAATGCAGAATGCCTCTGGCATACTTTATGAACACATTCTGTGCTCAAAAGACTGCCATTTGTGACGATAAAGCCCCTTGTAACAATAAAAAGTCTACCACTTACATCACGGACAATTGTCAAGGGAGGCTATTCATGTTTGGCTTCGAGATCAACAAAGATCAATTATGTAACTCTTTACTAGTTTACAACGGTAAATTCATATGTTTTTACAAAAAGGTGATGATAACAAATAAAATAACTGACTACGTTGCTATTGGCGGGAAAAAAAATTGGAAATCAGATTAATATTTTTTAATTTTCTCAAAAATTAGAGTCGGCGGGGTCCGTAATCCGAAAAATATAAAACGCCTGGCCTAATAGATATGTGGAACACATGTGGCTATGTTGTCAAACCTGAAAATCTTAAGACGTGTAGAGTGACAAGAGTTTCACTGTTTTTGTGGTTTTCAAGCCATAGGAAAATCAAAATACAAAAAAACACAATAACTGGTGAAGCTAAGTGACAGACAAATGAAGTATGGGAATACAGAGTAGTAGCTTGTTTCCTTTGCACAATACTGTAAATCTTGATATTAATGCGAGCGTGAATTAAATGCGAAAAATGCGAGTGGTCTTTGCTCGCAATATTAAACAGCACATTTATATCAACAATAAGACATTTTGGATAGCAGAAATACCAACTATGTATTCCACATCACTGTTTTTTGAGCAGCACTTGTTACAAGTATATAAACAATGTCATTCAAACACTAATTACATCCTGTGAATTGTCACTGCTGGGGTCAAGACAAGCGTTCTACTCACTCATGTCATCACACCTGCAAGTCCAGACAGACGCCACCCAACACGGTGTCTTTGCTCTTTGCGACTGCATCAAAGGCCGACACGAGCCAGCGCGCACGGATTGTTTTAGCTGAAGTACACTACTCAGCGCTAATAAGCGGTGCTATTTGGTGTGTGATTGGATTAATGTAAGGTTGGATTAAGGTGAGGATTCTCCTGTAAACCTGACGGAAGACATTTTGTTTAGATATTAATCCACTGATGCTTGAGAGGAGGGGGTGTCGCATTCATATTGAGTTGCATTTTTGGCTAGGGGCCAGCGGTCGCATTCTTTTGGAGACGCATTAATTTCGCGTTTTACAGTATTTGTATTGCCTCTGATAGTTACAAAATAATATTAAAGAATATCAGACATGATTTGGTCTGATTCCAGCGGAAGAAACTGGATGCTGTGCGGAGTCTGTGGAGGGATATGTTCAAGAAGGGCCTGGACAAAAAGATACGCTACCTGACACGCAAGTCCAAAGGTGAGTCACGGGTGCTTAGAAAAATGACAAAAGGGGTGCTTTTAAAAGCCATACACAGCAAGTTAAATTTGTTTTCAGAGATTGAGCAGTAGTTAAATGTCAGTGAAAGTAAAATGTTTTCAATACTAGTTATCAAGCCATTATAATTCCCCCGCTACTGGTCTTCGATCCTAGTAGGGTATTAAAGATCACTTAGACACCGAATAGAATTTGGTCAGAGGGGTATATTTGGGCAGGGCACTTAATAGGGGGAATACGGTATTATTAATCTGTCATCATATAATAATATATGTGTCTTACATTGTTAATTTTGATATCCATAAGGCTTTAAAAAAAATATTCTTGGTTCTCAAACACCACCGCATTTAAATACAAGACTGGGCGGTCAGTAGCCTAGTGGTTAAAGCGTTCGCTCGTCACGCCGAAGACCCGGGTTCGATTCCCAACATGGGTACAATGAGTGAAGCCCATTTCTGGCGTCCCCCGCCGTGATATTGCTGGAATATTGCAAAAAGCGGCGTAAAACCATACTCACTCACTCACTAAATACAAGACTAATACACGTAGTGTTTGATGTGTTTTATTTCCAGGTACACATGGGGTGTCCCTCCTGCCATATCTTAGGCTGCTGCCCCCCGATGAGTATGTCGACTGTGTGTTCACTGTACGTACAGCATTGTGGTCCGGCTTAGAATACGTCCCTAACAACCTATACTTTTAATAGGAGGTGATTAGGTGGATCAGGTACTCAGATTCAGTACGTACAGCATTGTGGTCGTTACAGAACATGTTGGACCCTATTGAGATTCCGGCTTAGAATACTTCCCTAACAACCTATACTTTTAATAGGAGGCGATTAGGTTCGATCGGGTACTCAGATTCAGTACGTACAGCATTGTGGTCGTTACAGAACATGTTGGACCCTATGGGGATTCCGGCTTAGAATACTTCCCTAACAACCTATACTTTTAATAGGAGGTGATTAGGTGGATCAGGTACTCAGATTCAGTACGTACAGCATTGTGGTCGTTACAGAACATGTTGGACCCTATTGAGATTCCGGCTTAGAATACGTCCCTAACAACCTATACTTTTAATAGGAGGTGATTAGGTGGATCAGGTACTCAGATTCAGTACGTACAGCATTGTGGTCGTTACAGAACATGTTGGACCCTATTGAGATTCCGGCTTAGAATACTTCCCTAACAACCTATACTTTTAATAGGAGGCGATTAGGTTCGATCGGGTACTCAGATTCAGTACGTACAGCATTGTGGTCGTTACAGAACATGTTGGACCCTATGGGGATTCCGGCTTAGAATACTTCCCTAACAACCTATACCTTAATAGGAGGTGATTAAGTGGAAAGGGTACGCAGATTCAGTACGTACAGCATTGTGGTCCGGCTTAGAATACGTCCCTAACAACCTATACTTTTAATAGGAGGCGATTAGGTGGATCGGGTACTCAGATTCAGTACGTACAGCATTGTGGTCGTTACAGAACATGTTGGACCTTACGGGGATTCCAGCTTAGAATACTTCCCTAACAACCTATACTTTTAATAGGAAGTGATTAGGTGGATCGTGTACTCAGATTCAGTGATTTGGCTGGGTGTGTGTCATAACGACAAGGTGGGATGTCGACCCCATGGTGATACCGGGTTAGAATACGTCCCCAACAACCAGTACTTTTAATAAGAGGCGATTAGGTGGATCAGGTGATCAGATTCAGTGATTTGGTTGGTTATGTGTCAAAACGACAAGGTGGGAACTTCATATTATCAATCACTGGTTTATCTGGTCCAGACTTTTTGTTTGCAAGATAATGTGATATAGCTGAAATATTGATGGTAAACAACAAACAAACAAACATAACTTGGGCAGAAAGTAATACTGTAAAGTTTGGTATTCACAAAAAAAAATTTTTTCGAAGACGTCAGAGCCAATTAAAATTCTGTTCTGTCTCGTTAGCTCAGCTGATGATAGTCCACTTAGTAACACCACATTCCACCGAAAATGTTGCTGCACGTGAAGGTCCGTGGTAGAATAGGTCTTCAGCAAGCCATGCTTGTCGTAAAAGGCAACTACGGGATCGGGTGGTCAGGCTGGCTGCCTTGGTTGACTTAGTGCGGCGTTAAACAACAAACAAACAACGAAAATGATGCTAAGAACCATGTTCGGGCTCGTAGTCTCAATTGGTTTTGGCACAGACTGGGACAGTAGCCACTGCCTGATTGACATCTCTGGCCTAGTACACAGTATTTAACTGAGACAGGTGTCTATTACTGTGGGACCGCCTCCGTGGTCTAGTGGTAGAGGGTCCGCCCGGATAGCGGAACGTCCGGGGTTCGATCTCTGGCCGCGTCATACCAAAAGACATTAAAAGATGGTACTTGTTGTTACCCTGTCTGGCGCTCGGCATTAAGGGGCTAAAACAAGGACTGGTCGGCTCGGAGTCAGTATACTGTGTCTGAGAGGGGTATTCATGTTCAACTGCGGCATGGTATCTCAGTTGGCTAGCACTATAAATCGGCATCAGTCCGGACTAGTACAAGCAGCCACACAAACACACACACGTGCATGCACGTCGCTATATAAGTGCAATATTCTTGGACGCGGCGTTAAACCCCATTTCACCTCACCTATTACTGTGGTCAGCATGCCACATGGATATTCAGCAGACAGAGGGGGTTTGCCACACATGCTAGGACTGAGTATGACTCTCATGAAGGTATGAAGGTATGAAGATGATCACTATTCTCCTCCTGTCACATCAGTAGAGGTTAGAAGATATTTAGGATGTTTGGAGACATGTTATGAGAAGTTCATTGTTACAAGTACAGTGGTTCATGTGTTGTGATGTCACTTTCAGGAGATGGATAAGATCGCGATGTTCGCGGAGTCGTTCAGTCCCAGCATGGGGATCCTGTCGAAACAGCTGGGCTACAGCATCTACAACAGCTTCATCAGACACCAGAACACCAAGAGCAGGGCCGACCAGAAGGTGGGACGGGGTGTTGGGCGTGATGGGATGTGGTGTCAGGGGTGACAGGAAGGGGTGTTGGAGGTGACAGGATGGGGTGTTGGGAGTGACAGGACAATGTGTTGGGGATGACAGGATGGGGTGTTGGGGGTGATGGGATGGGGTGTTGGGGGTGACAGGACAGGGTGTTGGGGGTGACAGAGTGGATTGTTGGGGGTGACAGGATGGGGTGTTAGGGGTGACAGGATGGGGAGTTAGGGGTGACAGGACAGGGTGTTGGGGATGACAGGATGTGGTGTTGGAGGTGACATAACTGGGTGTTGGGGGTGACAGAGTGGATTGTTGGGGGTGACAGGACAGGGTGTGGGGTGACAGGACAGGGTGTTGGGGTGACAGGACGGGATGGCGGGGTCACAGGATGGGGTGTAAGGGGTCACAGGATGGGGTGTCGGTGACAGGATGGGGTGGCCGGGGTGACAGGACAGGGAATGACAGGATGGGTGTTGGGTGGTGACAGGATGGGGTGTTGGGGTGACAGGATGGGGTGTTTGGGTGACAGGATGGGGTGTTGGGTGACAGGATGAAGTGTTTGGGTGACAGGATGAAGTGTTGAGGTGACAGGATGAAGTGTTGGGGTGACAGGATGGGGTGTTGGGGTGACAGGATTGGGTGTTGGGGTGACAGGATGAAGTGTTGGGGTGACAGACGGGGTGTTGGTATGTTGGGGGTGGGAGGATAGGGTGCTGGGGCTGACAGGGTCTTGATGTAAGGAATGTGTCCCAGGTTGAAGTGAGTATGTCCCAGGGTGATTTGGTAACAAAGTATAAGTTGTTGAAGCATTCACAGGATCTTGATTTTGTAAGTCTGAAACCGACAACAATTGTGGTGTTTATGCTCCAGATTGCCCAGCTCTACCGGCAGTATGCAAAGTACTACAATGACAAGGACTTCCCCTTCTCCAACCACAGGGAGTGCTGGCACCACATCATCACCAAGGAGGGCATGTGGTCAGCACTGGTCAGTACCCAACAGTTGTTGTTATGTGAGAGAGTGAGTGAGTTGGGTTTAACGCCGCTTTTAACAGTATACAAGTTATATCACGGCGTGTCAGCTTGATATAGGAGGAAAGCCCGAAGTGATGCAGGTCTTAGACATTTACCACTTCGGGGAAACCCACAAACATGGGTATATGCTGACAAATCTAAAACAATTGGGGCAAACCAGCATTTGAACCCACAATCATAAGTTTCTGGCGTGCCCAAGGGACGTAACTCTGCACAGCGAAATGCGTCCCCTTAGACGACTGGGCAACCCGTGCCCCCTGTTGTTATGTAGAGGACTGTGGTCTTGTCAAGTGGCTAACGTACTGGCATGTCATGCTGAAGACAATGTGTTTCATTTCTCATTTGTTTGTTTGTTGTGTAACTCGTCACTCAGTAGTATTGCAGCTATGTGACAGCGCCTTGTAAGTAATCACATTCATATTAATGATATTAGGAGCAGCAATAAATGCATTCATGATGAGACAGGGGCGGTGGAGTAGCTTAGTGGTTAAGACATTCACTGGTCACACTGAAGCCCCGGGTTTGATTCCCCACATGGGTACAATGTGGTCTAGCCCGTTTCTGGTGTCCCCTGTCATGGTATTGCTGGAATATTGCTGAAAGCACACCCACTCCCTCCCTCCCTCCCTCCCTTCCTCCCTCTCTCTCTCTCTCTTGAGAGGTTGCTAGGGACCTATTCTGGCCTGGAATGCCCGTTGGATTATTTGATATATTAAGTAAGGATAACATATGTAGATGAACACCCAGTGATGCGTGCTTATAAAAGACAACTTGTATGTGTATTGGGGGTAAACATGTTCCCAGAGGATCCCACTTGGACTAAGAATAGTTTTGAGGAAAGGTTCTTTCGACATTTGCATGTATAAGATAACTTTATTGTGGCTAATCCACCATGGTATAACATATGGTCCACCTTGGTGTAACTTATGGTCCACCATGGTATGACGTATGGTCCACCTAGGTATAACATATGGTCCACCTTGGTATAACTTATGGTCCACCATGGTATGACGTATGGTCCACCTAGGTATAACATATGGTCAACCATGGTATAACATATGGTCCATCATGGTATAGCCTATGATCCACCATGGTATAGCTTATGGTCCACCAAGGTATAACATATGGTCCACCATGGTATAACTTATGGTCCACCATGGTATAACTTATGGTCCACCATGGTATAACTTATGGTCCACCATGGTATAACTTATGGTCCACCATGGTATGACGTATGGTCCACCTAGGTATAACATATGGTCAACCATGGTATAACATATGGTCCATCATGGTATAGCCTATGATCCACCATGGTATAGCTTATGGTCCACCAAGGTTTAACATATGGTCCACCAAGGTTTAACGTATGGTCCACCATGGTATAACTTATGGTCCACCAAGGTATAACATTTTGTCTACCAAGGTATAAGTTATGGTCCACCATGGTATGATATATGGTCCACCATGGTATAACATATGCTCCCCCATGGTATAAGTTATTGTCCACCATGATATAACTTATGGTCCACCATGGTATAACATATGGTCCATCATGGTATAACATATGGTCCACCAAGGTATAACATGTGGTCCACCAAAGTATAACATATGGTCCTCCATGGTATAACATATGGTCCACCATGGTATAACTTTTTGTCCACCATGGTATAATTTCTTGATGTGTAGCAATTCCTCAGTTGACCTATCTTGTTTTTTCAGGATGTTCCCACAAAGCCCTGGCCAGACCACATCATGAAGGCAGTAAGTGTCACGTTCCTACCTCTCATCCACATTTCTGGTTATACAATAGTTATATTGTCAGTGCAACTGCCTACTTTCTCCCAACTTAAGTTGGCACACTGTGACACAGCTGAAGTATTATCAATAACCAACCATCATCCTCACTCACTCACTCACTCATCTGACCCGTGAAGGTCCGGGGTAGAATAGGCCTTTAGCAACCTATGCTTGCCGTAAAAGGTGACTATGCTTGTGGTAAAAGGCGACTAATGGGATTGAGTGGTCAGGCTTGGTGACTTGGTTGATGCATGTGGATCGATGCTCATGATGTCAATCACTGGATTGTCTGGTCCAGACTTGATTATTTACAGACCGCTATCACATAGCTGGAATAATCAACAAACAAACATACAAACATCACTCATCCACATAATACAATACAGTGACACTGTCACTGAACCTGTCTCGGGGGCACGGGTGGCCCAGTCGTCTAAGGCGCCGTGATTCGCTGTGCAGAGTTGCGTCCCTTGGGCACGCCAGAAACCTATGATTGTGGGTTCGAATCCCGGTTCGCCCCGATTATGCTTCAAGGTTTGTCAGCACCATACCCATGCTCGTGGGTTTCACCGAAGTGATAAACGTCAGAGACCTGCATCACTTCGGGCTTTCCTCCCACATTAAGCTGACATGCTGCGATATAACTGGAATACTGTTAAAAGCGGCGTTAAACCCAACTCACTCACTCACTCACTCACTGAACCTGTCTCCTTCCTCCAAACTTAATGCTGTCATAATAAACAGGATGATGCTCTGCTGGCTCGGAACAATCACAGGTTATTCTAGTCCATTTAACTCTGATAAGACATTTAAGTGTGATAAGAAATTAAAACCTGATTTAAACAAAATACTTTTTAGACATTTAAGCCTTATGCCTGATTTTGAACATTAACATTAAAATCCTATCATGCTGTCACAACATTTATTTATGTTAGGTATAATGCATGGCTGGGGTACACAAGAATTGTCACTACATGCAAAGCTTTCTTTGTTTCAGCTATCTAGAGAGTCTTATCCAAACTACCCTATACTTTCCATCACGATTTGTCTATCATTAAACGGATTGCTGTTTTGTCACCAGTATGTTTGTCTGTCCACAGATCGGGAAGACCCTGTTCGATGTCATCCTGTATGATATGAAGATAGATTCTAATTTGTTCAGGAATACAAATGAAAGGTGAGGACAATCGTCGGTCTTGAACTGAAAACCACACTCACGTTGTTTTGTCTGAGAGGTGAGGTGAGGTGAAATGGGGTTTAACGTCGCGTCCAAGATTATTGCACTTACATAGCGACATGCATGCACGTATATGTGTGTGTGTGGCTGCTTGTACTAGTACGGACTGATGCCGATTTATAGTGCTAGCTCACTGAGATACCATGCTGCAGTTTAACATGAATACCCCACTCTGACACAATATACTGACTCTGAGCCGACCAGTCCTCGTTTTAGCCCCTTAATGCCGAGCGCCAGACAGGGTAACAACAAGTACCATCTTTTAACGTCTTTTGGTATGACGCGGCCGGGGATCGAACCCCGGACCTTCCGCTCTCCGGGGGGGACGGTCTACCACTAGACCACGGAGGCAGATCTGTTTTGTCTGTGCCGTCACTCCCTTTGAGACTCTGGGTTAGAACAGGTCCCCAATAACCGATGCTGGTTGTAGGATGCAGCTGAGTTGGATTGAATGGTCAGACTGTGGACTGGTTGATTGCCTGTCAAGAGCAGCAGCTAATATGGATCACATGGTCTTGTTGATTGTGTGGCATCCTTTGTGCCCCATCCACCTGGGATGTTGCTCTTAACGTCGATCACTAGTTTGTCTGGTCGACTCTTGATTTCTTGAGGTATGAGAAGTATTTCTCCTGTCACACTTCATTGAATTCAGTCAAAAGTTAAAGGCATCAGAAGTATTTCTGCCATCACACTTCATTGATCTTTGAATGACATCCCTATGCTGTACTGTGTTAGCCAGCTAGGCGTAAGACAGAGAGTGTGTTCTGTTTGTAGGAAGATGGTGCCAGCCTTCTACTCCGTGTACAGGACCTACGGGCACCGAATGATTGAAGAACTGAAAGTAAGTGGGCTTCTCTGTCATCCGTCATCCAAAACTGGCTCCCACAGGAGATATCGCTTGGGTGAGATCAAGCGATATCTACATTGAAATTGCATCACAATGCTTTGCAGACCATTGTGATGTCATTGGTTACCATGACGTCACAATCAAAAGACATCACTAATAGCTCTACTACTGAAGCTGTCAGCAGTACTTTTTACACTTAAGACACTGCTTATTACTGTCTACAAACTGAAAAAGTCACAAGGCTCGCTAAATACAATGTTTATTCCTAATGCAGGATATTTACCATCCACAAACACACTTGCGTGATAACCTCTATTTCTGTTACCCACTAGTTTTTACACATGTTGGTGTTTAAGTTAAATATTTAAAAATACTATTCATCTAGTCCCTGCAAACTGGTGTTGTGTGGGTTCGAGAGCTTTATAGGACTAAAAAATATCACGATACTTCCACAAGAAAGTGTGATGGCAAATGATCATGATGTAACTGTCATCGTGGAGCAATATTCCAGCAATTTGACGGCAATCTGTAAAATAATCAAGTCTTGACCAGATAGTACAGTGATTGACATCATGAGCATCGATCTACACATTTGGATATGATGACATGCATCAATCAAGACAACGAGTCAGACCACCCAATCTGATAAATTGCCTCTTACAACAAGTATGGCTGGTTGAAGACCATTTCTGTCTTCATAGGGGAAGAGTGGTGTCATCGTAACCCAGCGGCATGAATTGTTGCTTACACTGTCAACCACTGGTTGTCTAGTCCTGGTTACTTTCATGAATACTTAAATGATAATTTATTTAACTTCACAAACATTACTCTCGAGTTGAAACAAACTTAATCACTAAATAAAATAGTGTAATATGGTGACTTTGTCTTTGCAGCCAAACCCGACCTTAGTGCGTATCTATCAAGGCGCTGACCTCGACGAAATGACCTTTGACACCAGTGACCTCCCAATGCTGGTTCCACCTATCCCCTGGGTGTCAATGAATCATGGGGGATTTCTGCTGGGGTCAGGTACATGTTCCTGCCATCTGTCATTAGCTATATTCAGGTGTAAACTGACCGCCTCCGTAGTCTAGTGGTAGATAGTCCGCCTGGAGAGCGGAAGATCCGGAGTTCGATCCCCGACCGCGTCATACAAAAAGACGTTAAAAGATGGTACTTGTTGTTACCCTGTCTGGTGCTCGGCATTAAGGGGCTAAAACGAGGACTGGTCGGCTCTGAGTCAGTATACTGCGTCTGAGTGGGGTATTCATGTTAAACTGCAGCATGGTATCTCAGTGAGCTAGCACTATAAATCGGCATCAGTCCTGTCTAGTGCAAGCAGCCACACAAACACACACACGTACATGCACGTCGCTATATAAGTGCAATAATCTTAGATGCGACGTTAAACCCCATTTCACCTCACCTCAGGTGTAAACTAACAATTGTTACTGATTTTGGTCATCAAATACTGGCTTCCACAGGGATTATGTATTAACGGATAGTCTTGCATATCTCCACTTGAAGATATATTTATATAAGACAAAAAGCCACCTCATGCCAGTAGTGAGTGAGTGAGTTGGGTTTAACGCCGCTTTTAACAATATTCCAGTTTTATCACTGCGTGTCAGCTTAATGTGGGAGGAAAGCCCGAAGTGATGCAGGTCTCAGACGTTTACCACTTCGGTGAAACCCACGAGCACGGGTATGGGCGCCATGAGTAGTGAGTGAGTGAGTTGGGTTTAACGCCGCTTTTAACAGTATTCCAGTTATATCACGGCGTGTCAGCTTAATGTGGGTGGAAAGCCCGAAGTGATGCAGGTCCCAGACGTTTACCACTTCGGTGAAACCCACGAGCACGGGTATGGACGCCATGAGTAGTGTGTGTTCCCGACAGCTTCTTCCTTTCCCAATTGTGCCTTTAAGTGTTATGTGTTTATCTTTTCACTGTGAATAACCCATGTTTGTCTGTGACCCTAGTCCAACTTGTGCGGCGCCCTGACCACTTGAGTAGGCACTCAGACCGCCTACAGAACACCCCTGTCAGCAAGATCCAGGCCGTGCTGGACTCACTCAACAACCTCGGGGCGTGTGCCTGGATCATCAACAAGCCTGTATGTACCTGACACGTCACACTTGTATGTACCTGACACATCACACCTGTAACTGACACATCACACCTGTAACTGACACATCACACCTGTAACTGACACGTCACACCTGTACGTACCTGACACGTCACACCTGTATGTACCTGACACATCACACCTGTAACTGACACATCACACCTGTAACTGACACATCACACCTGTAACTGACACATCACACCTGTAACTGACACGACACACCTGTGACTGACACATCACACCTGTAACTGACACATCATACCTGTACGTACCTGACACATCACACCTGTACATACCTTTCACATCACACCTGTAACTGACACATCACACCTGTATGTACCTGACACATCATACCTGTATCTGACACATCACACCTGTACATACCTTTCACATCACACCTGTAACTGACACATCTCCCCTGTACCTGACACATCACACCTGTACATACCTTTCACATCACACCTGTAACTGACACATCACACCTGTATATACCTGACACATCACACCTGTATGTACCTGACACATCACACCTGTTACTGACACATACCTGTATCTGACACATCACACCTGTAACTGACACATCACACCTGTAACTGACACATCACACCTGTACCTGACACATCACACCTGTAACTGACACATCACACCTGTTTGTAACTGACACATCACACCTGTAACTGACACATCACACCTGTACCTGACACATCACACCTGTATGTACCTGACACATCACACCTGTACATACCTTTCACATCACACCTGTAACTGACACATCTCCCCTGTACCTGACACATCACACCTGTATGTAACTGACACATCACACCTGTATGTACCTGACACATCACACCTGTACATACCTTTCACATCACACCTGTAACTGACACATCACACCTGTATGTACCTGATACATCATACCTGTATCTGACACATCACACCTGTAACTGACACATCACACCTGTTACTGACACATACCTGTATCTGACACATCACACCTGTAACTGACACATCACACCTGTAACTGACACATCACACCTGTACCTTACACATCACACCTGTAACTGACACATCACACCTGTAACTGACACATCACACCTGTACCTGACACATCACACCTGTAACTGACACATCACACCTGTACCTGACACATCACACCTGTACTTACCTTTCACATCACACCTGTATCTGACACATCACACCTGTAACTGACACATCACACCTGTACATACCTTTCACATTACCCCTGTACCTGACACATCACACCTGTAACTGACACATCACACCTGTAACTGACACATCACACCTGTAACTGACACATCACACCTGTACCTGACACATCACACCTGTAACTGACACATCACACCTGTCCCTGACACATCACACCTGTCCCTGACACATCACAACTGTATGTACCTGACACATCACACCGGTACCTGACACATCACACCTGTACCTGAAACATCACACCTGCGCTAATGTCTCTTTCGTGATTTTCTGTTTTTAGATTGTATTTCATCACTTCCCTCCCTTGTTTCAGATGCTGGACCTGATCACGGACATCTTCAAGAACAAGGGCAACCAGGACCTGGACATCCCTCCCCCTGTGTCCGAGTGTCCCCCCATGCCTAAACTTACACAGTAAGACACACTCACTGTCAGACACTCTCAAGATCCTTTAAATGACCAACACTATCAAGGCCTGTTACACAGAGCAATTGTAGCACTGTGATGCAGTGATGTTGATGGAGACAAATTGAATGAGGACATTTTCATGATTTGGTCAACTTTCAAAAGAATATTGTTTAATATTAGCAATTTTGGAAATATTCTTTTTAACTTTGTGTGTGAAAATATACTAATCTGAAACCCTGTTATTGTGCCATACTTCATCATTGACTTCACCTTTGGGGATTCCAGGTAAAAGTAGATCTTCAGCAACCTACACTTGTCGTACGAAGGACTAGATATAGCAGGTGGTCAGGCTTTGTGATTGTGTGTCATTCTACCAGGCGGTCTTAGACTGTCTGTGATGTTGCTCATTATATCTATCACAGCAGAGTGAAGACAGTTGTAGCACTAGTATCATTGGACCCGTGAAGATCCAGGGTAGAATAGATCTTCAGCAACCCATGCTTGCCGTAAAAGGGGACTATGCTTCTCGTCAGAGGCGACTAACGGGATCGGGTGGTCAGGCTTGCTGACTTGGTTGATGCATGTCATCGATCCCAATTACATGTATCGATGCTCATGATGTCAATCACTGGATTGTCCAGATTCGATTATTTCCAGACCGCCGTCATATAGCTGGAATATTGCTGAGTGCGGCGTTAAACAACAAACAAACAAACGAACTAGCATCATTGGATGGAGCACTGATCTAACTGTGTCTCGGACATTGGTCAGTGTCCTTTAGTAACGTAAATGAGGATAACTATCACTACATACCTGCCAAGTAAAGTTTTGGTTGGTTCTTGCAGAAATATGTCTCCCCAGGAAAAGTCAAAGATTTTCATGGAAAGGATGAAGATTAGACAGCAGAGGAGTGAAGCTCATGGACTGTGGTGTACGGAGCTGTACAAACTGTCTATATCCAACCAGGTGAGTGTACTGTCGAGTGTGGTGTACGGAGCTGTACAAGCTGTCTATATCCAACCAGGTAGGTGTACTGTCGAGTGTGGTGTACGGTACTGTACAAACTGTCTATATCCAACCAGGTGGGTGTACTGTCGAGTGTGGTGTACGGAGCTGTACAAACTGTCTATATCCAACCAGGTAGGTGTATTGTCGAGTGTGGTGTACGGAGCTGTACAAGCTGTCTATATCCAACTAAGTAGGTGTACTGTCGAGTGTGGTGTACGGAGCTGTACAAACTGTCGAGTGTGGTGTACGGTGCTGTACAAACTGTCTATATCCAACCAGGTAGGTGTATTGTCGAGTGTGGTGTACGGAGCTGTACAAGCTGTCTATATCCAACCAAGTAGGTGTACTGTCGAGTGTGGTGTACGGAGCTGTACAAACTGTCTATATCCAACCAGGTAGGTGTACTGTCGAGTGTGTTGTACGGAGCTGTACAAACTGTCTATATCCAACCAGGTAGGCGTACTGTCGAGTGTGTTGTACGGAGCTGTACAAACTGTCTATATCCAACCAGGTGAGTGTACTGTCGAGTGTGGTGTACGGAGCTGTACAAACTGTCTATATCCAACCAGGTAGGTGTACTGTTGAGTGTGGTGTACGGAGCTGTACAAACTGTCTATATCCAACCAGGTAGGTGTACTGTCGAGTGTGGTGTACGGTGCTGTACAAACTGTCTATATCCAACCAGGTAGGTGTACTGTCGAGTGTGGTGTACGGAGCTGTACAAACTGTCTATATCCAACCAGGTAGGTGTACTGTCGAGTGTGGTGTACGGAGCTGTACAAACTGTCTATATCCAACCAGGTAGGTGTACTGTCGAGTGTGGTGTACGGAGCTGTACAAACTGTCGAGTGTGGTGTATGGTGCTGTACAAACTGTCTATATCCAACCAGGTAGGTGTACTGTTGAGTGTGTTGTACGGAGCTGTACAAACTGTCTATATCCAACCAGGTAGGTGTACTGTCGAGTGTGGTGTACGGAGCTGTACAAACTGTCGAGTGTGGTGTACGGAGCTGTACAAACTGTCTATATCCAACCAGGTAGGTGTACTGTTGAGTGTGGTGTACGGAGCTGTACAAACTGTCTATATCCAACCAGGTAGGTGTACTGTCGAGTGTGTTGTACGGAGCTGTACAAACTGTCTATATCCAACCAGGTAGGTGTACTGTCGAGTGTGTTGTACGGAGCTGTACAAACTGTCTATATCCAACCAGGTGAGTGTACTGTCGAGTGTGGTGTACGGAGCTGTACAAACTGTCTATATCCAACCAGGTAGGTGTACTGTTGAGTGTGGTGTACGGAGCTGTACAAACTGTCTATATCCAACCAGGTAGGTGTACTGTCGAGTGTGGTGTACGGTGCTGTACAAACTGTCTATATCCAACCAGGTAGGTGTACTGTCGAGTGTGTTGTACGGAGCTGTACAAACTGTCTATATCCAACCAGGTAGGTGTACTGTCGAGTGTGTTGTACGGAGCTGTACAAACTGTCTATATCCAACCAGGTAGGTGTACTGTCGAGTGTAGAGTGTGGTGTACGGAGCTGTACAAACTGTCTATATCCAACCAGGTAGGTGTACTGTCGAGTGTGGTGTATGGAGCTGTACAAACTGTCTATATCCAACCAGGTAGGTGTACTGTCGAGTGTGGTGTACGGAGCTGTACAAACTGTCGAGTGTGGTGTATGGTGCTGTACAAACTGTCTGTTACCAACCAGGTAGGTGTACTGTCGAGTGTGGTGTACGGAGCTGTACAAACTGTCGAGTGTGGTGTACGGAGCTGTACAAACTGTCTATATCCAACCAGGTAGGTGTACTGTCGAGTGTGGTGTACGGAGCTGTACAAACTGTCGAGTGTGGTGTATGGTGCTGTACAAACTGTCTATATCCAACCAGGTAGGTGTACTGTCGAGTGTGTACGGTGCTGTACAAACTGTCTATATCCAACCAGGTAGGTGTACTGTCGAGTGTGGTGTACGGTGCTGTACAAACTGTCTGTATCCAACCAGGTAGGTGTACTGTCGAGTGTGTTGTACGGAGCTGTACAAACTGTCTATATCCAACCAGGTAGGTGTACTGTCGAGTGTGGTGTACGGTGCTGTACAAACTGTCTATATCCAACCAGGTAGGTGTACTGTCGAGTGTGGTGTACGGAGCTGTACAAACTGTCGAGTGTGGTGTATGGTGCTGTACAAACTGTCTATATCCAACCAGGTAGGTGTACTGTTGAGTGTGGTGTACGGAGCTGTACAAACTGTCTATATCCAACCAGGTAGGTGTACTGTCGAGTGTGGTGTACGGAGCTGTACAAACAGTCGAGTGTGGTGTACGGAGCTGTACAAACTGTCGAGTGTGGTGTATGGTGCTGTACAAACTGTCTATATCCAACCAGGTAGGTGTACTGTCGAGTGTGGTGTACGGAGCTGTACAAACTGTCTATATCCAACCAGGTAGGTGTACTGTAGAGTGTGTTGTACAGAGCTGTACAAGCTGTCTATATCCAACCAGGTAGGTGTACTGTCGAGTGTGTTGTACGGAGGTGTACAAACTGTCTATATCCAACCAGGTGAGTGTACTGTCGAGTGTGGTGTACGGAGCTGTACAAACTGTCTATATCCAACCAGGTAGGTGTACTGTTGAGTGTGGTGTACGGAGCTGTACAAACTGTCTATATCCAACCAGGTAGGTGTACTGTCGATTGTGGTGTACGGTGCTGTACAAACTGTCTGTATCCAACCAGGTAGGTGTACTGTCGAGTGTGTTGTACGGAGCTGTACAAACTGTCTATATCCAACCAGGTAGGTGTACTGTCGAGTGTGGTGTACGGTGCTGTACAAACTGTCTATATCCAACCAGGTAGGTGTACTGTCGAGTGTAGAGTGTGGTGTACGGTGCTGTACAAACTGTCTATATCCAACCAGGTAGGTGTACTGTCGAGTGTGGTGTACGGAGCTGTACAAACTGTCTATATCCAACCAGGTAGGTGTACTGTCGAGTGTGGTGTACGGAGCTGTACAAACTGTCGAGTGTGGTGTATGGTGCTGTACAAACTGTCTGTATCCAACCAGGTAGGTGTACTGTTGAGTGTGGTGTACGGAGCTGTACAAACTGTCTATATCCAACCAGGTAGGTGTACTGTCGAGTGTGGTGTATGGAGCTGTACAAACTGTCTATATCCAACCAGGTAGGTGTACTGTCGAGTGTGGTGTACGGAGCTGTACAAACTGTCGAGTGTGGTGTATGGTGCTGTACAAACTGTCTGTTACCAACCAGGTAGGTGTACTGTCGAGTGTGGTGTACGGAGCTGTACAAACTGTCGAGTGTGGTGTACGGAGCTGTACAAACTGTCTATATCCAACCAGGTAGGTGTACTGTCGAGTGTGGTGTACGGAGCTGTACAAACTGTCGAGTGTGGTGTATGGTGCTGTACAAACTGTCTATATCCAACCAGGTAGGTGTACTGTCGAGTGTGGTGTACGGTGCTGTACAAACTGTCTGTATCCAACCAGGTAGGTGTACTGTCGAGTGTGTTGTACGGAGCTGTACAAACTGTCTATATCCAACCAGGTAGGTGTACTGTCGAGTGTGGTGTACGGTGCTGTACAAACTGTCTATATCCAACCAGGTAGGTGTACTGTCGAGTGTGGTGTACGGAGCTGTACAAACTGTCTATATCCAACCAGGTAGGTGTACTGTCGAGTGTGGTGTACGGAGATGTACAAACTGTCGAGTGTGGTGTATGGTGCTGTACAAACTGTCTATATCCAACCAGGTAGGTGTACTGTTGAGTGTGGTGTACGGAGCTGTACAAACTGTCTATATCCAACCAGGTAGGTGTACTGTCGAGTGTGGTGTACGGAGCTGTACAAACTGTCGAGTGTGGTGTACGGAGCTGTACAAACTGTCGAGTGTGGTGTATGGTGCTGTACAAACTGTCTATATCCAACCAGGTAGGTGTACTGTCGAGTGTGGTGTACGGAGCTGTACAAACTGTCTATATCCAACCAGGTAGGTGTACTGTAGAGTGTGTTGTACAGAGCTGTACAAGCTGTCTATATCCAACCAGGTAGGTGTACTGTCGAGTGTGTTGTACGGAGGTGTACAAACTGTCTATATCCAACCAGGTGAGTGTACTGTCGAGTGTGGTGTACGGAGCTGTACAAACTGTCTATATCCAACCAGGTAGGTGTACTGTTGAGTGTGGTGTACGGAGCTGTACAAACTGTCTATATCCAACCAGGTAGGTGTACTGTCGAGTGTGGTGTACGGTGCTGTACAAACTGTCTGTATCCAACCAGGTAGGTGTACTGTCGAGTGTGTTGTACGGAGCTGTACAAACTGTCTATATCCAACCAGGTAGGTGTACTGTCGAGTGTGGTGTACGGTGCTGTACAAACTGTCTGTATCCAACCAGGTAGGTGTACTGTCGAGTGTGTTGTACGGAGCTGTACAAACTGTCTATATCCAACCAGGTAGGTGTACTGTCGAGTGTGGTGTACGGTGCTGTACAAACTGTCTATATCCAACCAGGTAGGTGTACTGTCGAGTGTAGAGTGTGGTGTACGGTGCTGTACAAACTGTCTATATCCAACCAGGTAGGTGTACTGTCGAGTGTGGTGTACGGAGCTGTACAAACTGTCGAGTGTGGTGTATGGTGCTGTACAAACTGTCTATATCCAACCAGGTAGGTGTACTGTCGAGTGTGGTGTACGGAGCTGTACAAACTGTCTATATCCAACCAGGTAGGTGTACTGTAGAGTGTGTTGTACAGAGCTGTACAAGCTGTCTATATCCAACCAGGTAGGTGTACTGTCGAGTGTGTTGTACGGAGGTGTACAAACTGTCTATATCCAACCAGGTGAGTGTACTGTCGAGTGTGGTGTACGGAGCTGTACAAACTGTCTATATCCAACCAGGTAGGTGTACTGTTGAGTGTGGTGTACGGAGCTGTACAAACTGTCTA